CGGCGCAGTGGCTGCGGCGCAGTTGGCGGCACGCCAAGCACTACGAGCCTTTGCGTTCTCGGGGCAGGGTCCATGCTCCAACCCAGATGTCTGCAGCAGAGCTCGGGTCTGGTTGGAGAGCTCGAGGTTCGGCGTCTCCTCCCCTTCCCCTTTCCAAACACGGGTCTTGCCTTGGTAGAGTTGGACCCGCGCGCGGTCCACGAGCGACGATATAAGTATCGTCGAGGAAGGCAAAACACCCTCGCCTGGCTGCAGCGCTAACGCGACATCGTGGAGGGCGGGGTGCGGAGCTACTGCGTAGAGCGCAGCCATCAGGGGGTCACCTTGCTCTCCGCCCTCCGATTGCAAGACCTCGTGCTCGGTCCCCGCGTCGTCCGTCCAGATGTAATTAACTGCTCTCGCTGCCGGAACTGGCGAGCAAATGGCAGGAGAGCAGCAAGCTGAGGCCGCGATCGCAACCCCTCGAGCATGGCCTGTCGGGAAACATGGTCGAACGCACCGACAGCGTCAACCGACAGGACAGTGGTGCGGGGGTTGCACTCCGTAGCGACCTGGGGGAGCTTGTAAAGTGCCTCGGTGCCACTTGGGGCAACTCCAAAGCACATGTCGCAGGTCCGCGGATTGATGACCGCAGAAGGAGCAAGGGACAGCATCAGCATGCTCTCCCCGCTTCATTTTCTCAAAACACTGCGGAGAAATGAGGGCCCCAGTCATAACAGCAACGCCATGAAGTCCTGCAGTTTTCGCAACTTCACGAGCACGTCTTACTCTGGCAGAGTCATAAGGAAAGTTAGCCAAAAGGGGAGTTTCCCTTCTACGTGAGGTGAGGAACCTGTTCCACTGCATTCTTCTCCAGCTCTCCCTGACAGCATGAGACTGCTGGTCGAAACTGGCCTGAAAATCAGCAGCTCTAGGATCCAAACACACCTTGACACGCTCGCTTGCGTGCTCCCAGGTCCAATCATTAGAAATTCTCCAGTTCAGACCAGAGAGAAATTTTCTTAGTCGCTTTGCCGGTCCTGCAGTGCAGTTCCAGTCAAGCAAAGCCTCGCCTGACAACTTTACTGCACGATGTGCTGCCGACAGAGCCTGCATTCCTGCTGTGAAACGCACTCTCGCGCATGTCCTACAACCAGCTTGGCCAGGGGGACCGAGGCGTTGAGGTGATTGTAGCCCGCCCGTTTGAGACGCACCTCAAGTTTGGAGACCACACTTAAAGCAAGCCCCCGGCTGAGCCACCCGTAAGCAGCTTTAGACGTGGCAGACATAGCAGAAGTGAATGCCCTCTTAGCGGCGCAGACAGGCGCAGCATGGATTTTATCAGCGGCCTTCATAGCTTTGTTGATGCGTTCCAACTCTTTTTCATCAGCCTTGATGCCCAAACTCGCACCGAGGGCGCGCAAGTGCTTCACGAGCTTGTCATGAGGAAAGTGCACCAACAGTTGGCGGCGGCCCTTGGCCGATTTGTGGGTAATCTCGCGGCCTAGGTGAACGTAGGAGCCCCCCGACTTGGACACCCTCCTGTGGACGATCTCGATCTCACTCGTGGTTGGCAGCGCTCCGCGTCGCAGGCTGTCGATGGCTTCCAACGCCGGGGGGCGAAGCGCGAGCTCGGCCTCGCGAGCCGGTCCCCCAAGGGAGGCGCGTCGCCCTCGCCCTGCTCCGCGCTTACAAGGGGGAGCTCAAGGAGTGACGAGGCGCACGCGCGCTGCGCCGCCACCGCCAACAGACCCGTCCATCTGTGGACGCTGGCTTGGAGAGCAGGCAGAGGAATGTGACCGTCTCTGCCGTGGGCCTCCCGCCCACCTCCAGCCCAAGGAAAGTGCAACTGTGCAACATGTGTGGACATGCTCATTGAATGGCATCCCGTGGCACATGCCAGCGTGCGCTTGCCCCTGGCGAAAGTTAGCGAGGCAACATCAACGTGTGTGTGTGTGTGTGTGTGTGTGGAAGCCCTGATTCTAAGCTACAGCTAATTAAGGGTTTTTGGAGGACTTGACTGCCGTTGTGCGCTTGAGCTCATTTCATGCAGGGGGCCAGGAACCAATATCATCTGTCCTGGCCAACGAAGACCAGGTGATATTGGGGTGCAAACGCACCTGCAGATTAACAGAGTTGCACCTGGATCTAAGTTGGGTAGCTGGTGGACTCACTTTCCTTTCCTTGCAAACGAGGTTTTCATGCTGGAAGCCATTCATGTGCATCTATGTGAGCGTTTCGCATTCCTCGCAGGCTTACATTCGCTCATGGCCTGTTCAGGTTCCTAAGGCCACCGAAACCTCGACTCCCCCAATACCATGTTCGTCACAAGAAATGGTTATTGGGAGACCACAAATACTCTGTGTGTGTGGGTGTGTCTGGCAATGGCGGCAGGAGCGCAGGGCCTCACAGGGCCTTCGGCAGCAGGATGTCACCGAGGCCGGGGGTTGCCCATCAACATGCGTTGTCGTCACCATGGAAACACCAGCGTGCGGTCTACACGACATACGCTGCGATGCTGGCATTGCAGGCTGCAGACTGCACGCCAGCGCGGGCGAGCTGGTGGATGAACTGAATGGCCTCATTCCCAAGCCCGACGGCAAGCACGACCAAGGCGGCACCGCAGTGACGCCTTGGGCGGCCAACTGAGTCGAGAGCGCTGACGAGGGTCGTGTCGACCGCCAGCTGCTCGTGGGATGGCTGTGTTTTCGATTTTCTCGAGTTGAGCTCCCAGGTTTCGTTACACGTGCCGTGGCGCTGCACATGCTGGCGGCGGCAGTGGGTGTCACTTTCAGGACGCGGGCAGTTGTCGCACGAAAAAGGCGCTGTCATTCGGACAAACATCAATTTCGTAGTTGACAAACCCCTTGCAGCGCCACTGCCTGAACGGAGAAAATCATCATTGCGAGCTGTGGAAAATGAAACGTGTGTTTGGTCCATGATTTGAAACTTGGATGAGTTGTGCTGTTGCAGGTTGGGCACCGACGGCGTGCAACACATTGAGTTGCTGGTGCTGTTCGTATGCATGCTGTCGTAAAATCATTCGGCAGTATTCCGCACAAATATGCGAAAAAGGCTGTGCTCGCATCGTATCCAACAGTTATCGCTTCACCTCCTGCTGGATGCAAACAAGGGCTTCTGGCGTCGGTCGGGTGATCTGGGCGAGCTCCAGCACAACGAACTGGGCAACCGTGTTCGCATTTTTGTTGTTTTTTGGATACGAGTATGTGATGAATTTATTGTATAAGCCCTCAAACATCCTCAAACCAACGATGCTCTGCAGGAACCCCAACAATGCCCAACAAGCTTGCGTCGTGGATGGTCGTGGGTGTGATTATGCCGTCGCCGACCAGCGTATCCTGCGTGGGCAACATTACCTGGCCCTGCAGGCGTGGCGGGCAGTCGCACAAGGCGCTCTAGCTCGATCATCGCTGCAGCGCAGAGCTCGAGGCTTCGATGGCACACGATGGGACTCATGAACCTCCTTACGGTCGGACGTGGCGTGCACCCACAGCGTCGGCTGCTGCACGGGTGCAAGCGCGTGTGCATTCGCCCCGGCAGCATGAACCCACGCGTGGCTTGCCAACTGGGCTGCGCCTGTGCAATCCTTTCATGTCGGACTCTGCACAGCGAGGAGAGCCGCTGCTCTCGTCACTGACCAGCTGAGGCATCAGGCCGTTGCTTTCCTGTCTGTGCGGATTGCAGCCACTGTCATGCGAGGGCAACTCAAATTCCGCTGTTCATCTCGTCTCTAACACTGTCGGTTCGGTTCGAAGCGCACTCGCCGACACACCATTAAAGGTGTGAATGCCCCGTGTCCCATACATCCAGGCAAGGACCTTTAGATCAATGCGAACATGCGGATATATTGGTGAGGGCACAGTAGGTGGTCGGTCATCCCTGTTCCGGCATCTGGCGCTTGGAGGCGTTCGGGAGGGTTGGGGGCATCGCTTGTTTCGCTTTACTCGAATGCCAAGAGCCCCAGAGATCCCAGTGAGACATCGCGGCGATACTCAATCTGCTGAGGTCTTTGCTGCGGCCTGGGGGGCTTCCTAAAACTCCTCTGAAACTTAACCTAACTACAGCAAACATCAAGAAGAACTTCAAAAAACTCTCCAAACTTGTGGCTCACAACATAACAAGTAACTTACAGCTGGAACGACGATAAACCAACTTACAACAAAACTTGCTCACACATCACGCTATCCTGCATCTGCCCATCTTGTAGATGGTATCTGCAAAACGCACTTGGGCGGTTGTGAGAGTTTGTGTTTGTATATTCTACTGCGATGTACTTCTTCTCTTGGTCTACATACATTTCTTCTGTTTAATACATTTGCTCGTCATCTACTTATTCTTGATTGGCTTACTCAGTTGTTGATGTGCTTGATAGGTTGTCTTTCGGGAGCATGATTGGCCGGAATCCGAGTACCATTCAGTGGCATTGCAGGTGTCGCTGACAGCTTCGAGAAGTTGAAAGGATTGTTTAGGCTTCATTATTCAGCGAGCTCAGGGGCATCATGGCTGATGAAGGTGCAGACAGCCACGCTTCACCAAGAGCGAAAGAAAATGCGGGGATGAAACTAGGGAAATGTCCGAAGGTCGGGATCGACACTGGTATGGGTTAACAGTTCCGCGGCTGATGGCCAGCCATTTGCGTGCTTCAAGAATCTCTTTTTTTACCATCACGCACAAGGCATGAAGACGCTTCGACCGGCCCATTGTCAGAACACTCTGACATCACAGCTGGTGTGCAAACATTAAACAATATAGTCAAAACATTCTCGTACATACGTAGATCAATGTCGATCACGTGCGCCAGGGGCAAGCCAGACTGCTTGGCAGTCTCAAATATCACCTCTGGCCGCACTCATTGCAGGCGTTTGCGTTTCATTGGCAGGCGTCGCTGCAGCTGCAATGATCTCATTGCATCGTCGCTCCGGCGAAGCTACACCAACCCTTCGCGAGAACTAGTTGCGTCACAATGCACCACTTCGTTCTGCGAGGAGCCATGAGGAAGGTCAAAAGGGGTTGACCATCCGAGCCAACCTTAGGAATGAAGGTTTGTCATTGATTGATGTCTGGCTTCAAGCAGCAATCAGTGATCATCACGGATTAATACCCTGACCAAGCAGCCGAATCACAGGCAACGGCATCATTCGATGCCCTACCGAACAGTCTTTGTCATGCACCACATCCTGACCGGTTCGGTGGTGTGTTGAATTGTTTCTTTGGGTTCCAAAGTTTCTTCGCATAGCTTCCGGCAAAGCTGTTCCTCTCTCTGCTGCCCAGATGTAGCAAGCATGCCAAGCCTTGTCCGCCGCAGAATCGCAGATGAGCGCAACCGCTCGTCTGGGGTCATGGCTTTTCACCAAGAAGGCCAACTCCTGACTTTTCAGGGTCTCTCGAACTCAAGTTTGCTTCTGCCTCGACCCAATGGAAGGTGCTCCTCAATGAGTGGATCATTGCCAGCGATGGGGTCTTCAAGGATGGGATCGGTGTGGCTCTTGCCTGGGCAAGGCTCAGCAAAAAAACGAGTGCGAGAACTGCTTGACTGCTTGACTCTGCGTACCGTTTCGTCTCAACACAGCCTTTGAGATTCTTTGGGCCTTCGGGGCCTGGGTAGAGCTTCACGTCAGCGTCCGCTCCAGCTGCCTGAAGGGCCGTGGTGAAGTCGATGGCACTTCGAGATGGAACGCTGGTGTCCGCAGTGCCATGGACAAGCAGCCTCTGCGGGACAGGCAACTTCGCAACACGGGTGCCCGTAATCGCGTTTCAGGAATTCATTCCTGACTGAGCAGTTGCAGCATTTGGACTGACAAAGCAAAGCTGCCTGCTCTCCAAGACCGGAGCGCTACAGTCGGCAAACCATGCTATATGCAGTTGTACGCATACTAATGCCAGCAAACGGCACAGGAGGCAGCATACGTGCCCGATCAGCTGTGACCAATCGCGTTGGGGAAAAATCTTCCAGCCGCCCCTGCTTCATTCACTTCCGTGTACTTCGAGAGCAGAGACTGTCCGAGACTGTGCTACTTTTTTCATCCGAGCCTCGAAGATGGATGACAAGAGACGGCGATCCAATCCCCGACTGTGAAAGTGATCGCTCAAATCCACGAGGTCGAAGGGCCCAGAGATCCCAACAAAGGCTGCTATGTCCTGGAACGGAAGAACGAGACGGGAACTCCTTGCTTTGCTTGGTTTGACTTCCCAGCCGGTCACCTTCCCCCCCCCTCCCGCCCCACCAAAAAAACAAAGGCCACACAGGGGAATGGCCATTCATGTGGGACCATCAGGAGCACAGCAAACTAAAGCACAATTACAGGATGTTTTCAACCTATTTTGATGCATCTTGTCTAGTCGATATTACAGCAACAGCCCCAGAGATCGAGGGGTGGGGAAAACATGAAAGAACACAAACCAAATCAAACAAAAAGATTGCCTGATGATGTCTGATTGTGTCAATATTCGTCAGCTCTTGCCTTCGGCTGCCAGCGGATGCTGGGTGAGCTGGCCAATGCTTTGGCCTGAGGGAAAGACCGGAGCAGCGCCCCCACGCCTCCTCCACTTCTAACTTCTTCTACTTCTTCATCTGACCTTCTCCCTCTGTTGGGTCATGATTTGATCTCCGTGTGGCACCTCGCTTGCCCTCTTCAGTAGAGCCATTGAAAGCAAGTGGGCGCCAGCCGATTGTCCCACGAGGAAGAGCCTTCAGCCCAGATGCAGATTGAGTACAGCATAGTAAAGTACAACTTCAAACCTCTGGGAACTCTTCGAACCTTTGAGATCTTAGACATTTTGATGGAGCTGTTCGTGCCTGGACGGATCTCCACCATATTCCTCACAGTGGTCCAGCGACCACTGCACAGCTAGCAATGTATCCTGGCCCATTGCATCCCGTTGCCCAGTGGCTTGCCATGTGCTTGCAACATGCAAAATGAAACTTGCTCTAGCCCATCCTCCACCATCTCCTCACCAGTGGCCTGCGGGAAGTTCCTGTAGTCGGGAACCTTATGTCGGGTTGCGACAGCTGCCCAGACCCAGCTGAGGTCCCCACTAATTAACTATCTGCACGCCAGCCGAGCAACCAGAAGGAGAATGCCAAGACGCTGAAGGACCATACCCATAAGCATTCCCCACCTCAACTTCTGGGCCCATTCGCGCAGCTTACCCAGGCCCGCACAACATCTGCACAGTACGTCGCTGAAGGCTTCCAAGACACATCTTGTAGCCAATGATCCACACTCCGCCCGTAAAAAACACAACCTCGTGCCGACAGTAAACCCGACACGTACAGGCTTGCTGAAGGTGAAGAAAACGATGCTCCATTGCAATATGCTGTTCTTGTTATCTGACACTGGGGGCCAGAGCCACAGGTTGTGACCCAGCGTCACGAAACTCCTGCCTGCACAGTGCAGGCACAAGAGTGCAATCCTTGCATGAGCAGCCGCTTGTGAATCTGCGAATGCCTTCATGCATCTACATGGAACCTTTTTGGGCAGGGGCATGGACGCTTGCGACAGCGCGTCTTGTTCATGCAGCTTGACATAGACATAGCCCTCGATACTAAGTACTTCAGCCTGGTAGAACCGCGCGGGAAGACGCACACTCGCTCTCTTGCATTATGCTTGCTCATTTGTGCGTATCGTTCGTTCTTTTCGCCTTCTGAAGACCACAACATTTGCTACAGAGCTTTCTGTTGCTGACGATGAACAACTCCCACAGCAAGTTGGTCGTTCAAGCATGCCTTGGCACTGAACCCTTGGAACTAGAGCATGTTGCTCATGCAATTCCACTCTCGGCAACCAGTAAGAAACTGTCAACATCTCTCGGCCCCTCTCGGCAGCCTGAGCATGTAGACATCCTCAGATTTCACAGGGCCGTGTGATAACAGAAACTTCTGCAGCATGGCAACAGCAATTCACTGGGTGGAAAAGTCGGTGCCCGTCAGGGTAGCTTGCAACTGTTGCACGTACTGAGAATTGTTCGATGACGTATGCCCTCTTCGCCGATGCCCTGCAGATCCAAGTGGCCATTAAATTTCGTCGTTTCGCTCCATAACGTACAAAATTGGACACGCTTGGATGCAGCCAGCCTAGGACATCCAATACACGACACAGCATAACACAGCGCATATGGGCTGAGCAATACGCATGTCGGAGCAGCAGCAGCCCTAGTGGCCAGCTTCTTGCATCATGAATCTCTTGAGCACGTGCAAGAAACCTTATGACATCAATTATCAATTGACAGAACTGCCAATGGCGCAATTTATAACTTGAGTTGTCTACAGACTGTGTATCAATGTTGCATTCATGGGCAGCGTGCCCCAGCCCTTGCGCCAAGGAACAGTAGGCTGTCGCCCTGACGAACACTGGCAACAGCAGGAAGATGTAGAGCAGAAGCCGCACCAGCAGATAGAAGCACCTCCACAATGCAAACATGGGCGGACATGGGCGAGCTTTTGCTGAGTGCAATCCCGAGCCCAATATTGCAGATTGTGTCCTTCGTAAGCCTTAGAGATGCGCGGCTGAGCGTGGCGGGGCCTTGCCGAAACTCGCAGCGCCCACAGAAGCTTGCCTGCCATTCGAAGGACGAAGGCTGACCTTAAGAGGTATTGGCAACAGAATGAACATGAATGGAAGGCAAACTATGGATCTCCATGGTACACTACTCACTTTGCCTGCCTTTCTTCACACGCCTGCGCTGCTAAATGAATCCATCTGCCCACCGTCGTGCAAAAAGTGAGGCAGGACTGTCGTCACTTCTGGCGCAACTCGCCCCTCAACTGATCTAGCTCGGCGTCTTTAGCTGCGAGCTCGTCCTTGAGTTGTTTCACTTGCATGGCTAAGTCACGAAACTGCTGCGCGAACTCGCTAACCTGGCCAGCCAGGGCATCCAAAGAGCCCGAGTCAACTTCACGCTTTCTCTTCGGCCGCAACTGTTCCAGATCTGTCAGGACCATGTTAAAAACGTGAACATTCTTGCCTTTGATGCCAGTAAGCCACTCCAGGAATTCGCTTGACGACGTCTTGCCATCATTGTCAGCATCCAAGACTTCTGCTAAGTTCTGTCCATCCACGCGGCCTCCGGACAGCTGGCACAACTCAGCAGTGACCAATGTTCCGTTCTCGTCGGCATCCAGAGTGGAGAAGATCTTGGCAATTCTCGCGGCCTCTGATGCAGTGAGGGCAGAGCTGCTGCCGGAAGCTTCCACTCCCTCCTCCTCGCTGTCGCTTCCAACAACAACAGCCTCGTATTCTGCCCATTCATGCCCGACATCACTCTCACTTGTGCTGGCGCTGCTGATTTCGACTGCGTCATTCCAGGCTGCATCGCCCAGCAAGATCCGATCCCGTTGCTTTGCCTGCAATTCGTGGTTTCGCTGCAAGCGCCTCTCAGCTTCTTGTTCGAAGCCCCATGTCAGCATTGAAGCGGGGATGGCGAACTGCGCTGTGGCCAACACAGCCGTGGCCACCACAATGGCCTTGGTGTACCAAGGAAGCTGGCCGCTGGGCTGACCCTGGCCAGTCAGCATCATAACTGACAAGTACATGGTGGCAGGTATCGACTCGAAGTCATCTTCAACACCTGGGGTGTCTGGTGGCGGTGCCATGTAGTAGAGAACTGTGGATGTCAGTAGAATGAGGATGGCATCGATCATGAAGGCCACACACAGTATTTCACTATTGAAGTACAGCACGCGGGCAATGACATCAACCGAACTCATCACCGAATTCGACTTAAACAATCGGAAAAGACGAATCACTCGTACACATTGAAGGTTTGGCAAATCATATGGCACAACTTGCTCTATAAACCAAGGCATGAACGAAACAAGGTCAACAATGGAACTAAAGCTTTTCAAGAATGACAGCCTTGCTCCGCACTTGGAGAGGTGGTAATACCTCTTGTTCTCATGAATCGTTGTGAGACGGATGAGGTACTCACCCAAGAACAGCCAAGAGGACACAGCCTCAATACCGCTGAACAGAGTAGAATACTTTCTGTCAGTCTCCTTGTCTGTCTGTATGATGAAACAAACCACATTTGCCAAAATGAAGGTGGCAATCAGGTGCCGGAAGGCAACAACCTCCGTTCGGTGGCTGTGGGAGCTCACGAGAGAGTACCAGAAGCTGTGTCCTTGGCCACCTCGCTCTTCACGGCGCCGTTCGCGTTCCTTCTTTGCAGCAAGTACACGTCTCAGGCGAAGAATGTCCTCGGGGATATCTCAAGGACATTAGGGAGTGACAAACCAAGTACACATGCAACTCAAACAAGATCCTGCCTCCTTGCCGGTAGACTGCGAGACTCCAGCATACGTGGCACCATGCTTCATGATCTTCTTGAAGTGCTTGGCTTCTCCTGCTGGACCAGTCTCCGGATCTGCGAGGGCCTGGTACTCGCCGACAAACTCATCTTTATCAGCCATGGGCGCGGGTTTAGCCACTCCCAGAAAGGGACTTACACGAGAGCTTGTGCCATCGCAGCTTCGTGCATAATCGTGTCATGGTCAAGTTTCTACCGATTGTGACGCGCATGGAGCCATGGGTCGACTGAGGCCAGTGCCCTTCCAGCGCTTCTCGGAGAGCATCCTGGAAAGTCAAAGTGCCAGGCTTCGGTGGCTCCTGCTAAGACTTTATCAGACTTTCAGAAAAAGGTAAAGTTCAAGAAGTCGCAGTCAGTTTTTGTCGTCTTCAATACAAACCATGGACGGCTCCTTGGACTTCTCCCGCCCGGAGGCTCCTGGCACTTGGCTTCTTGGGTTTAAATCTGCCAGCGGCGACTGCTACAGGCACACCCATGCTACACATGCTCTGCATACCTTTAAATACACTACACTACATGAAGGCTCTGGAGAAGGCCTACTGCAAGCCGTCCTCTCCGCAGTACATGGCGTGGCGTTGCAGTGTGGTGTCCCATTTACAGTGCTGCGGCCATGCTGAAGGTCTTCCTCCTCTTCCCCCCTTCCTCAGACTCATATGCAGCTCATAATGTTGGATATCTGCCTGCAGTGTGGAACTGGCGTTGAAGATGCAGAACTACCCAGATGCATGTGATCATCTTGTCTTGAACAGCAGGACACGCACACGCACAGAGCAGTGTTGCAAGGAACTCGAGGAACGCAGCGAGTATTGAGAGACTGGGCCAGGTCAAGATTGCTCATGACATCCATGATTTTTTGCGTGCAAACTGCCCAGGCGATTCACTTGTCTCCCGACTCGATGATTGGATCAGCCTGCCGGAGCACGGGGATCTGACCCAGCGCGCTTTGCTGCAGACAAACCTGTTGGCGACTGTTGGCGTAGATCCCTCCTCTAGCCTTCTCTCGTGCAGCTATCATTGGAGGTCACAGCTGTCTCACGGACGCCTTTTCTTGGACCCTGAGCGGAATCCCTTGTTGGGATGTTCAGCATGTGAAACCGAACCAAAGGCCTGGTGAATGTTGACAAGTTCAACCATTTCTTGGTGAGCTCCTGCATGGCAGGACCTCGTGCATGTATATCAGAATGGCAGCGACCATGCAAACGACCTTGGAAACATGCATCTGCAGCACGACCATCACAACATGTAGGCTCACCATGGATGAAGTTTTGATCGTGTCTGGGGCAAAGACATTCGCGCTTATGACCATGGTGCCCACAATCTGTTCATCTGCCATGGAAGTAGCGAACGCTCCGCGCATGACAAAATGTGCTGCAATCTTTATCAAAACACTATATTACAAGAATTGCTTGCCATAGAACGCTGGCCGCGAACGATATCTTCAATGTCTTTTGCGATCTGGAGGGCCAGCAAAGCAACCTGATCAAGGCATTTGCACCAAGGTCCAGCACTCAAGCAATGCAGTGGGCCAGATCGCAACACCGACACACAAAGCAGAAGTGGCATGATGATGCATTGATGAAATGGCCGAGTGACCGCGGCAAGGCAAATCAAGAGGGTGATGCCTATCCACAGAAACCATGCGATTCGAAACTGGCGGCTTTTCTCATCCATCAGTCTGTCGTCCAACAGCAGCTCAGCGATCCAAGAGCGGGTGATCAAAGCTTGCCTGCCGAAGCGACATGCACTGCCCGAATGACAAACAACAGTGCTGAAAACGTCATTGTCCATGTCATCGCTCTCATTCACTGTCTTTCATCATCGGCATGTTCAACGTTGTCTAATTTTGACCCAGTCTTAAAGCTGCATTGAAAAATTTGGAAGGTTGCCGGGCATTTCGCAAAACCTCACTTTCACCAAGGCGTTGTCGAAAAGCTGCCGCCAACCACTGCGCAACGTTATCGCTAAAAGTCTTGTCAGAGCTCAATCTGATTGTTGCACGGCGAGAAGAGGCACCCGTGCCCGAGAATGCCTGCGCTGTCCGAGGCCGACTTTGGAGGAGGATTTGCCCATCAGACGGAGTCTTTGCTGCCGCTGCTCACTCAGCCAGCCAGCTGGTTTACGACCTTCGCAAGCTACCGCAGTGCTACGCGTCGACGGGGTCCGGTGTTGAACTAAAATGCAAAAACACATGGCCAAGCATCTGCATGATTGCCGGCGCATCCCCACTTCGACTTCGGCATCACCACCTTACTAAGTTGCACCGGTAGGGAAAAACTTGACGATCTCAGCCGCGCCTTGAAAACAATAAAACAATCAGTCGGTGCTGTGGAGTGCAATCGTAGTATCAAGTTCCTACCGGGGGGCAGGTGGGGCGACTGAACTTCAAAGGAATGAAACGGCATGAAAGACAAGTGTGTGAAGCAGGTCACCTCCTGAGTCCGGCAATCCTAGTGCTCAGGCAGGCTCATCTACAGGGGGATTGATTGGGAGCCAGCCGCACAGTCATACAGACACTTTCGAAAAGAACAACACTCGCAGGCAAAAGACAAACGACGCCACCGAGCAGTTGAAGTTTGCAGAGACAACATGGGCTGTTCTGAAGCCAATGACAAACAATGGTTGCCAATCTCGAAAAACGGCGCAGCGGGGAAGCGACTAGGCGACTAGTCGAGAGCTCACAGAATATCTTGCCAAGGAAGCACTTGCTGGCGCGGACTGCGCGGTGAGAGAAAATGCTTCAGCCATGTCCTGATCAGGGGATATCAGGGGAACTCACAACGGTTGAAGGGACAGCTTATTTCTACTAGGATCAGACAGGTTGGAGTTTACAGTACAGCGCAGCATAACGACGAACTTTGCAGCAAGAAGAGGACACAGTTACTTTTGTTGGAGGCATTGCTTTCAGTGAATATAAGCAAGGCAGGGCAACGAGAGCCGAAAGCTTCTAAGCAGGGAAAGAGAAAGACACTGAGAAAGATTGACTGTGTAACGAAAAGAGAAAGTCTTGCAAGACTGCGCACCTGTTGCGCTGTGGTTGTTGCTTCTGTTTTGATAGTGATCTACACTTCTTTGTCAGGGGGTGGGCACTTCGAACAGCGAACTGTTCGGCCCATCTAGCCATTGCTGAGGCCTGACCTCTGCCACCGCATCTGCACCGCTAAGGCATTGCCAATAGTGCTAGGTGTGTGAATGCAAGGAGCGGGGCTGTTCGTGCGCGAAAGCCATGCGTGCCCAGTGCTGCGCAAAGCTGCTGTCATCGCAAAGGTGGATTTGATCAGGTGATGATCAGGCCATTCTTCAGGAGGGTGACGGTCAGTCGAAGATGGTGAAGAACAACGCACACCGGGCGGCAGGCGACTATAACTATGGCCGGGTTCGGCCTGTCAACCGCCACCAACCAGAAAGCAGTCTGGTTGAAAGCAGGCAAGGTGGACTCGCTGGCTGGCCTGTAGTGGTTGTTGTGGTTGTTGTGGTTGTTGTGGTTGTTGTGGTTGTTGTGGTTGTTGTGGTTGTTGTGGTGGTTGTGGCTGTGGCTGTGGCTGTGGCTGTGGCTGTGGCTGTGGCTGTGGCTGTGGCTGTTGCTGTTGCTGTTGCTGTTGCTGCTGCTGCTGCTGCTGCTGCTGCTGCTGCTGCTGCTGCTGCTGCTGCTGCTGCTGCTGTTGGTGTTGTTGTTGTTGTTGTTGTTGTTGTTGTTGTTGTTGTTGTTGTTGTTGTTGTTGTTGTTGTTGTTGTTGTTGTTGTTGTTGTTGTTGTTGTTGTTGTTGATGTTGTTGATGTTGTTGTTGTTGTTGCTGCTGTTGTTGCTGTTGTTGCCGTTGTTGCCGCTGTTGCTGTTGTTGCTGTTGTTGTTTTGTTGCTGCAGTTGTTGCTGTTGTTGCTGCTGTTGCTGCTGGTGCTACTGTTGCTGTTGCTGTTGCTGTTGCTGTTGCTGTGGCTGTGGCTGTGGCTGTGGCTGTGGCTGTGGCTGTGGCTGTTGTTGTTGTTGTTGTTGTTGTTGTTGTTGTTGTTGTTGTTGTTGTTGTTGTTGTTGTTGTTGTTGTTGTTGTTGTTCCCTCCAGACGCATGTCACCGCGCAAAACCGACATGCCGATTTCCTCGGTATTTACAGTGTTTCCTTAAGGTCACATGCCGAAACCCTCGCTGCCGTCGGTGTTTTCGGCTCCTCCACTTTTCGCCTTTTGGGACAGGCCCAAAACATCGGTCTTTTCAGTGTTTCGCGTGTGTTGCACGCCGGAAACATCGGTATTTGCGGTGTTTTCCTCGTGTTACACGCCGAACACCTCCGTGGCCAGAGCATCCATGCCCGCACGATGATTACGTCCGTGTTACCAGTGCGTGCGATTGGCCAGAGCATCCATGCCCGCACGATGATTACGTCCGTGTTACCAGTGCGTGCGATTGGCCAGAGCTAGCATCCATGCCCGCACGATGATTACGTCCGTGTTACCAGTGCGTGCGATTGGCCAGAGCATCCATGCCCGCACGATGATTACGTCCGTGTTACCAGTGCGTGCCACCTGATGCATGCGCCGGGCCTCAAGGCTGTGCTTGAAGCACTGCGCACATACCGTTTGGATCGCTCCGGGCAGGTCGGAGCCGATCCAAAGCACTTCGGACAGTACGAGCACGACCACGCTTGGCTCTTCTGAAAAAAAAGATGTGAGACGTCTGCCGAATTTAGAGAAAAATTGTATGTTTTTACGCGCGTGTGATGCTTGCTTCAACTATCGATTGTATCGGTATTTACAATGCTTTCCTCTCTTCTCCAAACGTGCGCGCGCGGCCACATACGCCTGCAGCGTTGTTGTTGTTGTTGTTGTTGTTGTTGTTGTTGTTGTTGTTGTTGTTGTAGGGGGTTGGACGGGGTCCCAGTTTTTGTTTGTACCTTGTTGTTGTTGTTGTTGTCGTTGCTCCTGTAATAGTGTCTCTTTCTTTCTTTCATTAGGAGGCTTCCTCCCATGTTGTTCGCATCTTTCATCTTCTTGAGACCTTCTTCATACATTAAAGTGCAATGGAGCTTCTCCAGCAAGGGATTGCAATATCACTTGTCTAGCCTTGCAACAAAAGCAGATGGCTTTTTGTGACCATCAGCGGCTATGAGGAATAAATCTTGCCTGAGTCTGTGTTGCACAATGGGGATCCCACCCACCTACTTCATGCAGAGCACACCGCTCGTGATGCAGGCTGCATTTGGCTGACGTCAACCGATGCTCTGAACAATCAGGCAGGGAGTGATCTCCAGATAGCATTGCTTGCAGCTAATCATCTCGTTAGCACCAGCATGCATGCTCACACTTGATGGAACTTTCAGTTGTGAGCAGCTTGCGCTTCAGGCAAACTACAATCATTAATTCTCATTTTCAGTCAGCAAGCTGGCAATCTTGATCTACTCTAGTTTGCAATGCACTTTTGTTTCTATCTTAATTTAATCTTACCGTTTTCTTGAACCTATTGATTCATTGCATCAGATAAGGAGGTTTCCTCCTGAATATCCTTAACCCCACATTTTCTCGACCAGGTGTGAAATTTTGCCCTGTCGCAGCGCTGGCCCCAGGAGCCGCGCAAGGCGTCCCAGGTCAGGCTTCGCAAACTCAGCTTCCCTGCATCCAATTTGGGTATCCTACTTGGAACGTGCAAGGCCGCCTAGGTGCGCTCTGCCTACGGCCCTCTGCCAGTTGTTTAGCGTTACCTGTGTGAGACGTCACTAGACGGGAACGCTGAGTGTCGGCCTCACCAGAGGTACGGCTCGCTAAACAGCTGGTGCGTGGGTGCTGGACGCAGTGACTCACAGTAGGGTGTCGGGGTAGCCGCGCTTACTTTTCACTCTTTTGCAGTGCTGAGTACTTGATATTGGTGGCTGCCTCCGTGCCAACTTCAATTACTTCATTGATTCATTGCATTAGATCAGGAGGTTTCCTCCTGAATATCCTTAAGTACTCTGCCAAAGCAGATTCAGTATAGCAGGTAGTGAGACCTGGCAATCTGGAGGAAGCGATCCTCCCGAAGTCCACAAGGCCGGACTGTGAAATAACAAAGGCGGGTGAGACCTTCTATATCACACTTGCCCGCCTTAATCACACCAAACTCAGCTAGCGCACAGCTATAGCCTGCAACACAACATCGGGGCCAGCCGGCACTGCAGCAGTCGCGGGTGCAGGTGAGCCAGTAGGAAGCGGTCGTAGGGTGCCCAGCCAGCACAGCGCTATCGCAGCCCCGAGGGGCGGATGCATTCCACATACTCGAACATAGCTGTGCACAACAATCTTCAGCAGCCCTGAGGGGCGTGAAGTACGAACTAGCAAAGACTGCTGGAGCTCCCAAGGCGGATACAGAGTAGCCGACGTGCCGAGGATCCAAAGTGATCAGAGGTCCACATGCTGATTCTGGCAGTGAGTGCAATGCAAAAATGTCGTTGCTCCTGTTGTTGTCGTTGCTGTTGCTGTTGCTGTTGCTGTTGCTGTTGCTGTTGCTGTTGCTGTTGCTGTTGCTGTTGCTGTTGCTGTTGCTGTTGCTGTTGTCGTTGTCGTTGTCGTTGTCGTTGTCGTTGGTGTTGTTGTTGTTGTTGTTGTTGTTGTTGTTGTTGTTGTTGTTGTTGTTGTTGTTGTTGTTGTTGTTGTTGTTGTTGTTGTTGTTGTTGTTGTTGTTGTTGTTGTTGTTGTTGTTGTTGTTGTTGTTGTTGAACGCCCGAGTGTCGTTGCAAGAATGGAATGAAGTGTGTTTTCATGCCTCGATGATTCATTGCATTTGAATGAGTGTGCACATGACATCCAGCTAACCTCCCACAAGAAATGACATGATGAGATAGCTGAATGTTCCCCTTGTTTGCCTGTGGCGCGTCATTCTCGAAGGCATGTATGTACTCAATTGAATTCATGCTCAGCATGCGAAGTTCTTTCTGCGTTCGGTGAAGGACGGCACGTCGCAGCTCTTTCGCTTCCACGGCCTTATTGACAGCTGCGAACATCTGCGAACTCTCTGTATGCCGGAAGCCAGTGGAACCGGCTTTTCGCTTGACAGAAGGCTTGAATCACGGCGGCGTTTTGCTGCTTCAGACCCCCCATCCGCAGCGCAAGCAGCCACTGGCAGTCGCTAGCAGCCGGGCCTATCAAGCTGCCGGCCATTCAGCGATCCAAACAGCCCCAGGGTCCATGCCACGGGAGCCCCGGTCATCAACAGCTGCATGTTCTCTGTTTCCCGCCACTAGATACTGCGTAAAACGCGGTATGCCACAACCTGCTGATCACGGGAAGGTGCCGGCTTCCCACAGCCTCGTAAGCAACAGCTCTTCCGCTACGGCCTCGTCACGCAGGTCGTCCTCACCTTCAAAACCGTTTTTCGTTAGCGGGACCATCCCTGCTTGGGACGTCAACTCCGTCCATTCTCGCTTGACATGTTGATGGAATTGAATTGTTTTTTGAGCCATATCGTCACACGGCTTTGGGACGATATACTGTTCATATCCTAGTTGACCAGCCCCTTCGAGCTCCAGTGTGTGGCCACATGCCTGTATGCAGTCGATTGACAAAAAGTCAACAACCAACCACCCCTGGCACAAGAATTCTGCAATGAGGCCCGCGAAACACAGCATGCCTTTGCTCGGTCACAACGCAACTCTCCTCGACTGAGAGGAACTGCTTCTCAGGCGAATCATGCAGAACAGCTCCTCGCGCCACGCTCTCCGTGATGAACACCTGAGAACATGCGAACAAGTGAAACTGACACTTACTAACGGTTTTTTATTCTTGTAAACCGAATCCGCATGGCATGCTTCTGAATCGAGAAGCCAGCTCCGACGAAACTTCATGCGCCCAATCTGGATCCTCCTGTCGGCTGTATGCACTACAGTAAGATGCACAATGTAAGTGTCGAAGTGTCCCTAAACGTTCTGAAGCGTAGACCTTGAGCAAATCCCGCAGAACAGACACCAAGCTACATGACAGGCTTCGATCCTCCCAGAACTTGGACAACGGTAGAAGCAGCCACTCGACGTCATATGACATGTAGAGAAAGATGATGTAGAAAACTGCCGGGAGGCCAAAGAACACCGCATCCTGAGAAGTCCGAGCTTTGTCATTCCTTGAAATTCAGCTCTTCAGCACTGTGAAGATCTGTGAAGCTAGGAAAGTCTAGGCAGCCTTCTTGAGTCCATCCTGAGCTGCCATCATGTGCCCTTGCGACGCACTTGACACGCGACGTCCTGCGAAGATACCTCTGCAGCAATACGCAAGAAAGTCCCAGCCACCACCAGAGTTTGGAGATTGCGGTGCTCTACCTCCATCTGCTGGGCAACAAACATGTGAAAGATGAAGTGGGACAGCGCCAGCACCTGACTGTTTGTAAAGTCCTGTGTGCGTGTGTGTGTGTGTGTGTGACATGTGTGTGTGTGTGTGTGTGCCATGGCAACTAAGGAAATCACGCATGTGATAATAACCCACCAGAACATGGGGTCCTGCAAAGGCAAGACTTTCAGGAAGCTTGACATGTAGGAAACAAATAGGGAAACAAAATCGACAAGCAATCTCAAGCGTCTCCTTGTAGGGCGCCAAGTTCTGGAAGTCCACTAAAACTCCATGCCGGATCATGAGGTAGAACCTTGACGAGCTAGTCAACATCTGCAGAGGGATCGAGTGCTCTAGATGTCCTAGATTCCTCGTAAGGCCAAGGCAGCCGTTGACACAGGATGAGCTGTGATGCCACCATCAATGCCACAATGATTGAAACCGGTGGAAAGCACCTCGGGCTAAGAAGGTCTTTTGATGCAATTGAATCCACGCGGAGGAACGAACATAAACTCAATGGAGGCGAGCCGGAGAGGGCGAGGGAGAGAGAGAGAGAGAGAGAGAGACAAACATAGAGTAGAGAGACAGTATCGCCCACGATCAGAAACCCAATAGTTAATTGTATGCACGTGTGAACGAAACCCAAGATTGAATGTGTTTTAGTTTATTCACGCGGGGTCTTCATTATTCTTTACTAATGGTACTTTATTACCCCGCGAAGACAATATACCAAAAGACGAAGAGAATACAATTTAATACTAACTGTAAAGCAGTGAAACGATTGCACAATTCAAAATTACTGTAAATGTGCTCGCCGGTGACACAGAAACTATTCCGGATTTTGTGCCCTTTCCTCACGTGCCAACAACATAATGAATCCTGTGAACAGATGAACACAGTAAACTCACTTGTTCTCCTAAAGTTCACTAAAACTACGCGATACTCTGTCCTGACCCCCCGCCTCCCAACCTTTCAAGCCTTCTGCTACACATTCGGCCAAGGAAAAAGCTAGATCGTTCCTGTCTAGCTAACAGCACACCATTCACAATGAGGGGGGGCTAGTTCTGGCTGCGGCGCCGAACGAAGGCTTTTGTGGACTCGCAAACATAGCTGTGCGCCAGCCCGATGTCAGCCTGTAGCTTGACTTATTCAGCCAATCCATTGTTCGCACTGGCCCCATCTCATCACAACACGGATCGCAAAAGGTGATTCGAAAACAGGTAGTAATTAACTACTTTCACATGATATCCCATTCAACAATGCAAGTTGCGGGATCACACTTCATAAGGAAGTCTTTGGCATCTGCTTGAAGCATCTTCTGGATGCCTGAATTGACTGTGTGCCAGTAACTCATTACTGGTCTCTTTGCGCTTAGCTTAAGATGCAACTTAGCACCGATGTTTCTCTGTGACAAGGCTCGAGTCGAAAACACTTGAAGCGCCACAACTGCAAGTGCTAAGCACCTTCGTGTCAAAGCCAGAACAACAAGGCAGCCAAGTGTGATTGCATAGCACACACATCATGCAATGCTTCAAACTGCAGCTGGGAGTCTGTCGCCCTGGTCGCAGCTGACAGCGCAAGCTAGTCGGGCGTTTGCATTGTCAACAGCTTGTCATTATTCGAAAGTAACAGCTAAACACAGACTGCACGACTGCTACTGGCACATAGTGAAGGAGGTGTGTTGCCTTAGCATGTATCGGCATTGGACACTTAGGTTTGTTGTTGACACCCCCCCTTCCGGCAACAAACAAGAACAAAAAAGACCTGACCCCTACTGAACAATACCTCAGCACAGCCCCACTAGTCAGTAGATCAGAGACTTGACAGACTGAAACGCTCACTTCGTCTCATGACATCCAGGCGACCGACGACCATGGCGGTATAGGCAAAGATAAAAAGAGGCTCGCCCAGCTGCTCCTGAGAATGCCAAGAATGGCTTCGTTACCATGGTCAGGCTGTTCAAGCTGTTCTGCGCGGCAACACGGATATTGAGGCAAGGAGCCCACTCAAAAACTTTCGGCTCGGTGACATCGGTGGCCCCGGATGCAGGTACATGAACGTAGCTCGAGTCAGGACCTGCAAGAAGGCGTAGTGTGAGGAACACTTGAGCACGTGAGAGAAAGGAGGCAAAGGCCGCTTCTTGATGCTTCCTGCAGAGTTCTCTTTCTGTGAGCGATGTACTTGTCTGCTGTGAGCTTTCACCATTTCATCAGAGTCTGAAAGAACTGGATGACGCTCCTGGTACTGACTCCACAAATCGCAAGCGAAGGGGAAGGGACGACCTATGATAGCCTAGGCAGGACGCGTAACTAAGAGGAGCTGCGAAAAGCAATCATGGCTAATCCAAGCCAAACAGAACCCCTGACCTGGGTCCAGCATCACGTCAAACCAACAAGCAGCTGATGCTTTCAGAAGGCAGATCCATGGCACAATATGGTCCAATGAAAGCCGGTGTCATGAACGCATGGCTGTCTGTGCAGTGATAGTCTGGGGATGTCATGTCTCTCTGTCTCTCTTGCTCTGATAATACTAAGTAGATGTTGCCGGCGAACATGTTACCGGGCTACAGATCTCATGACCTTACATGATCTCACGTTCTCCGCCCGCGGAGTACAACTGATTTGCACTGACAAAGCACGACAGAGCATGCATGTCGTAACCACGTGCGCCTGACATGCTTTGACACCCCGACTTTTGCGAACTAATGGGCAATCACAAGACGAAGTTGGCACGAAAGCTAAGGCAGCACGGACGGGTGTCTTTTGTTCGTCTCAGCAGCCCAAATTCAAGCTGCCAAGACCAAAGCAGCACCGGCGCCACCCGCGGCTCAGCTCCTTAACGAGTGTACACTTTGGCTCAGCTTGGGTAAGTTTGGGTCATGGGCGTTGCGAACACCACTCCACGATCTTCCCTCACCTCAGTGGATCGTCGAGGTCTTGCAAACATGATATGAAGTCCACCTTGCCGTAAGGCTCTCGAAGGTAAAAGACTCTGAGATTATGGTATTTTGCTTCTGTTGACTGGGTGTAGATTCTACATCTCCCCGAAACACCAGTGCACTCGTTTACTATCATTATCTGTAATGAGACGGGTCGGATCAATGCTTCGTATGATCCCCAAACAAATCTGGCACCCTCTACAGACAGGATTTTTTCTGAGACCCGCAAGTCAACTTCGAAAAGTTGGCGGCCTCGGCTAAAGCCAGGACTGCAGCTTCCATAAGAACAAGCAACTCGAAAACTTGCCCTCAAAACATCGCAAAACTGGCTCCATTAAACAGCGTGCCTGGTTGGTAGCTGCTAGTATGTCATGCTAATGATGCCAATCCGGCGTCTGAGCTGACCCGTCGAAGTAATGAAATTCCGTGCCCTGACACGAAGAAACTTAGCAACGCCTTTCTAGCATTCCGGTCAACCTCGGGACAGCCGCTACGAGTAGCTCCTGGTACCGCCCCCGGTTCATTGCCACTTCGCCTCCCGCTTTTGTGAGATGTATGTCTGTGCATCGCACGGGCTGCTTCTGCATAACCCTCAATTCAAAGGAAACTGGATCCAAGTTGCTGAAGCTGCCGCTTTTCTCACTGCCCCCACTGGCACTGCACCCACCCCCCCCCCCCCCTACGAACCCATCTGTTGCTCATTTCCAGGCCTATGTCAACGCTCCTCGAATGACTTCGGCGAACCCTTACTCTGCGATTCCAACTTCTGCCTGACCCGAACTGCCAAAAAAAACACACACACTTCGACCGTCCAGGCCGGACTGGGGAATGAGGGAACCACGACAGCCAGGAGATTGCGTAAAGCGGGTATGAAGGTGCAACCGCGTCCTGTGTTACCTGGAGGGGGCGGCCGGGTGGGTGGTTCCGCCCCACGCCCCAAGTCAGAAATCCCCCGTTGCGAACGACTTTAGGATTTGTCTTGTATGGCCTGGCATGCTGCCGTGCGTCCATTTGCAGGATGGTCCTGTGGCCGGACGTCACAGGTGTTATCCAGTGCTCGCATTTGTCCCCGTAGAAAAACGCGGCATCACCTTCCAAGAACTTGGATGCAGCTCCAGGTCTCAAGTTTCTCAAAGTAAAGATGGGCAAAGGGCTTCGCTGACCTGTCCCAAGCCTCGCGCTGCGGCTTTCCTCAGTTGCATCGAGTCGGCAACGAGCATCGCTTTCTACCTCTCATCAGTCACATGATACATACATGTTTACATCATGTGTACCATCTATATATATATATATATACACACTTATAATATACTTTGTAGCTACACACAAAACATGCAAGCGGGCGCGCGCACAAAAAAAATCTGAATACATACATACATACATATATACATATAGACATATAGACATATAGACATATAGACATATAGACATATATACATATATACATATATACATATATACATATATACATATATACATATATACATATATACATATATACATATATACATATATACATATATACATATATACATATATACATATATACATGTATACATGACGTATACATGTTGTATGCATGTATACATACATACATATATACATGTTTTACATAAATACATATGTACATATATACATATATACATATATACATATACACATATATACATATATACATATATATACATATATACATATATACATATATACATATATACATATATACATATATACATATATACATATATACATCTGTACATCTGTACATCTGTACATATATACATATATACATATATACATATGCTACCCCCCCCCCCCAAAGATCGAGGTATTTTCATGATTTGGCGATGTCAGGTTGAAGATTTGCGTGGGCCCGGAGGCAATGTGAAGTTGAAGATTTGCATGGGCCCGGATAGGTGCAGATGAGTATAGGACGTCGATTGGAAAGATAAGCAAGATACCATAAGCCCAGGAAGTATTCAAGTGCATAAGGTGATGTGGAGAAACACTGTATTCCTGAAGACGCGAGAATACTGTGAGCAAATCTCCTTTCACTATGTTACGGGTTCTGGACCTTCCAAAAGCCCGACTTACTCTCAAGTATGTGGGTGTTCATCTCATCATTCCCAAAGGACCCCCAAAAAGAGTTATCATTTCTCAAAGATAAGACTCATTTATACACTATCCTCACTTACAAGTAAACAGCCTAATTAACCCTACTCGATTAAGGTTCAGATTAATTCGATCAAGAAGTAGGGTCAGACCCTATTCCAAGATTTATGTGTCTTAAAGGTTTAGGGTTTAAGGTTTATATAGGCATTTAAACCTAAGCCGTCAATTCGACCGAAACATTTGAACTTTAAACCCTCTTGGGTGTAAGGTTGAAAGGCTTAGGGTTTAACATTTAGGCATCTAAACCTCAACCGCCATTTAAACCTGAACCCTTAACCGTAAAACCCTTTTGGGTTGAGGCTTAAAAGGTTTAGGCCTTAAGATTTAGGCATTTAAACCTAAGCCCATCGAGTGTAAATCTTAACGGGCCTAAACACTTAACCTTTAAGCCCTATAGGCTATAGGGTTAAGGTTTAAAGGATTAGGGTTTAAAAGTTCAATAGTAAGCCCATAGAGTTTAAGCCTTAAGGGGCCTAAACGCTTCACCTTTAAACCCTATAGGCTATAGGGTTAAGGTTTGAGGGTTTAGGTTTTAAAAGTAAGCCCATAGAGTTCAGACCCCAAGGGGCCTAAACGCTTAACCTTTAAACCCTATAGGCTATAGGGAAGGTTTAAAGCTTTCGGATTCAAGATTTAGGCATTTAAACCCAAGCCCACCTTAAGGGTTTAAGGTTTTAAACCCTCAAGGCTTAAGAAATACCCTAAGCCTTTAGACCCTATAGGGCTGAAAGGTTAAAGAGAGCGTAATGTCTGGGCATTTATACTTTCAACGCCTATAGGGTTAAACCCTTTTAACGTTTTAGAGCCCTACAGGGCTTCAGGGTTCTGACCCTAAAGGGCTTAGGGTTCTCGTTTACATGCTTAAACCTTAAACCCTTAAGGTTTAAGCTCTATGGGCTTGTGTTTTAATGCCAAATCTTAAACCCTAAGCCTTTCAACCTTAACCCTATGGCCTATAGGGTTTAAAGGTTGAGCGTTTAGGACCCTTAAGGTTTAAACTCTATGGGCTTACTGTTGAACTTTTCAACCCTAAACCTCTAAACCTTAACCGTGCCTAAACACTTAACCTGTAAGCCCTATAGGCTATAGGGTTAAGGTTCAAAGGTTAAGCGTTTAGGACCCTTAAGGTTTAAACTCTATGGGCTTACTGTTGAACATTTCAACCCTAAACCTTTAAACCTTAACCGTATAGCCTACAGGGCTTAAAGGTTTAGCCCACGATCCCGAAATCTATGGGCTTGTGACACATGACCTTGAGCGACGTCACGAAATTTACTTCTGAGACTTTATAGCGACGTCACGAAAGCTAAAACTGAGACTTTACAAGACGTGAACCCGATTGAAAAACGATTGAAACGATTGAAGTTCAATCGGGGGCCGGATTGAAGATTGAAGATTGAAGATTCCCAGAAAAAAGCTTTCCGGGAATCTTCAATCTTCAATCTTCAATCCGGTCTCCGATTGAATTTCAATCGTTTCAATCGTTTTTCAATCGGGCCCCCGATTGAATCTTAAAGGTTTAGCCCACGATCCCGAAATCTATGGGCTTGTGACACATGACCTTGAGCGACGTCACGCAATTTTCTTCTGGGACTTTATAGCGACGTCACGAAAGCTAAAACTGAGACTTTACAAGACGTGAACCCGATTGAAAAACGATTGAAACGATTGAAATTCAATCGGGGCCCGATTGAAAAACGATTGAAACGATTGAAATTCAATCGGGGGCCGGATTGAAGATTGAAGATTGAAGATTCCCCAAAAAAAGCTTTCCGGGAATCTTCAATCTTCAATCTTCAATCTTCAATCCGGTCTCCGATTGAATTTCAATCGTTTCAATCGTTTTTCAATCGGGCCCCCGATTTTTTCAATCGAGCTCACAATTTGAAAATACGACCACGCACATATGAAGACTCGCACATATCAAGATTTACATGTCCATATTGAGATTTACATGTTTAGCTAGCCCCCCACCCCCAACCCTAAAACCCTAAAACAGATCCCAAAACCACGAAAATACCTAGATCTTTGGGGGGGGTACCATACATATATACATATATACATATATACATATATACATATATACATATATACATATACACATATACACATATATACATATATCATATATACATATATACATATATACATATATATATATATATGTGCCATGGACCTTTAGGTATAATGTGAGGTCGTGTCGTGCTGCTCTGTTAAAAAACAAAAAGAAACATAGTGAGCCTGTACAGATTGACTGGGCTCCAAAAAATGTAGGTTACAATTTTCACTCCCCCACCGATGCGAATGTGTTAGTTGTAGGATCCTACGTCTGGGTCCACGTTTTGCAGATACCGCGCGCAGAGCGAGTCACGCATGCCCTTGTTGATTTCTGCTGGACGCGAAGCCACTGCTTACATGGACCCGCAGACTGCCAGCTCTTTTCGTCTGGCGTAGTCACGGCTGAGGCCAAGAACCTAAGTTGTAAATCCTAAATCCTCAACACTAACGCCTCAACCCTAAACCCTGAACATTACACCGCGAGCCCTAAACCCTAATTTGTAAATCTTTGCTCCTCAACTCGAATCCTGCAACCCTGTACCCGCAACTGTCATCCCTGATTCCTGAACCTTAAAAACAAATTTCAAAAGGCTTCTCCAGCTGCAAAGCTGGAGATGCAAAAGCGGCGTGCAAGGCAAGCCACGCATACCCCCTGCTTATTTCTGCTGCACGCGGGGTCACTGGTACAATTATGAAGTGCCGAGGGTTACCCGTGGACACTTTGACCGGAGCGCCACACTTTTCGTCTGGGTCCGTCGCCGTTCAAGCCTAGAACCTTATTTCTAAATCCTGAGTCCTCAACACTAACCTCTCAACCCCCAACCCTGAACCATATACCGCAAGCCGTAAACCCTAAACCCTAAATCCTTGCTCCTCAACTCTAATCCTTCAACGCTGAACACTCAACTGTAAACCCTGAGCCCTAGACCTTAAACCCTACATCCTGAACCCTACACCACATGCCTTTGAACAAAAGGTTTTAAAAGCATGGTCCGAACTCACTCAGCAGGAGAAGTCAACCTTTGTTGCTTCCGGTGGGGAGTCCCTAACGTTCCTGGCATTAGGGTTTCGGGTTTAGGGTTTAGGGGCTTAGGGGTTAGTGTTGGTAAGTAGCTCGTGCGATTCCACTTAGGATTCGGGCCATGCTTCCAGTCAAAACAAAGTAGATCATAAGTTTTGGATGTTCGGACCCGAAGCCCAACCCCTCGAAGAGTTAAAAAAGCGGGGAGGCGATCTCTCTTAATCTCACTTTAGGGGTTTAGGGTTACCCCTAAACCCTAAACCCTAATTTCACCTTAAACCCTATTCGGTATCGGGTAGCTATCAGGGGACGTATTCTATGAGGGACCCCACAAAGCCTCAAGCATTTGTTGGGCTTCCTGACGAACTCACCCTAAACCCTAAACCCTAAACCCTCAACCCTAAAAAACCCTAAATCCTAAAAAGGCTGTGACCAGGAGACGGGCCCGCCGCCCACCCCGAAGCCACCCCAGCAGCTCCGATGCCGTGGAGCGCCTTTTATGGGTTAAGGGCTTAGGGCTTAGGGTTCACAGTTTAGAGTGGTTTAGAGTTCAGGGTTTAGAATTGAGCCTAAACTCTAAACCCTTTTGATTACAGCAAAGCGTGCAGATTTTTTTGCCCTAAGACGTACACCCAAACCCTCAACCCGAAATCCCCTGAGAACTACCTGACACTTGCTACAGTTTAGAGTTGACGGTTGTAGGACTTCAGGGTTTGGACCCTAAACTTTTCAACCCCAAAAGACATATACAGCTGAACTCTTCCGCAAAAGTCGGGCCTTACGGAATCGCGAAGGTCGACTGCCCAGCGCCGGGATCAATAGTAATAGAACAGGCCTGGACAAGTCCCTTGGATGACACGAAGATGAGATGGCACAAGAATCGTGTTCACTGACATGAGGGACTGCCGAAAATGGCTCGTGTCACTAGGTGACGCAGAGAGAGGGGCGTCGCTTTTCAAGTGTTCCCATGGTTTTACAGGGTTTTAGCATCTCCATGCTTGATATCTGGAGGTGTCGTTTTGAGAAGATTCAATGTTTTAGGCCACTAAACGATTCATCAACTTAGAATTGTCGCTTTTCAAGTGTCCCCATCGTTTTTGAGGGTTTTGGGCATTCGTGTCCACCCCTTACTTATTTGAACGGCTGAGGGTTTTGCCGCTTGCTTACACGGGATAATCAGTCACTGCCAAGAAGCTGGACTCTACTCGACGCCAGCTTTCCTCGGCCGGTTGGCCTTTCAACCTTTGGAGAACTCCGACCAGATGCCTCTTCGCCTCCGGGCGCAGCTTGTTCACATCAACATCAGCGGGTCTCTCGCGTTTGCAGCGAACGGTGATTGAAGTATAGTAGTGCTGGAAGTCGAGGCAGCCGCAACGGCGGAAGAACCAGGCGAGGTACTTGAAGTCGTAGTGGTGCTGGAAGTCGAGTCAGCCGCAACGGCGGAAGAACCAGGCGAGGTACTTGAAGTCGTAGCGCTGGAAGTCGAAGCCGAGGGCCAGCGACACGTGGAGCGCCAGGTAGCCACGCGAGCTGCACGCCGTTCCTTGCACGAAGGCGTAGTCGGCCACATGTTTCCGCAAGTCAAAAGCCGTCAAGCAAGCCCGGAAAAGCAAAAACGCTGCGATAGGTACATGAAGCCGGTCTGGACAGGACAGCACAGATGCACATCTCAATGCACATCTCAATGCACATCGACAATTGCTTGTTTTTGTACACAGCCTGTGTCGACCACATGTTTACACAAGTCGGAAGCCGTCAAGGCAAGCCCGCAAAAGCAAAAAGCTGCGATAGGTACATGAAGTCGGTCTGTACGCGACAACACAGATGCACATCTCAATGCGCATCTCAAAGCACATCGAAAATTGCTTGGTCGGTTCTGAGCTTTGAGGGTACGAGTTGACTTCAGAGCCCCCACTCGCAGCCGCTCGACGCAGCCGCCAGGGCGGTCGCCACCAGAGCCGCTGTCCTAGTGGACGGTGGAGTCTGTAAGGGACCGGAGAAGACTAGAGACTGCAGGAACTGAAGAGTCACACTGCAGCCTTCAAGAAGCTGGAAGACCAGAGAGTTTGGAGGCTGGAGCCTGAAACTATAGCCTGCAGGGCCCCTGCAGGGCGGGTTTGAGGCGGGTTGTGCAGGGTCTGGGATTTTTGGGCTTTCGGCTGATGGTTTCATGCGCCACCCGCTTGCTCCCTCGCCTGCCACTTCCAGGCGACGCGAAGGGTCTCTGCGATCGTCTCTGTGTTCTTTTCCTGGGAGGGTCTTGGGTTTCAGGGTTTAAGCTTGATCAGGCAGCTGCATGACATGGGCACTCGAGAGTTTCGGGTTAGGGGTTGTCCAGGCCTTCCCATCCTGGTGGCGGGTGCCGCGGCTGCGCCACCTTGAGACGCTTGGCTGTCGCCGCGTCTCCGTCGCTCGAGGCTCTCTTGGCCTACGGCTTAGACGGGCTTAGGGTTTAGGGTTTGAGGGTTTTATACTTGGGTTGAGAAGGGTTTCGAGTTCCAGGTTTGAGGTTTAAGGCTTTTATAGTTGGGTTTCGACGAGTTTAGGGTTTAGGGTTTCAGGGGTTATATCTTAAAGGCTTAAGCGTTTTCAGTTTCCGCATTTGAGGTTTCAGCTTTAGTACATAAATTTGCTAAAGGAAGGCTTCAAGATGTTGGTTGTGGTAGTAGAGGTCGTCAGCTTATTATAAGCACTTTTAAAATCTGTGGCCTAAAGATTTTTAGATTTATAGGGAGTCAGGAGCGGATTTGCTTCAGGTCTTCTTGACATCTTCGGTTTAAGGTTTGAGGTTTAGACTTTAAGGGCTCGGGTCTAGCCTGTGGGGATTGAAATTTAGGGTTTGGGGTGTAGGGTTTCTGGTTTACAGTTTAATGTTGCACCCGCAATATTCTAGGGGGCCGCTATTATGAAAAGTTTTCCGGCTATGCAGGATCTGGAACCTCTGTTTCGGGGGTCCGCTATAATGAAAAGATTTCGGGCCGGGCCTGTTTTTTTAAATGGTTTTTTGAGGCAAAGTTCTTAGTTTGAGATCTGGTTCCAAAACCCTGAAGAGAGCTCATTTCTCTGCACGTCCTGACACAACACTCAATCTCCTGAACCCCCCCCCCTGACTGTTTGGGGTCTTTTTTTATTCAGGGTCGCGACTGTTGGGGGGGGGGGGGGGGGGGGGGGGGTTACATTTTTAAAGCAGGTCCAAAATTAAAGTGGAGAGTTTACTATTTAGATTTTAGGGTTTCGTGTTATTTGAGGGGGGCTGTGGGCCTTCGTGGGGTTTAGGGTTTAGGGTTCAGGGTTAACGCTCTATTGTCATTATGCACGAAGAAGTCCCTGATTCATGGATTCGCAAGGCTTGCAGTCGTAGCCACGAGTGCTAGGGTCTGCGAGTGTTGTAAGACTTTCCGTCCAGGACATCATAGCCCGGATGAAAAAAAGGATTTAGGGTCCAGGATTTAAGGTGTAGGGTTTAGGGCTTAAGGCTTTGGGCTTAGGGCTTCGGCGTCGGCTTAGGGCTTAGCGTTAGGGTTTAGGGTTTAGGGTGTAGGCTCCGGAACCCTCTTGTATAAAAGCATTAGATTTTAGGGCTTAGGGCTTTTAGGGTTCCAGGTTTAGAGTTTAAATATAAGGGTCTACGTTCAAACGTAGATGTTATGAATTCGTCGACCTTCGAATTTCCCTGAACCTTGAACGATAGCGCAAAGACGAGAATCCTTACGCTGCTGCCATGCGCAGCGCTGCGGAGGAGGAGGAGGATACGTAGGAGCCATTGGCATGTTGATTAATCATCCTCCACTATTATGTGAGGGGAGAGGGTTCGGGGCTGAAATATTGTAGTCGTGAACTTTCCTTCCCCAGCTCATCGTTCAAACCCCTGCACATCAACATAGCTGATGCGGTGATGAGCTTGTCATCTTCTGAAGAGTCGAGATCGAGACTACAACAAATGATGTTCGAAGAGAAAAGGTTTTGCATGACATGCTCTCATCTGGCACGCGTGTTGCCGATGTTTGACAGGACTAAAGGTCTTCGTCATTGGGAGGGGAAGAAAAACTTGTCGTTGCCGACATGCTTGGTTTCACTCTTCTTCCCCTCGGCCCTCCACTTTCTCAGAGATGACTGAGTTGCCCGCTGGTTTCACTATCGAGCGAGCTAAAGTACGTCTCGCCTGACCAGGAACATAAACCCTTGTGATGTCCTCATGAAGCTGAAACTAAGCTTCTCGGTTGAAACAACCATATGAGCGTGACTGTGCCAGGTGCCTTCCGCAGCTGCTCTTCACGCAAATAATTTAAATAATTTAAATCCTGATGTAAATTATTTAAATTATTTTCGAGGCCCGGGAATTTAAATAATTTAAATCGGGATTTAAAATATTTATATTATTTTCGAGGCCCGAGAATTTAAACAATTTCAATCCGGAATGAAATTATTCAAATTATTTAAATTCTCCGGCCTCGAAATAAGTTGAATAATTTAAATCCCGCTTAAATTATTTAAATTCTCGGGCCTCGAAAATAATTTAAATAATTTAAATCATTATTTAAATTATTTGAATTATTTAACTTATGTAAATTATTTAAATTATCTAAATTAGTTAAATTATTTAAATTATTTAAACAATTTAAATTATTTAAATTAGTTAAATTATTTAAATTATTTAACTTATTTAAATTATTTAAATGGTCTGGGCTCGGAGAAATCCGGAATCTGTTTAAATTATTTAAATTCTCGGGCCCCGGAAAAGAATTTAAATAATTTAAATCCTGAATTATTTACATTATTTTTGAGACCCGAGAATTTAAATAATTTAATTCCTGATTTAAACTATTTAAATTATTTTGGGAGCCCGAGAATTTAAATAATTTCATAGTTTAAATCCGGAATTAAATGATTTAAATTATTTTCGGAGCCCAAGAATTTAAATAACCTAAATATTTAATTCTTCAATAGGTTCTCCATATATAAAGAAAAACAGGTAGCAACATAGTACATAAAGGCCCCTCTCTCATACATATATACATATATACATATATACATATATACATATATACATATATACATATATACATAAATACATATATACATATATACATATATACATATATACATACATATATACATATATACATATACATATATATATATATATATACATATGTACATATGTACATATATACATATATACATATATACATATATACATATATACATATATACATATATACATATATACATATATACATATATACATATATACATATATACATATATATACACACATACACATATACGCATATACGCATATACGCATATACCTATATACATATATACATATATACATATATACATATATACATATACACATATATACTAATATACATATACACATATAGTAATATACACATGTATATATTTCATGTGTTTACATATTTTTCTAGATATACACATTTCGCTCTCCCTGTCTCTCTCTCTCTCTCTCTCGATGCTCGTTCCTTTCAAAGTGGTGCTTGCAAGTAAGCTGAAGTTCATCTCCAAGCATCCCCTCCCTTCCAGCCAGGTTCGAAGCAATTGAGGCCACCCTGAAATTCTGTCAGCTGAGAGAGGAGCACGACGACTGTGACCTGGAGCACTCTCATGTGCACAGACCGCGATGCCTGTGGAATTTATGGAGTGCTTTGAAGTTGCTGATGTCTTTGGCAGCCTGGGACTCGTTGTCCGTGTGGGGCTCAATGGTACCAGCCTCTCCCAGTTTGCCCACATCATACTGAATGTACCTGGCTACAGATGGAATGGCAAACGCGGGGCATTTAGTCATGACGGCGGGATTCCGATTGATCGCAACTGAGACACTCAATTTCTGGATAGAAGCGGTCTCCCACTTCGATTTCGCCCCAAAGCTCGTTGTCCAAGGCCCTGCGCTTGACAAAGGTCGAAAGAAAACCGACCGGCCCTAATGCTGTGATGTTCAGTCTTCACATGTTTGTCCAGCCTACAATATTCCATCAGCCGGGTGTAAACCTTGGGCATAGCCTCCTGCATCCAAGCAGGCGCATTGTTACTCTGATGGTTGCTCAGCCCTGCAACATGCATGAAGACTCGACATGTCTGCTTTGGTGCTCAACATTGCTGCTTTGTGAACCTACTGCTCCGCTCGGTACAGTAGCCCCGTGAAGATGTCGGCAGCCATGCCATGCCGCTGCCGCTGCAGCACAATAAGGCCGAAGTGTGACAGCAACCGACCCACTGACACTGGTATGTACCCTCAATTCCAGCCCCTGCCGCATGCCGTGTAGTGCATCCTATCGCATTGGATTTGGGACTTAGAAGGTTTAGCCCGATATCCCGTTACCTGCATCTTAAGCATCCTCGAGAAAAGCAGTGCAGGGCAGAGACTGGCAGCTTCAGATGTTTATGCCTCTTGCATGGGCATAGCATGGGCAGAAGCAGACCATAGAACTCCCACACGACAGATTCCGCGCACTCCTGCAGCTCATGCTCCATCCTCCAGACCTCATGCCGATAGATCAACTCGTCGTCTCGATCATCGATCTCCTCACCAACGACATGCAGCAGCTCACCACCTCACCTGCTTAATCCAATGACGACTGAGAGAACGTGCCTTCAGTGCGAATGCATGAAGCATGCCAGTGACTTGCACCACCTGTACATGCACCCACAAAAGCATCCAAACATTTCCAAACTGTCCAACAGGGCAGAAACCTCCTGAGGCGAAAGGAATCCGCGAACGACTGCAATTTGGAGCTCCTGACAAATGTCATAGGTGCGGGAGTGACACACGAAGGTGTTTCTTTTGGCTCTGGCGTGACCCCACATGGACATGTGTCGGTCCGTCGGCGCACTGTCAAGTATGCAGCATGGCATTTTGTATCTTGAGGGTGTCGTGTGTCTTGCAGACATCAGACCACACGTGCATGCACAAGTGCCTCCTGCTCGGCATCTAGCAATTCGAATCGCGGTGCAGGTGGAGGATCGTCATGAAATTCCACAACATCCCCTGAGCCAGTGGATTGGCCAGACCAGTGCCAACCCGAATTGCAGAACTCATCCAGTCAGGTAGAACTACGGCAGAACGATATGCACATTGCATGAGTGACTTTGCAATATGTAATTCTCTTTTTCACATGCACGGCCCAGACGGCTCAACAGTGAACATGGGGGAATGTGTGAGCGGTGGGTTCCGCTAACGCTTGTTAAAGTGGCGAGCCTGCAGACCTGCAGCACTGCTTCTGCCCAACCAAGTCTTGTAAGCCCCGGGCAATCAGCTGTATCTCCACATTTGGGACAGGCGCTGCACCACCATGGTAGAGAGTGGACCATGTACTGCAGCACTAGGGTCAAGAACTGTGATGTGCGGCGAAACTGCCCAACAATGTCGTTCCGGCCTGTGTTGCCCACATCCACTGCGTGTGACTAAGAATGGCTTGTGATTTGGAGGTTCTGCTGTGAGAAAAAGCGCCCTGAAATTGGCAAGCAGAAAGGAGCACAACGCGAGCGTACTGTGCACACTGGAGCTTGATCTGTCTCACCGTAGCCTCCGTTCGCAGCAGGCTTTGCCTGAAAGAAAACTCGTACCAGTTGTTGTAGAATTTAATTGAGAAATTGGGCGAGGCTTAGGGGCGTCTTCAAGTCAATTCCCTTCTTTACAAGATCTATATGCATTTGCTGAGTGCATTGCCGGTCACGCGGCTTCTCTGCTCTCGAGGTTTTCTGCCAAAGCCAAAACTTGTTGCTACTTAGCTCAGCACATTGGAACTTGAACTCTTGTGAAGTTCAGTGTTTCAGGTAGCAGACAGGGCTTGGGGTTCGAGAGCGGCTACCCAGAGATGCATCACGTTAGGTTCCGTGGATAACCAGCTCGATGCGTGCACAACCGTATGTACTGCTGAAGATCTGGTGCCTGCTCTGGAATTCAGCTAGGCGGCACACGAAACTCAAAAAACCTTCCTGCCCAGCTAGTCGAGCTTGATGATCAGCTTCATGGTGGGAATCGGAAGGTCAACGGAATTTACCATGCTCCCTTCTTTCATCTCAATGTCAGTCAGCTTCGCGCGAGTGTTGTTTGTGGGCACCGTTGCGACAGCAACTGCGGCACAATGCGTGCAATGTGCAAGAGTTCGGGCTCCTGGGATGGGAGATACACCCCTGCTGTGCTCGGCAGGAGAATCTTTGGCTCATAATGTGACAGCAACATGCGCTCAAGCCACATGATCCACATCCTTGGGACGGGCTGCATAGCAGTCCAAGAGGACTGCATCCGTCTGAGGTTAATGGAAGACACTTGCCAGCCCAAACACTCCTCTGACATGCCCTCGATGCCTGTGCTGAATTGAGAAAATCAACTGTACATGGGTCGCAAACTTGGCTTGGAGGCTTGGAACAACCGAACTACCCGCTATGTAGCTGATTTGCATTGCTGCACAACGACCTTAAGTGTTTTCTGAAGCCCATGAGCCAAGTCAGCTGCTTGAGAAATTTCAGAAATTACTTTCAGAAATCACGCAAGGCTAGCCATGCGATCTGGCATCCCTTCGGCAAAAGCATGGTGCTGCCAAATCCTGCAGCACCACGCGCAGCTCTAGAAAATCATGGCGCCGCGCCAGCGCGAACATACATGTAGCACCGCGGCGAGGCGGAAATGTTGAAATCTTCAGGCTGCCCTGCAAAGAACCAATGAAGCGACTTTACGTCACATGAATCACGAATCATTATTTGCATCGAAAGCAAACTTGCTAAAGCATGACGTGTGCCTGTCGGGTGGCTGGCGCACCAACAAGGTCTTCACTGGATCCACCAAAAGAGGCATAGGTGTTGGTGTAGAGCTTCGTTGACGAAGCGCGTTGTTCGCCACAGAAAATTGATACAGCGCGTGCGAAAGCTCAACTTTACGACCGCCTTTGCGGAAAACGATTGGAAAGGCAGGTCTGATTAAAGCTTTCTATAGCGCATCTGAAAACTCTTCTATTCTGCATGTTTCACCAGCTTGCATGCCACCGGCTCGTTTCATGCAGAGGAAAACTGTAAAACGGCATGCGACGTGTGACGTGTTTACGCTCGATCTGGAATACATGGCTTTCGGAGAGGAATGCAAATTGTAAGTGGCATGCTGTGATACTCTGTGAGATGGACAGCTGGCAGCCGAAAGGCCGGAAAGACTCCGGAAAGTCAATCATCTCAGTTCTACCAGCTGCCGCATCGGACATGTTCGACCTGCAGTGCCGCCACGAGCACATACACTTCGATGCAGCTATGATCAGCTATGCGTACTTTCTTTCAGGTTTTGCAGGGTGCGGCAACAACAAGGGTCCAGCCTCCGTCTGCCTCAGAGAGAATAGGTAGGCCTTAAAATGACACGGCACGGCAGAAACAGATCGCACAGATTGTCAAGAACTTGCGTTCTACGTCAGTCGGGAGGCATCGCATCAAGGTCCAAAGACAAAAGCTCTGCGTCCTCACAAAGGTGGACACACTGCTGGAATCCAAACGATCTTCTACAAGCGCGATCTGGTGTATCCCAGTCCACATGCGAGCCTCGAAGCTAGAATTGCTGCTCGCGCTCGAGTAGTTGATCGTAGTCCATGAAGGAATTCGTCCTCACAATAGCTGTTCACTTTGCCACATTCAATGTGTCATGTCTTCATCTTGCTGGGTAGTGGGATAGCCGTTACTCCCTCAGGACAACCCAGCACGAAACCCTACAGCATGCTACAGCACAATCCTGAAGGGACAAAGGGCCCAAAGGGCAAAACGTCTGCCGTCGGGGCAACCTTGATCGTCGCAACTCTGGGATTTCGGTGCTCTCGAAAGGGTACACCCCCCCCCCCCCCCGCCCGACACTTGCACTGGATGTCATTTACATGCATCACGTGTGCGCAGCGGCACAAGTACTGCCATCAAGGTGCTGAAAGCGAGAGACCGTTCAACGTGCCACAAGTGGCCAAACTCTTGCCAACCGAGGCCTTGGAAAGGCGCCAGCACTCAAAGTCATTCCGACAACTCCGACAACTGGAAATCCCCTTGCCGCCGGATTGCTGACAGTAAGTGGTTTATCGTTGCCGCTGCATCCTGTTGACGAATCAGAGCTTGGGGCAGGAGATTCAGCACAAGTGCATGTAAACGTTTCCATGGTGTCCTCGTGGTCTTGACGGAACTGGGGACTCAACGGCATGAAGGTCTTCTCCGGGCCACGCATCAAAGCCCTTGGCATCGACTTCAGCGCGGATACGTGAGATCAACATGACCCCAACACTTTTTACTCTTTCCATTCGGTACTGAGACGGTGGCGATCGGCTTGGTACCAAAGGCGGAGCAGGCCAATTGCCGTGACGTCCTTTGTACTGAACAGTGCTTGCCCCCGTCCCCGGCCCCCCCGTTCATCCCGAAAGCCATGAAGCATCTCACATTCTGTACGTACAGCGCAGCCCCATTCAGCCGTGGTGCCGATGTGATCGCCTTGTCCGTAGTTGCCACCTGCACGAAGCCCACATGCGACGGTTGCAAAATAGGCTGGAGTGAAAGACAATGGTCAATGATGAGTGTACCGAATCTGTGGGTGATTAACAACCTGCACGAGGATTACACACGTGTTCGACCGGGATTTGTGGCTTGCTTGTATCAGAATGAAGTGTTCATCGCGGTGTTTCAATCACGAGGACGTCGGCCAAGACCGTCGAGCCAACCCCCTTGCCAAATCACAGCCTGGAACACCAAAGGGCTGGAACTTGCGAAGAAACCGCCGGTGCTTCAGGGACCCAGCCACCAACAGCGACTGCCATAGGTTCGATGGTCAGGCTTTGTTGAACGTCTTTACTTCTCAGCATGAGCCTTGGCTGCATTTTGTGAGGCCAGCAGCAAATCGGAAGGCGGGTGTGACGATCGAAATCTTGAATCATCTGGCGTGGTAAGCAGGACAAAGGAGGCCGTTTCTCGCTTGTGGGTCGCCTCGGGGTCTCCGACGCCTCACCTTGTATCCTCCTGACATACGCATCATACGCCGTGTTAGAAGGCTCGCGCCTACCCGGAGTCAACCGACATTCCAAAATTCCAAGGCCTGCAGCTGCGGCATTCAACAGGACGGAGGCGGCATAAGTGCGGCTCAAGTCAAAGTCTCCTCCGGCATATGTCGTATATGTCGTCGTGTCGTATTAGGATACGTTCTAGGATGTTCTAGGTTACTCCAGCGAAGGTTCACTCACGTGGCTTTCTTGCGCCGGAGTCCTGCATCACGGGACAGCCCTGGAGGTGCCGAGAGTCCCACCTGAACTTCACAGAGCTTCACAAACCAGCTCACAAAACGTCACAAACCTGAGGCTCGCAAGTCCTAGCCAAGAATGCTAAGCACCTCGAACGTAAGGAAGAATAGAGCAACCATGAGCGACTTGTGCTGGAGTGCACACCCCCAACACAGGCATGACCAACATGCAACTGATTGCGCGGATGAGAACAAACTCCTGACTTGGGATGACAGAAGCTAGAGAAATCTGGGGAGAGCCTGCTGGGCAGGCTTTTGAGCTGTCAGCGGCTGAAGCTCATCTTCACCGTGAGCATGTCGGCAGTCCTGACGAGTGCGGATTGGAAAAAACACTAGTAGCATAAAATAACACTGCTTCGATATCACGTTGGGATCCATATGTCTCCTCGCCTCGCCCTGTCGGCAACGTCCGTTCAGGTAGAACTTGCAGAGTGATGTCTGCAAGTCAGAGGATGTCACGGGCACTTAGCTTCAACTTTTGTTACATGTGCCTACATGTGTCTACCACGGCATGCATTGTGAATTTGGCCTTGAAGAACTTCTTCGTTGCACGAAGCTGCTCTGGGTTGTGAGCGAAGGAGCAGGAAGGATCGTCGCACGCACCCGTTGTTGTAAGCTTACCTGTAGCAGCTTCGCTGTGATAACAGTCGGATTGTGGCGACGAATGGATGCTGCGCGCACATCATTATGGACAGTGAGATACTGTGAGACTGAGCCAAGCCACGGCAAAGCGACGTAAAGGTAAGATCAGGACGTGTTCGAAGCCTGTGCCAACACTGGTTTTCGACTCGGAGCAAATGCCGGTGCTCTGCGTGTATCATTTTTCTCCTTGGGGGGAGAGGGCTTTGGGGGAGGAATGAAATTGAACTGGCGTCTATGAGCAACGTATACAGCGCAGTTGTGCTGCTCATCCCAATATGAACTGATTCTAATTGAAATCTGGCATCCTTCCGGGGAACCCTTCCGTGACGTTCCGTGCGTACTGCTGCTACCCATCCGGGGGCCTTGACGCTTCCGCGAGCTCATTTCATAAGGTTTCGGGATCTTGCTTCCGCAATCCAGGAGTTAACTTCTGCAAAGGAAGAAGCTTCTGATGCGGCGCTCCGCCAAAACCACACGGGCTTCCGCGCAGTGTTCGCGGAGCTTCCACGCAGCATCACGCAGCTTGGCCGAGTTCGCATCAAACGTCGCGGACGGAGACCCGTTCAAGCTAGTTCAAACCCTCATTTGAATCCTGGTTCCGGAATGCCCAACCACAAAGACTCGCTGAATCTTATACTGATAGTGTTGTAGTCGTCGTACATTTACCGCTTGCTATGGCAAACTTAGCAAACCATGCTGCTGCAGTATAAGAACCAGTCTTATTTTCTTGCAATGACTTTTGCCTCTCGCGAAAGCTGGGAGTCGAAATCTGCAACTATGAAGTGCAACTGAGGCGATGGCTCGGATGTACCGTGCGCGTACTTGCACTTGTCCCCGCGTGTGCACTTGCCCGCTTCATAGAACGAGCACTGCTGAGTCTTGTAGAACCTCGCATTCCATCACATGTTCCAATAGAAGCATTGTGCGATGTGTGGAAATCTGCAGAGCTGTGCCAAGCGGCTGAAGCTCGTAGCGATTCCTGTCCTTGTTGTTGGCCTCAGTGCGAAGAATCCAGCTTTAAGGCCTTAGCGGCTTAGCGCGAAAATGTGCGAAGCAACCACACTGAGTTGAGGGCCTCTGGCATGGCCGATGCGGCGACGGTGGTCCCCTTTTGCACGGTCATCACGGACTGACGTTGCCTCCCCAGACAAGTGTCAGAGGCAGACAGCCTGTCTCCGTCCTTTGACGTCCCTTGTGCTCCGAATTAATTGAACAACTTAACGCACGTACTGAGTTTACATGATATACTTCTGATCAGCCATGAGAGGGTCACTGCAGACTTGCCGGCCTTGCTGTGCTCTCTGGGACTTGAGGTCGAAACTCTCGAGCCGAAACCGCAGTAAGCATCAATCTGGCGCGCATGCCTATGACATCATGTACAGCTTGCATCCGACTTTTGAGGCAAGGTCCCCTTTCTGGGGCTCCTATTTCTAGTACGGCACCCTTTATAAGAACCGCAAAAGCGACCCTAATTTAGAAAACTCACAAAGCCTGGGGCCGACACAACAGCGAGCGCCGCTCGCAACTCAGCGTTGTTCTGCTCGACCTGTAGATCCCTTTGGGGGTGGATCGAGCTGGTGCCCTAGATGCGCCCATCAGTTGGTAAGCCTGAAAGTGCCACCCAGAAGCTTGCAAACTCGCGACTCTCTCTGGCCCACTGGGAATACTGCGAGCTGATGCGCGACACAATATATGACACATCAAGAAGCTCCGCCGAAGCCATGAGGCTTCAGGTATCTTGGTACAGGGAACGCACTCGGGATGCCCCCTTGTTTTGGATGCGGCCATCCGGACTTGCAAGGAGCTTGAATGCACCCCGGACCTACATGGCAAAGCTTTGGTGAGCGTTAAATGCCTCCAAGATCTCCAAGTTCCAAGTCAATTCGTTCACTGACACGCGGCGGTGTGATTTTCTTGGAATTTCGTGAGCCGGGGCCGGTCTCAGATCGGAAACCGCTATCTGGGAAGTGTTCTAGGGAGCCTAGGTATGAAGGATTGCAAAGGGAGTGTAAAGCACGCCAGGTTAAGCATGAGATGATATGAGATGCATGAGCTCAGTCACCTTTATAATCTTAGAATTTTGGGTCTTCTGGGCCAACCCTGACAGAAGCCGCAGCGGGACTGAAAGTTGGAACATCCAGGGCGAACACCTGTCCATAGCTGACGGCCATCGACCTCAACTTTTCACCAGAAACCACCAGACATCATGACATCACAAGCTGAGCTTTACACAGATTCGCTGAGATTCGCTGAGCCAACGGCTGCAGTTGCAGCTCTAGCTCAGACACGGCTACCCGGAGCCTTGCACCCGGCAGACTGCAGCTCGTGATGTGAACTACTTGACTTGCACAGTGCTTGCACATACCTGGACTATCTATGCTGCGCACATGCTAAGCCCCCTGAGCTCCCCAGTTTGAGCTCCTCACTTCTGACGCTCTTGTTCCAGTCGGCCAACGCGCTGGTCCAGCTGGCACGCAGCTGCCATCCGCAAGGAATCCACAGTGGGGCTGCCCCGGGTGGCAGGTTATGGCACCTTATGTCAATTTATACATTTGTTGATTATACATTTTGACTGCCCACCTCCTGCTGCAGCTCACCCACTTCCACGTGCAACGCCTTCAGTTGAGTTGCGAAGTCTCTGTCTGCAAAGCTGACATAGTGCGAGACGTGCCTTGTTCTCCAGCTCCAGGGCATCCGCCTGTCAGTGCCGAAGCCGTCAGTAGGTCTCTCTCGCCCTCGGGTACATTTGCTGACTTTTCCAGTCGCATCCTGCGCACAGCTGTACAATTCACAGGGTGCAGTTTGACACTGCTTCTCATCTTCTTGAGGGTAGGGCAGCATGCCGCCCAGTCAGGGGACCGGCATGGCGTCCTGTTCAGACGCTTCCTGGACTTTCTGGTTGACTTCTGGCTCCAGTGACTCCAACGCGCAGGAGTCTACCATGGATGCGTGAGACTCGACCATGCCCAGGAAAGCTGCCAGTTGGCTGCGCACTCCAGGACACAACTCTGAGCCATCTGTTGTGCATTCTTGGACCGCATCCAGCTCTGCACTGAATGCATGCAGATCTGCCAAGGCAGCCCTCACCTTTTCAACATACTCACGATGTCCTTCTTCGTGCGCCCGGACAGGTTCTCTGAGCAACAAGTACTGCCTGCAAGTATGAACATAGCGCTGCAACATCATGCCCTTCCGAACGGCTCTGTCCAAAGTCGTACCAAGACTCTGCTCACTGCAATTGTCTGATACCGAGATGTCCTGACAGGCTGCACATGATACCCCATTTGCTTCGTAGCGCAGGGTCAGTCGTACGTGCCCAGCGGACAGGCTGCCAAATTGGGCTCGAGGCTTCAACCGAAGCAGTATAAGACCTCCTTCAACAGAGCCATCTTCAGAGACGCCGCTCGGAAAGACCGTGTCAATGTTAACCACCGTCCGAACTCCAGCTGACAAGAATGAAAATATCTTCTGCCATGCTGGCATGGGCAGGCAACCGTGAGCGGTTCGCTGGGCACAAAGCATTAGCGTACGCGCGACTTCCTTGAAGGCAGTGGGATAGTACTTGTGAGCACTCGGCATCCACTCTGCTTCGATGGTCTCTTCATGAGTGTCGAGAGCTGTGCCATAGACAGCATGAAGGTCAAAAGCATCACTCTGATGAGTAACTTCGACGTTGAATGCTGCAGGAAAGAAATTCCAGTCAAAGTTGGAAACGATGATCTTGTGAAGCTCTTCCTGGCGCGTCATACAGAAGTAGTTGGCGCCTCGATGCTTTGTGACCACCTCTGCCAAGGAGGAGTTAAAGTGCGCACCTATGCCGACAAAGGAGACATACAAGCCCCTGTCAGATTGAGAAGCCACCAAGAGATTTAGCTGCTCAGAGTCCAAGTCATCCATGTCAGTGAGGAACAAAAGCCTTCGGTGTCTGCGAACTTCTGGCTCTCCCGATATTTGGATCGCTGCCTCCATGCCTGCAGCTAGAGTTGTGCCACCACCTGGCGTTAATGCAGCGATGCGTGCATCCAGGTCTGTCATTTCTGACACATGGATTAACGGCTGCACAACATGTCCTTGACGTGTAAAAGTTGCAAGACCAAATCGGTCATCGGCACGGAGCCTAGGAACCAAAGACAGCAGCGCGCTCTTCGCTAATGCCAGCCGCGACTGATGAAGGTCGCCGCTCACAGCGAGGCCCATGGAGCCGGAAACATCCAGCACCACGACCATGTCCATGGGCACTTCGTTTCGAGGCTGGCCATCACGGCATGACTTCAGGAAGCAGCCAACCCAAACCTCATCATCTCCACGATCATCGTGCACAGCATGAGCAGTGAGAGCAACGATCTCTTTGGTCTCAGCCCCGCCGGTGCAGAAGGAGTGCTCATTGAAAACACCTGCCGACTTAAGATGGAGGCGGCCCTACCAGCGGCCGTTCACAAAGAGCTAGCAGCTACTGCAGCTACCGTCAGACAGTTTCGAGCATTCTCCAGCCTTGGTATGTCAAGCTTGCAGCGGCAGGCAATCCGCGAGATGAGCTTTGCAGATCAGCTTCGCGCAGCGCTGCTTGAAAGGCATTGCTATCCATTGCGCCCATCGATGATCCGCATCCCATCTTGAAGTGGACAGGGGTGGTTGTGGGCCTGGGCTACTGCAGTACCCGCTGCTCGCAGCTTAACGGCCGGCACACCAAATCACTGGCGTTACATGCTGTGCTTGTCAACCTTACACATCAGCACCTGGCTATCACAGAGCAACCACAGGAGCGGGGTCACGTAAAGTGGTTTCACGGACGTTGCCTTGTCTGCCAAGGCAGCGGAGCTAGCTTTCAGCGTGCGCTTCATGAAGGCTTCAACCTGCGTACGGTCTGCATGTGAACACTATGGACAATTATTGTTTACATTTAAGCCATTGGCTGAGGAAGAACATTACGAAACACAACAATGTAAATGACCGGCCGCTTGTCTATTTTCGGGGCTGCCCTCGCGTAAATGACCGGCCGCCTGTCTATCTTTGGGGCTGCCCTTGCGGCCTCGCGCGAAGAGCAGCGGCGCATGTCGGTCGATGTGCTTCGGATTGTTTGCGCTCGCGATTCCCGCAGAGTACAAGCAAGAATGTCTTTGAAATCTTTGAATTCAGCATTCCGGAAGAAGTGTGGGCGCTCAGAGTTGGCTACTCCATGCAATGAAAAAGCATCGCATCAGTTGTTGCTTCGCTGCTGATGCTCACATCTCAACTCTGCTACCAGTAGGGTAGTGTGTGCCCCAAAGTAGGATCGATCATGGCCGAACGGAGTTGGGCAGCGGTGCGTAGAACCTTCTTACTGTTCTAAACAATGCATTCGAAGTGATTGAAAGGGTCAAAAAATGAATTCGTGAACAAAACAGTTCTATTTCAAGCGGTTGGCAGGGGCAAAAAAATGTTAACCAAAGATACGTTTCAACTGATAAACAATGGATTTGTTCACCATGCGAGTACCATTCAAGTGAATATGTTAAGCATACATTTAATTTCTTTCTAATTTACCGACAACTGATCAACACTGGTGTGCAAACCAGGCCCGAAAACACGGCCACGGTGAGGCTTGTTCACCAAACGCGCAACCCAACGGCCAGACCCCCCAGGGGCCCGAAACCACAGCCACGGCGTGTGCCGTGATTCGAGTCGGTGCGGGTCGGTGCGCCCTGGTGTAGCAGGGTGGCGCGAAGGGCGGCAGACGGGAGGCAGGCGGAGGGCAGCCCGAAAAACAAGAACCCCACACGGCGATGTGGGGAATTAATTGAGATCACGATGCGGCACTGACTCACGGTTGGAGCAGGACCCCGGTCAGAAGTAACCAAAGTGGTTGAAAGCCACCGCCTCTGAGCGCAGCTGCTCATTCTCGTGACCTCATAACCCAACTGTGGAACTTGTACTGAAGTTGTATCCAGTTGCGGTGTATATGGAACATCCTGAATGACTTCCATGATATCTTTGCATGTAGAATGCATGAATGGAATGACAGTGAACTTTGAGCTTCGCCGCCCCACAAGGCCCTGAGGATTGAAGATCCCTGAGGCCAGGGCGGGCCTCTCGCAGCTCTGTGTCCTGATGCGAAAGGACGAGACCAGGCTGAGACAGGGTGTTCCGAAAAAGCAGAATGCATATCACTTGCTCAGCAGTTCGCTATATTTCGTCGAAACTGCTTTTCTTCTAGATGCTGGGCGCGCACGCACAATCGAAAACAAGTGCTACAGTTGGCGCCTGCACAACGTGCCTTCCATGTCCACTCCAAGTCCAGATTCGGCAATTTAACTTGCAGGATTCGTTGTGCTGCTCGTGCTACGTGTTTGTGGTGCCTACGGGAACATTTCCACCTGAAGATCAACCTGCCCTGTCTAGACCAAGGCTCGCCCTCCATGTTCCGACTGACATGTTGCCTGTGCATCACTCAAAGGTACAGCTAACATCCACCGCCCACCGTACATCTACCGTTCAGCGCTACTTATCGAACGGCCCTCGGCTGCTTTTGGACGGCTTCATATGGTGTCACGGTCACGCTCTCGAACCCCAGCGCAGCTCTAAGAATAAACGTGTTTGAAAAAGGTTTTTGAAAAAACGTTTTTGCTGCTAGTGCGAGCCTGAAGCGAAGCATGCAGGCCTACCATTCACATAACCTTTTTATCGCAATAACTGGACAACTCTGATATATTATTGATAGTGCTCAGATCGACTTCTGTAAGTTGTTTGTTCATTCTACATACAAATAGGTTCGTTGCAACTATTTACAAATGTTTCCATCTCCTTCAACTAGTCCGTCAAGCTTTATCATGTTATCAAAATCCATTTACATTTATAATTTACATTCCGATGTTTCAGGTTCACAGGGGGTCCAAAGCCCCTCCTAATGTTTACAACTTGTTTACAACTTCTTTAGAACTTGTTTCTAACTTGTTTGCAGATGCTTTTTTGCAGCTTATACGGATACGCTTCTGTGGACAGATGCCCCCTGCCTTCGGGGTGAGCCTTTCGCAGAGCACTGGGGCAGTGCAGGTTCTGAGGCTTGAGGAACTTGAGGGCTCGAACTGATCCGAAACTTCAGATTCCACCTGAGAACCTACATCGTGATAAGTACAGCAAACTTTGCACCTCGGAGCACAGCATCCAAGTTTCTTTAAATCAATATCGTGATGCATGACTGGCAAGTGGAAGGTCAGGTTAGGCAGATGTGCGCCAGCATTGGATCGCGCGGTTCCGGGGTTTCAATGCTTCTGCCACCCGACCAGCAGTCGGGTGGCTCGTCAACACATTGCACACTTTCTCGAAAACACATTCTCACCCCACGCACGATCCATTGGTCTGCAGCAGCATTAGCAGGAAAGCAGAGGTTGTCCTGATAACCGCCGTATCAGCAAAACAAAAACTTACTCTACTGACTCTATATGGACAAGCTCTGCACATTCTGGGTCAGCTCGGCAGCTTGAAGCCACTGATGCTGTCCTCAGTGGCTCAATTCCATCTCGTACTATAACGAACCCTCAAAAAAACGTCCAGAACAGAACCCCGTGACCTTGACCACAAAACAGCCGAGGGGCGATGGAGGCTCGATCTGCTGCAGGAAGTCCTGCCTCGTTGCAGCACGCATGCAGGTCCTCCACCATCCGCATCAAGGTCTGCCAGGGATTGCAACGCATGTCTGTGCTTTGATATCTCGCCTTTTTACTTGACGGGTCTGCTTTGTACTCATGTGCAGCTGCATGCACCGTGATGTACTGTGATGCACCTCCTTTTGCTGGGCAAGCTGCGACTTTTCGTCTTCCAACTCCTAAGGTATCATTTTCAGGGGGCAAGTCAATGTAGTGTGTTTGCAAAGTACCGCTGCCTCGAGGAGCAGCTGCAGCTTTTGATTGCCTTCTCTTCGTTCTGCAAGTGATCGAGATGCCTTTAAAAGCAACAGATAGCTAGCAACAGACAATAGCTGGCCCGATACGGACAATGCCCTGACTCGTGACATTAGGGCATTGGGTGCCTCATCGCGCTCCCTTCGAAGCGCCCGGATGCGGATGTTCGCCGCCTTCGAGCCCCCGCAAGAAAGTGCACATAATTTCGACGTCTGAGCTTGAAAAGCTTTTGGCCTCGATTTTGTTGTTGGCTTCTTCGCCAAGTTTTGAGAGCTCAACCTTCACAAGCACGAACATGCGTAACATATTCGCCTCGGCTTCCTGCCTAGAAGCGTCTGGAACAAGCAGACCCTTCCCCCCAAATTTTCTGACGCCCCCCCCCCCCACCCTCCCCCCCACCCTCCCCCCCACCCTCCCCCCCACCCTCCCCCCCCACCCCCCCACCCTCACCCTCCCCCCCACCCCCACCCCCCCCCCCCCACCCCCCCCCCGCACCCCCCCCCCACCCCCCCCCCCCCCCCACCCCCCCACCCCCCCCCACCCCCCCCCCCCCCCCCCCCCACCCCCACCCCCCCCCCCCACCCCCCCACCCCCCCCCCCCCCCCCCCCCCCCCCCCCACCCCCCCCCCCCCACCCCCCCCCCCCCCCACCCCCCCACCCCCCCCCCCCACCCCCCCCCCCCACTCCCCCCCCCCCCCCCCCACCCCCCCCCACCCACCCCCCCCCCCCCCCCCCCACCCCCCCCCACCCCCCCCCAACCCCCCCCCCACCCCCCCCCACCCCCCACCCCCCCCCCCCCCACCCCCCCCCCCCCCACCCCCCCCCCCCACCCCCCCCCCCCCCCCACCCCCCCCACCCCCCACCCCCCCCCACCCCCCCCCCCCCCCCACCCCCCCCCACCCCCCCCCACCCCCCCCCACCCCCCCCCCACCCCCCCCCCACCCCCACCCCCCCCCCACCCCCCCCCCCCACCCCCCCCCACCCGCTCTGCCCTTCCTCCCTCTTTCGTCCTGTGAGGCGGCGCGCGCAAGCGTTTACAATTATCCATGTGCCTGCTCCCTTACCCACTGCGTGATGTCTGAAAGCTTGATCGTCTGTGTGCCCTATAAGCACTTTTTTTTGCAGTGTACAGACGTGTGGACAGTGACTCGCAATAATTCAACTAATTCTTTCAGGCTCATAGACGTCGCCTCATAGCTTTGCAGCTCTCCTCGGAGCTGAGTGCTTAAACTTTGCTGCGTTTCGAGCTCCTCAAATCTCAGACAAAATGCACAACATGAAGCGAGAGATGCAAGCTCAGCTCCTTGTGCGCTTCGGCGTCTCGCCCACGCCTCCCACTGCGTGTGCGCACGCACATGCACCCACACACCCACGCGCACAACCACCTTTCCGAAAACGCAAGCACACACACACACATGCAAAGAACAAAAGAAATGGCTGGATCGGTCTACATCTTCAATGTGTGACGACTCAGTGACGACAATCATTCCTTGCTGTGAAATGCAGGTACGTCACCTCGGAATGATGCAGTGTCACATGCATACGCGTGACAGAAGGTCAACCGTCTCATGTTGGCTCCGCTTGTAACAGAAGCATGCCCTGCTGCCCTTCGTGAAGTGAAGCTAGCAAAGCATGAATTGGGGTGACCCGGTCCTTGAATGCACAACAACATAAACATGGAGACACGCTCAGACACACACGCACCACACACACACACACCCACTAACCCACCCACCCAGACACACAGACACACACCCCACTTATACACACACACACACAGAACTGCTAGGCGGGCGGAGCTCGCGTGTCCGTGCAAGAGTGTTTCCTCGGATGTCGGCGTGAGTGTCTCATGCCTTCAAGGTTAACAAATCGTAAGGCCCGACTTTGCAACTTTGTTCACGATGTTCTCGTAGAAATACGGACAAGACATACAGGAAGCCTACGCGAGAGCAGGAATCGGAAACCAAAACAGGAGCAGCGAGAGGACCTGTCATGCAGAGCAAACTTGTCTCCTCACAAACCGGGCAGCCTGTGCCGACTCGTTTGTCAGTCAGAATACATCTGCATTTGCACGGGTTCGTGCAAAAATGCGGGATTGAGAGGTGAGCGATGAAAGGCACCGGCGAAGAACCCGAATGAAGTACTGCTGGAGAAACTTTGTTTCAATGCTTGATTGCTGTTTACGGTAGTTGAGATTCAATTTCAGATAGGTAGGCGCAACTCTTCGAGTGAGGATGTCGAACTAACATTGCTTAGACAAGGCATCTGGTTACAATGTTTGCTGTCCATGATGATAAGACGCTTTGCGGACATAGTGCGAAGAGACACAGAAAAAAAAACACGATCTTGAAACAATCGCTTGAATACAACCCAGGACAAGGGTGCTTTAGAACAACCTCGATATAGCCCCAAAAGAGATGGTGCAGCTCAACATATGGTGGTTCTTTCAGGGGCACTGCCAGGTTAAGTCTGAAGGTACACTGAGAGTATGAAGATGGTGCATTCACGACTGAGCTGCCAATACCGAGGGAGGGTCTGTGCACATGTGCCGAGGACGTCAGGACGTCCTTTGCAGAACATGTAGTTTGACCAGCTTTCTCCTGTAGCTGAACCGAGAGGACGACCTCTTTGATGCAATATCTGCGGTTGTCGCAAGAACGTGATAGCTTGCATGCTATCGCATGCTCTTCAATGCACGGTCTACAACAACGCGGGTATGAATTCCACGAGGTCTTGGTTGAAGCGTGTGGCTCAACATCGTTGTAACTGATGTTTGGCTCGTCGGAAATCCGTTTGGTGATTTGGCAGCAAGTCAACGATGGGTACTTGGTGGTCTTTGGCGCTGATACCCCATAAGCCTCTTTGTGAGGAATTCTGTGTAGGTGCGTCACGAGAAGTTTCTCCCACGATCTTGCACGAGACTGAAGAAGGGGACAGGCACCTGGCCAGTGCAGCTTCGGTCTGCATGGCGAGACCTCTTGCCTTGGCAAAGACGTCTGCTCAGAAGCCCATCTCACACCACAGTGTTTTCTTTCATGTTTCGATCTGATTTTTTGAGTTCGGGGCCTCTTCGAGCTGACGACTCGTTCGCTCTTCCAGCAGTGTCCTTTTCAAGTCGACGTGTTGCTGCCATCTGCGGATGACCGCCTTGTTTCAGCTCGGCTGCATGGACGGCTTTTGTCTCCATTGGTCTCCTGTTCCGATAACGCTTCGTCAGACAATTCCAAGGCTGGAGTCTATCACGTCACCTCCATTGAGCAACACGTCCAGCGCTTCCGCAGATGTAGGGGCGGTAGTTACTCGCGATGCGGACCTGAACGAAAAACTCAGCAGAAGATCCTTTCACATGCATCCTGAGAGAAGCTCTAGGCGATTCCGGACAGCAGATACATGTTACTAAACCAGGGCTGCCCGGGCTGCCCCAAACTTCAACACTGTGAGGTCGCGGCTGCAACTGCTCCTGCAGGGCTGCGCCCCATTGATGGCCAATGACAGCAGATGCAAATGACCGGCTATCAGCGAGTTGCCATACGCGACTGTTATATGAATATGCTGAAAGGTAGTCGCCTGTCGTCAACTATACATGATGGCCTGCAGCAGCTCGATCTCCTGAGCTTGCTCATCAGCCTGAGCCTCAGTGCAGCTCTTCAATACTTGTTTCCCCAGCCGAAGGAACTCGCACCTACAGTACAGCCATACTCGCTTCTTGTGGAGCCACTGGCTACAATGTCAAGCTCTCAGGGCTCATGTGGCCTTTGCATTTTCTTAAGTTGGTTGGGAGGCCCCAAACACAAACTTCCTGACTGCCAATGGTTTTGGCCATGAAGAGCCGAAGATGACACAATGAAGGCAGGGGACGCGACTGAGGCTTCGTCCCTGAGATGCATAAGTCTTTGTGGGAGGTCACCCGTCCCATTCTGCTGCGCAGCAGCCTGATAAAGAAATGTCAAGAAGCGGTCTGTGTAGTAGCAGGAGTGAGGGTTGCAGAATGTTTCAGAAGGCATCGAAAGGCTCGCCCGACAAAATTGCTGGCTGGGACCACCTCGAGGTTCTGGGCCGTGCACCTAAAGCCACACGACGTTTCAATGGCAGAACAGACTGCAAAATCAGTAGGTGTTCTGCGTGCGATCATGTTGTCATGTGCCGGGCTACATCACAGCATGCTGCTGTTGAGATCGCAGGAGGGGTCCCCATCGCTTGATGCGGTCTTGCCTGGCACGAGCCCCAAGTTCATGGCTCAACTAATCACAAATTTGCCACTGAGGTCCATCGGTGCCAAAAGAATGCAGCCTTGGCAAGTCCTTCGTCCACAACAGTCTGTCAGTCTCGGCGAGTTCATCTGCTCGACAGAGGGAGATGCAGGCCTCCAAACGGGTGTCACGCTGCATGGGACGTCCGAGCTCAGACTCTCCCAACAACGCTGCCGTCGCTACAATTCATGGCAGTCACCGGAGTTCGACTTAAAAACTGAAAAGGCCCGTGATTCGCGTTGGAGAGCAGACCCTGCGCACTGGTGTTGTGGCAAGTGTGGCTGCGCTCTCTCAACTCTCAAAGTCAAGAAAACAAGCCTTCGGCTGGAACAGCTGCCGCGGATTGCTCATGATGCCCTGACAGTGGCACTGAGTATCACTGAGTCAAAGCAGTTCGACACATTGACACACATCTCCTCTCTGCACAAGTGTGAAGTGCACAATGCAGTATATGCAATGTTCAGCACCACGGCAGCACAACGGCAGCCTGGAGAAAGGACTCCGAACTGTTGGCAGCAAATGGGTTTCCATAGCCTGCGGCATACGCACCCTTGACTGTTGGGGCAGAATATGCTCACGTCTCGGCTACAGAATACTGCAGAGGAGCTCATGTCCCCATGTTATGCGGTTCAGAGTGCAGTATGGTGCAGTGGAGTCATGCAATCGAAGCCTAGGTGAGCAACGGAATCGTTGAGCCCTGCGCTTTCAAGGTTGACCTTAGCACCAAGTCTCGGAAACCGACTTCCGGCTTCACTGAGACCCGTTGGGAAAGCAAGACTGCACGACTATGCTTCCACATGAACCCTTACCGCAGCCGCAATGGGAAGTCAGTGAGAGGCAGGCCCAAGTAAAGTACAACATGCAGTTGCAGAGGTCTGACAGATGACGAAGGGGAATACGTACCTGAAGTACAGCATGTGTCGCAGTCGCATGACGTCGCAAGCATATGCAAGCATAACAATCTGTCAAACGGGCCTCGCCCACATGCCGCTTCTCGGCGTGTTTGGAGAAGGGCGGTGTGTCCCGTGTGGCCCAAACCTGTGCTTCGGGCTTGCGCATGGTACATAAGGAAAGATGCCCACATTTGCCCGCCTTAAGAACAAGGACGACATCCTCAGCCTGCGACCTGAACTTCAGCGATTTCGAAGGCGGTAATGCTTGGGATTGCTTGGGACATCTTGGGACCCTGCTTGATAATGGCGACCGTGCCAAGACTATGAAGGTCCTCGCCAGCCACACGATGCTCCACGTCGGATAGCCTGAGTGAACATGGGCAAGCATGAAGATTGCAATATATTGCAATGCACCGTGTCATTTTGCTGTTGCAGTGTGGGCTGAGGCACTGGCGTGATGCATAATGTTTCCCCGACCTGTGTGTTCACACAGCGCACCTCCAGCCGCGGAGTCTGCTCTCTCCATGAACATTCAGGAAAAAAAGCCTGCAGTGTCCAGCTACGTCACCACAGCTGCAGTGAGCACTCAAAACACACTCTCGAACTAAACTCAGTTCATCCGTTGCTGGCTTGCTTTGGACTCGTCATTCCAGATTTGTTCAGATGGGCTTTCTTCAATCATGGGGGGGGGGGGGTTAGCAACTGGTGTTGGGATCGGGAGTCGGGAGGTATGTTTCGGGGGTGTGCAAACCGTGCGCCCTTCTTAAGCCGGCACCCCCGAAAATCGAACAAACCCAGACGCCTTCATATGCTGTCGGAGACTTGGCCGGAGTCCGGCCACATAGTACAGGCAAGTTCAAGTTCGAACAGTTAGCGCACTGTCTCTCCAGGTTAAAGCCACCTGCCTCATGGCATATGGCCGCAATGTCAAACTTACCAAGGCCGCCGTCGAAAATTGCACAAGCCTCGGACGGCGCAGCGGCGCAGCCTGCCCCTTTACGACCCTCAGCCTGTGAAGGCAAGTGGCCCGCCCAACGTTCAGGCTCCTCAACAAGGCATCCACCATTTCGGCTGCATCGGACCGAATCTAAGCAGAGTTATGATGCTGCGCCTGCGCGAGTCTTCCGCAAACTCAGGAGATAGATGACTCACAACTTGCAGTCAGTTGGACTTTTTGACAGCCTAAGCAAGGTCTTTGTTTGTTGCAGAGCGCATGCATAAAAAAAAACTTCTCAAAGCACCCGCGCACCGCGTACTAATGTGTTTGAGCCCCTGCATGGCTATTGCAGACAGGCGGGCCGAGACTGAAGAAATTCCACACACGAAATTCTCGTGACTTGTACTGCGCCTGCACTCGGATCAACTGCTTGTAGTGTTCAGCCACGTCTTCGCTCAGTCCACCCCCACCGACACCTCCACATTCAATGGGCGCGGGATGCTGTGACTCTCTCTGACAGCATCCTGCCTTCGGCAACATACAGCTGCACCATACGCCGCTGCACGACCTGTGCTCAAGTTTATGAGCAGCCATGACGCGTCTGGTCGAGCCTGCTCCACTGATCAAAGTTGCGTCGGCAAAAACTTTTGCCACTTCACACTTTGAGTCCTTCCACTTGGATCCTCATTCCGCATTGGTTCCACAGGTCTCTCAAGCAGATCTCTAACAGTCTTGGCACCCTGCACGCTGCTGCTCGCGGACAAAGTTTCGGTAGTGGGCATTGTACCAGCCTTGTCAAAAGTCGGCCAAGTTGGCCCATTAATTTGCTTCTAGAGTCTGGCTGGGTCTGGCTTTAAATACAGATTACAGACGATTACAGTGATTACAGATGCTTTAACCAAGGAGCGGAACTCTGCCAGGCCCCTGGGTGGACGCCTCGACGGAGCCAGAATGAAACCGGAAGTCAGAGGGTTTACAAATGGGTGCACCAGTGGGCTCACTCTGTGCGCCACGGGTTGAACCGAGATCAGCACTGCAACGCCTCTGATCTCAAAAGCGACTTTACCTCAAAGCTGTGTGCTCTTGGCAATTGCAGTGCTCAGGTCGTCTCATCCTAGTAAACCAGAATAGCCGCTTGAATAGCCCTGACAGGAATGCTGCGGCCTTCTCCTGGTAGGCCTCGATACCCACACCTGAGCAAACAAAACAAGAATTAATGGTCTGCACATGTCTGCACTCTCAATGCTTCTGCCCTGCGCAACTTGGCTCGAAGCGTCTGGCGATGAGGGACATCAACGCCGCGCAGTCGGCCTGGCCAAACAGGCCGACGGTATCTGTCAATGCTTCATGCAGCGCGCCAGACCTCTGTGTGCTCCGAGATGCAGGTGCCCAGGAGCAAACAGGCCAGGCCTTCAAGAGATAGATGAGCTTTGGGGATAGCCCGCGCTTCGAAACCATGCGCGTGTGAATCGCTGCAGAGGCTGGATTTGGCTGAAACTAGGCTGATTAGAAGTCGGACTGCAAGGCCTTCAATCTGTGCTTGGTATGCGCCACAGCCTGGCACGTGGTATAGGATGCCCGTTGTCCAGAGCCATGCAACAACAGCTGACCCCTCTGAAGATGTTTGAGTGTCTGGCGATTACCCACACAAGTGAGATCAACAGCCTCAGGTATTCCCCGTTATCCCAACCGAAAGTCAAAGAGGAAATTATGCGGAGCTTTGCTATGCGCGTGCTTCAACTTTATAGCCTTAGCAGAGCGACTGGGGCGCACGCAAGTGGAATCATCACGGGCGAAGTCGCAAAGCTTCCGAGTGCTGTCGGGCAAGTTGCCTGTCTTAGATGTTTTGTACGTCTTGCGACGTCGAGAGCCGTCATCCTTTGACTGAGGCCGGCTGCTAGCCAGTACAACAGTAGCTTCAGAAAGCCCAGGAGGGTACTGACCTTCACACACACATGCAGGCGATTCGTGACACAGCAAACTTGTCTGCACAGGCTTCACTCTCAGAAGCGCGCTTCTTGTGAAGGACCACTCATCGAGTCCTCTGCCTGCGGCATCGTGATCAAGTGAACGTATTTGCCTGTGAGCGTGTGTCTTACTAAGGCAAATCTGTGAAGCGAGGTGCGAGGTGCGAGGTGCAGGCCTCTTGGTCTCCATGAGCCGCCAAGCAGCTCCTGCTCGGCTCGCAAGCTTTAAACGTAGCTCCAGTGCTCATGTCTCCGGCAATGTCCCCACAAATGGCACTGCTGTGATCCTGACCGTCGCTGAGAAAGCTCCGAACCTGACTCTGACAGCCCACAGGACGAAAGAGCTCCCCACGCCCCCCCCCCCCCCCCCCCCCGTGCTCCCCAAAAGGGGAAAGAAAGGATTCTAAGCCTGAGCAGAAAACACTTGTCACTCCATTTTTTTGTCTGTCGCGACAAGTATACGATTACTTGTACTGAGTGTCTGGACCATGTCTGTTTTAGTTGCGAGGGCTCGGAGAGTGTACCTGGGGAGTAACTGAGCATACAGTAGGCAGTAGGCAAGAAGAGGCTAAGAGCAGCTAAGGTGGTGGAGGTCACTTCCGCTGTCATGGCGCTAAACAAACTTCACAGGGTAAAAGTACTTCTCATTCAGAATGAGGTGACCGATGCTTTGCCCGTAGCCGGTACTGGTTTGCAGTTGTGGTTGGCACGTCATGGTACAACAAACTGCCTGTCACACGGAACGGGAGATGGTTGGGAGATGGTTCTGCATGATTGACAAGAACTGGAAGGATGGACACATATGGACACGTCACACGACGGAATCAGATAAGATGCTAGGACTCCTGCAGCAGCTCTTGAAAAGTCTTTGCCGGACCAGCATCGCCAGGAATCGACACCGGCATGGTGGCACAAGCGCTCTGAACCTGAGGCAACGATTGCGGCCCTTTTGTTTCGTATGTTTTGCAAAGCCTTTTGTTAGTTTCCTCTTCGTTGTCCATCGGTTCCCCCTTGCCGGGGCATGTCAAACACGGCGCTTGCAGGCTTTGCAAGGTTAGGCCATGTTTTTAGGGTTGCAGGAATTGCGGGTGCCAGCCCGCAGCATCCGAGCACTAGCCCTGCGAAGGCTTGACTTCACCTCCCGGACAGAAACATGCTGGCTTTCCATTTGTGATTTTTCCACAGCTGTAAACAAGAAACACATGCTGTGCGTCATCTGAAAACCGGCCAACTCCAAGCTTTCATATTCCAGTTACCGGCGGAGCGGGATCTAAAACAACAGAAGTGCTTGTTTAGGCTTTTGGTTGGGTTTCCAACTTTCAGGAAGGTGAGATGAAAACATCTTCAACCCAAAAACACAGTGCCGAATCCAAACAAAACGAGCGGCGGTTTTTCAGTGGGAAGGGGCGGGGAGGGGGGGGGGAGGGGCGTGGGTGGCGGCGATTCTCACGGCAATGGGCGAAGGAGCTCTCTTTGGCCAAAGGCTGTCGCAGTCCAACAGTACAACCATTTCCAACCACGAGACCGTTCATGTGGCACACTTGGCGGATCAAGACTCAAGAGTCCAATATTAGGTCGATTGGTCGACCTTCTTAAACTAATTGTGCATCACGCCTTGAAGTGATGGAGGATTTCATCCATCCACAGTAAGTCGACATTATTAGACACTTGTACACAAAGACAGTGGTCCTAGCTAGCACCATGCGCACGTCACACCGACAGCCAAGAGCTGTTCTCCAAGACTTTGTGATCGCGTACCGAGATCCCAGCGCTTGTGTTCCCACGCATCATGCCAAGCAGCATGCCCAACCTGTTTTTACTGGATGTGGTTGGCATCTTGACAGCAATCCCCCACACCCTCAAGTTGCTAGGCACGCAGCGCAAACCAAGAAACCTCCGAGGAAGCAGCACCACCTATACGCATCGGTAGAAATGTCTTGACCAGTATCATCTCTGTCAGACTTCTCAATGTGACCGAATGCCTCCTCCAGATAGGCATGCAGCCTGCGGGCAGCTAAGCTGCAAAGGCTAAGCAAAAACATGTTGTCGGCACGCATCCTCCATGCACCGTTGTAGACTTATATCAAAAAAACGAAGCAAGATGTGATCCGAATGTGGAAGCGGGCCTCCAGCACATCGACCAGAAGACGTCCTGCTGGTCTCACCTATTGCAGAAAACATAGAAGAGACATAAGCGATGCATAGCGATGCGCAGAGAGCTTCCGCAGCAGCTTCCTCAGTTTCCTATGCTTCCCTCATGGCACCTCAGGCGAATCAGCCAGCTGTGGACTGAGGGAAGAGCACAAGAAGGACCTGCAGCCCAGCTCAACTTGCGGTCGCTCCATGTGTGACGGTTCACTATCGGGTCTGTTCTACTCCAAAAAAACGGTAGAATTGCGGAAGCTGATGCTGTTTTGACTCCTCTTCACATAACTTTTCCGGCCGTCGATGGAGACCAGTGGCAAAGGAATGCAAAGCAATGCAAACACAATAACAATTGACTATCTGATCAAGGAGCCTAAGCAAGAGGATCAGGTAAAACCACAGATTGAGGGCACAAACAGCTTGCAGATGTGGAATGGTGCGGAGCTCTGGATCAGGACTTGGCCCAAAGCGGGCCTCCATAACAGAAGCATGCGGCATGAGCGAGGGGGAGGGGTTGCCAGAGAGGCCTGGGTAGTTTTGGTACTCAAGGTGCTCGCCTCCGAACACACGGATGCATGTGACCACCGTGCGCCCATCCACACCCTTTTGGCAGCATCATCGGATTTTAGGCTGGCGAGACTCTGAAGTGTCGGACTGGTCACTTGCAGGATCCAGAATGCTGGTGACAGCTCTTGGTGCGACGAGGCCGTGCGTGAGGCAAGGGTCGCGAGTGCTTGAGGGGAAGTGTCGGGGGTCGGGGTTGGTGCCATTGGGAACAAAGTCCACATTGCTTCGAGGATGGGACGCCGCAATGCATTGTTGCGGGTGCAATTTGCACTTTCGTCTGCACAACCTACGTCAGCGGCAGACAGGCGACTTCGATTTCAGCAACATGTCATGTGCATGTTTTCACGCATCCTTCACGAGAACACCATGCAGACGTGGCAGTGTGTTGGTATGTGCGCGCGTTGTTCAGCAAATTCATCGGCTTGCAAGGGAGCGGTGTACAACGAAAAAACCCGAACGTGATTTCAGTGGCTGCTACGATGTTCTCCCATGTTCTCCCACTGTGCTCTCATTATGCTGCCCAACGGGATGCACAGAAGCTCCATGAATCAGTTCATACGAAGGGCTGTGCCGGCTAGGCGACTATTCGCCTCGGCTTCACGCCGAGAGGCGTCTTGTCTCCTTCCCCCCTTCCCAAGCCTTTCCCCAACCAGCACTTTGCATCACACCCCTCCCCCGCCCTGTCAGACCTGCTCAAACCGCCGAGAGGATAAACTTAAATGTACCATTTCTTCACAACCACAAATTAGTCCGACAAACAAGAAATGTGAACCAAAGGACACTGAACGGGGACGAAGAGTATTTCCAAGAGACTAACCGACACGTCCAGGTGCCAGAAACAAACTATAAGCCCTGTAGGCAGCACGACGCCAAAAAATGTCAGGGTCAACCCCTGTCCTGCGAGCCTCAGCTTCCCCTCGTCAAGATCAGGCATACAGATGTGACACTGCATGGCTTGTGCTTGCGGTGTCAGGCACCGCATAGCCATTCCGAGCATCTGGCTGCAGGGAGGCATGTCTGGCAACACAACGGCAAAGCACTCGCCCTGAAGCTCAAGAGCCGCTGAAAATTCGCATAATCGCAATGAACACCACATTTGGCACACCCCTCAGTCCATGTTGCTGGGGTCTCTGGCCAAGTGCATTGCGCAGACTCAGACGTGTGACTGGGCCTCAGGTAGTCTCAGAATGCGGCTGCAATGCATGAGTTGTAGGGCTTGACAGCGCTGGTTTTTTGGCAACATCTCTCGACTCTGGCTCCAACCGAGCAGCACCCCAACCAGATCCTGCCACGAGAAGAGCATAATACCGTGTCAGGTCATCTTAGACAGTGTTTCTGCTTGGCTCGCACAGATCGCAGAACACTGTTTTAGCTGCTGTTGCTGATCGACAAGACTCTATCGCGCGAAGGGCAGTAGATGACGGATGTCTCTGATGCTGCGACGATGAATTGTGCATGGCTCTGATACTGAGAAATACTGCATGAAGTTTGCCTGAAACAGGTCGGCTGACAAACAGCAACGGTCCACTGGAGTTGCCATGCCCTCGCTCGAAGCTTTGCAGGAGATCGGCTGCCTATCGAACTGCCCAAAACATCACAAGCCACATGCTGTTGCTGCTGTAGCTCTGCACATCTGCACATCATGGCCATGATTCAAGGAAACGGGTGACTTGTGAAATGGCACGGAACATGGCATGGAACATGGCATGGAACATGGCATGGAACATGGCTCTGCCTGTGGGCACTGTTCCAGCGACTCGAAGAGCCGCACAAGCATCAGCTGTGCGGCCTCTCAAAAATTGGAAATCTACAAACAATCAGTAAACAAACAAAACAACCTAATTCAGATGGGATGACAAGTTCTCCAACACATTGCTGGAGATCGTTCGAGCCTCGGGCCTCTGCGAGCTGCGGGTTGGAGAGGTGCTGGCACAGGTCGAGCGCGCCTGCCTTGATTAGCGCCAGGCCTTGTGTCATCACCGGAACCGTTGTTTATCAAAGCCGTGGGATCAAAGCCGTGACGTTTCGTTGGCGTAAATGCTGCCCGAGTGCGATTGGCTTCAGCTTCTCGAGCCTCGGCCTCCTCGAGAGGACTAGCCAGCAAAAGCGCAGCATCCAGCAGCAGAGATAGGCAGGCCCAACGAGACTCCGCAGAGACCTCTGGCCTCGGTACGCTGCGAAAAGCGTTGAACATGTCCACGCTGGACAATGAACAAGGAACGACTACGTATGCCTGGACCTACCTCCATGTATGCAGATTGTGCAGTACATTACGGGTGGAGTTTTTTGCAGGTCTTTTCTCTTGTTTTTTTTTTTTGTTTTTTCTTTTTTTTCTGGCCTTCTTTGTATGACATTTCAGCGAAAAACCCCCACCCCCACACCCCGACCCCAGCCCCCTCTTTACCCCTCCCACAAGAACTAGCGGAAAAAAATTGGGGTCGTCGGCAGCGGTGGCAGCGGCGGCAGTGCGGCTTCAGCCCTTAAATCTTTTCATCGGATTCCGACTACTTTTCGTAGGAATTCTTATTTGCTTTGTTCGAAGCCTTATTTATGCTGGCTCTGTTTCCTGGGTTTTCCCTAAGAAACACCTTTATTCCTTTCACATGTTAATGGGAACCCGTAAACTTTCATAGGACTCATACCACTTTTCATATGATGTCTTCTGAATAAATTAACGTAAAGCGTCGATTCATTCTGCTCGACTCCAACTTCGAATCTGCTTCCTTGGTTTTCTCGAAGAAAAACCTCTTCTCCCCTTACATTTTGATAGGATCCTCTATATTTCATAGGAATCATACTACTTTTCACAGGTACTTGTAATAATTTCAAGCACAATTCTCGCCTGATGGATTGCAAAGCTTGCATGGCTTAAAAACCGGGCCCCCCCCCCCCTTCAATGCTCGCATGATAGGTTTCAAAAGGGCTCATATGCTTTGAAAATCTTTGAACAAGCCGGCACGGCTTAAACAAACAAGGTGGGGTTGGGGAAAGGGCGCAGACCCCCCCCCCCCGTTTGCAAACACATAAAAGACTCATATGCTTTGAAGCAAGCCTGCACGGCTTAATTAAAAAGCAAGGGGGCCGGGGGGCGCGCAGCACCTACAATGCTCGCTTTCAAACAGCTGCATATGCATTGAAGAAAGCTGGGCACGGACAAAATGCGAGGCGGCTGGGGGCGGGCGCAGCCCCCCCGCCCCCCTTTTGCAAACACAATGCTCGCATGATGGGCTCCAGAAAGACTCATATGCTTTGAAGCAAGCTTCGCACGGCTTGTTAAAGCAGAGGGGTTGGAGGGGAGCGCAGCCCGCCCCATTTGCAAACACAATGCTCGCATGATGGGTTTCAAAAGGACTCATATGCTTTGAGGCAAGCTTTTTGCATGGCTGAAAAAAGCGGGGGTTTAAAACAATGGGGGCGAGTGCAGCCCTCCCCCCCCCCCCCCCCCCCCCCCCACAAATTGCAAACAAGGGTTCCTCTAGTTGCACGGCTTAAAAAGGGGGGGGGGGGAGTGGGGTCCCGCCACCCCCCCATTTGCAAGCACAATACAAAAATCTCATATGATTTGAAGCAAGCTTCCACGGCAAAAAAAGCGGGAGGGTTGAAGGGGGGAGGGGGAGGGGGGGCGTAGCCTAAGCCGCTTTTCGAGGAACACGAAGCAGAAGCCTGAACCCATGACCCCTCATATGCTTTGAAGCAAGTTTCTTTTTGTTGTTATTTCTTGGTGATGATCTCTCTCTCACTATTTCTCTATTTCTCTATTTCTCTGTTTCTCTATTTCTCTATTTACTTCTTTCTCTTTCTCTCTTTCTCTCTCTTTGATTTATTCGTTCATTACAATTCCTTTTCTTTCTTTCTTCTTTCTTCCCTTCTTCCCTTCTTCCCTTCTTCCCTTCTTCCCTTCTTCCCTTCTTCCCTTCTTCCCTTCTTCCCTTCTTGCCTTCTTGCCTTCTTGCCTTCTTGCCTTCTTGCCTTCTTTCCTTCTTTCCTTCTTTCCTTCTTTCCTTCTTTCCTTCTTTCCTTCTTTCCTTCTTTCCTTCTTTCCTTCTTTCCTTCTTTCCTTCTTTCCTTCTTTCCTTCTTTCCTTCTTTCCTTCTTTCCTTCTTTCCTGCTTTCCTTCTTTCCTTCTTTCCTTCTTTCCTTCTTTCCTTCTTTCCTTCTTTCCTGCTTTCCTGCTTTCCTTCTTTCCTTCTTTCCTTCTTTCCTTCTTTCCTTCTTTCCTTCTTTCCTTCTTTCCTCTTTCCTTCTTTCCTTCTTTCCTTCTTTCCTTCTTTCCTTCTTTCCTTCTTTCCCTTCTTTCCTTCTTTCCTTCTTTCCTTCTTTCCTTCTTTCCTTCTTTCCTTCTTTCCTTCTTTCCTTCTTTCCTTCTTTCCTTCTTTCCTTCTTTCCTTCTTTCCTTCTTTCCTTCTTTCCTTCTTTCCTTCTTTCATCTTTCCGTCTGTCCTTCTTTCTTTCTTTCTTTCCTGCGTTCCTTCTTTCGTTCTTTCCTGCTTTCCTTCTTTCCTTCAAAACACAGAGGGAATAGATGTTTCCTAGCGAAAACATAAGGACCGTGCATTTTCCTCTCAACATATCCAGGGGGTAGAGGTTTTCCTAAATAAAACCAAGGAAAGGGACAAAACAAAACAGGCCCTCCGTACATTACAGTATCTTATGCAGTTGCCTCGGTTGCTTTCATGCCGGGGCCGTGGCTTATCTTCCTCCTCACTCTCACTGCCAGGCTTTCCAGCAACTGCGTGCGAAATTGCAGACACAAGAGAGGCCGCCCCATCCTCTGCAGGCAGGGCTTAGAGTCTTAGAGGACTTTGGGATGAAAAGGGGAGTAAAGTCAATGAAGTATTGCACTGCAAAACGGGTCAGCAAGAGCTGCATCGAAGCCACTGTTTCTCGCAGATACTTCTGGCATGTGGTATTCCCCACCACATTCATCAGGCACCGCAGCAGATCTCGTGCAACTTTGCCACCCAAGGTGAGATCTTCATCTTCGAGGATGGAGAATATAGTCTCGATGAAGCCCTGCACAGTTACGATCGTCCTGAGTTGTTGAGGGAGAAGGTCGAGAACTCTGGAACCAGGCTCTTTCTGCCAGTCTGCACAGTCTTAACTTTGGGCGTCGAGGTTCTGAATATCAGCATTATCTGCGGTCAGCAAAAGCAAGAAACTCAAGCATTCATTGCGCACGTACTCAACGGGTGAGGTCTGCAGCACGTGCATCAGGTGACCCAGTGACCTTGCAGATGAGTGGAGTAGAGTGGAGAACCCGAGGCCCATGGAGATCACATCATGTCTCCATGTTAATGTACGTTGGCTGATTCACGAGACCTGGTGAGAGAAATGGAAGGACTATTGTACACACTGTAAACATGATTTCTCCGGCCTCGGATCCGCCAGGATAGCAGCATTAACGGGCTCTGGAAGGCGGGAGTAGATCCGCTGCAGCTGTTCCAAAGCATCGTACTGAGTGAAAGTCTCGCCTCAATCTCGCAGTGCGCAACAGAAGTGATAATCTGCATGATCAATCATCCGACGTCCTATTAGTGGTAAACACACAGGCGGATGATGTACACAAATGCAAAATTGTTGCTCGCCGTGCGTCTAACAGAAAGCAGGCGCAGAAGCTCCTTGACATTCTCTGTGTCCGTCCTCCGTGCCATTTTCCATGTACCAAGAAGCTCCCAGATATGAGTGCATTCTCTCAAGTCTCTCTCCAACGGCATCTTACAGTAGGCCCAGTAGGCCTGCTGACAGTCCCAAGATCGCATCTCGAGAATTACCACGGCATGTGTCGGGTATTTCCTGGTGTGCAGAAACATGTCTTTTCGGGTCCTTCAGAAAACATCAGAAAACGAACCCGCCCACCCCGCCCACCGACCCACAAACCGCCGAATGGAAACGCTTCACTTTCACTTCCCAATAGAACCAATTGAAATGTCTTGGCTGGACTGAAGGCGGTTCAGATTTGATCTTGGGTCTTGAGGACCATTTGTTTCAGGGCCACGCCACATCTCAATTTTCCAAGCAACACGAAATGAGCAGCCAAGAGAGTCTCTATCTTGGGCAACTGTTTTCTCAAACAGAGACGCAGGTAGCAAATGCTGTTCAAGCAAGCAAGAGATGTGATTGAATCCGCAATCCAGATGTGATCCTGCCAAATTTGGAATATGATGTAGCGTTCCTGCTGCAGCTTCCAAAGTGAAAGGCTGTAACCCGGTCAAGCAAGGGCTTGCTTGTAGGGTTTCAGATGGTTTGGGGCTGCAATTTCCGCCAGCTGGGATTTCGGGCGTAGGGTTTCGGGTCGTTTCGGGGTGGTTTTAGAGAGCGGGCTGCAGTTGCTGCTTGAGCGGTTTAGTGCTTGAAAGCTGATCCTGAAAGCCGTGAATAGTGGCTCAGAATGAATCCATGGTTTGGGGCTTTTCAAAAGCTCCAGGACTACAGGACATTCTGACGGAGCTGTTGTTATGGATGCTTGGTCATGGGGCCTCTGTAGTGCATGAGTCTGCAAAGAAAGAGAGAGGGAGAGAGAGGGAGAGAGGGAGAGCGAGAAAGCGTGGTGTGCAGTTCCATGCGCGCTTGCATGTCTGTGGCAGGCAGGCCGCATTCCGGACAAGCCCCCACCCAACCCCTGCCCAAAAAAATGACACATCAGGGCAAAGTGCCTGTGTCTGTGCAAAGCTTCACACCTGAGATGCCACACACTGGGGCGCGCACTGCGCGGGGGCCCCCGTAAGCTCCCTGAGAGAAGGAAATAAAGACAGGCAAACTGCATCCAAACGTCAAGTAAATAAATACTTCGATGCACACGAAATTTTCTTTGAAATGCGCATTACCACTTGATTTCGGTCCTTTCTGCTTCGTTCCGCTGCCTGCTTGATGTTCGATGTGCACTTCATTTCGCCTCCTTCCGGCACGTTCCGCCCCTGTCCGCTTCGCCGCCGATTCATCTCCGCAACATTGCCGTTGCCTTGCTGCAACCCACAGCTTTGCATCCACGAACTTCAAGTCGACTTCGTCTCATGTCCATTTCATTTCCGCGCATATTCGCCAGAATTTCGCGTGGTTGCGGCTCTTTTGCAGGCGTTTCCACAGCTGTTCGGCTACACTTCCTTCACTTTCTAGCCCTTCTGAATCGCATCACATGCTGGCATAAACAGATTTGTCTGTGTGGATGTTTATGTCGAGACTCGTGAACAAACAAACCTTAGACCTGAATTTGGCAGATGTGCATCCCGGGTAGAGTTATCTCTCCGCCCCTGCAAAAGCTGCACTTATTGGAACAAGTGCCACAATATTGTGAGTCCAGGTGTGCCTTCATTTTTCGTCTGTTCAATCCCCTTCCCTTTTTTCAGAATCTCACCAGTGATTCTGTGCTACTGGGAACTACCTCCCCTGCTACGACCGATAGAAGAACAAACTCGCAGTGTGCACCAGGCTAAACGACACCTGTGCAGCCTCGGCAGCAATGTTGATTTTACAAAGCACGCCTGTTAACCTTGCGCCGTTTCTCATTGTTCCGTCATATCTCCTGCTTATGTGTAACTTAAGTTTCCGCCTCGTGACGGACTTCACTTGGGCTGAGTTTCCAGATTCTTCTGCTCATTTGCGGACTTCCCCCTCTTTTGCGATTTCAGGCTTTCGATTTTCTCCTTCTTCAGAGACGGGAACTCAACAGTACGTGCTGTTGGGAAATAGATGGTATGATTCTTGGCAAACTCCGAAATCCTAACCCCTAAAACCCTCACTCAAGACCCTTAAAACGCCAAATGTGAAAAACCTTCTAGACAATGGCTGCATATGAACAAAGCGACTTTGCGAGGCTGTTCTGACGTTCTGTTGTGGTATCTCGTCAGCTACTACTCAACTACTACTGAAAGAAGAAGACAGCCTCTACAGTCGATCTGGCACTTCATGTCTGTATGGCACAACGTCTTCGCTGAATTACTTTTTCTGCTACATCTGCTACATTGCCTCCTTCCGAAACTTGACAAGTAGTTTTTCTGCCGATTCATCTCATTTCCGCTCAAAGTTCCGAGTTATTTCGCTACTTGGGTCTAACTTCGGAGTGTCGCATCATATTCTGCCAGGTCCAATTTCCGGATGATTCCGTCTCTTCCGGATCTGCGTACTGGGCAGCGAACGACTTATAGAGCCGGACGGTGATTTGGCCTGGTTTCCCTGCCCGCGAGGGATCCCGATCGAGTCTGGAGCCCAATATGATAGTATGTTGCATTTCTTTGCCTCATGTTGCTTAATGCTCTATGGAGTTTAGTTAATGTTGGATTTTAGGTTCGTATGTCGAAACCAATACGAAATGAACACTCCAAACACCTAAATCTACATCCAAGACCACACCCCAAAAAAACCAACGCCTCAACTCGCTTAGCAAACAGAAACTATCCAAAGCCCCGCGCCCGAATCCCGTGATGTACCAAAACCGTGTGCACCCGATAAATCTATCCAATCCCCTAAGCCCAGATGCAAGATCCCAATTGACCACCGCAAATGGCCTAAAACCGACGATCCCAACCGCGTATACATCTTGCGCCCTAAATCCAACATCGAAAAAGCAATCCAAAGACCTACACCAACTAACATCTACCTCCGGATAGTCCGAACCCCCCTCACAGATCCAAGATCGCAAAGACTTAATGCCAAAAACAAAAGGTCCAAAACAAATACACACATCCAAAACACAAACATACCCTCAAGCAGCCCTGCTGCAGGCAGGCAGCTGCTGCAGGCTCGGCCGCATTGGCCATGCAGGCTAAAAATTTTGATAGGGTTTAGACTCGTTTAGACTACTCTAAACGAGGCTGTATAGGGTTGTATGAGGGATCCACTTGGACGTGTTCCCGTCTTTTCTGTGGTTTCGGCCAGAGTCTAGACATGAACGGTCACTTAGATTACTTAACCAGCTCATGCCTCAGGACTTATCTACTGCGCTTAAGCGACGCAAGCGCCCTGCTCCTACTTAGGGCGTCTGCACATGACGAAATCGGGCTCATGGCCGCTGAGCAACGACTGATCTTACCACGCTATTGCTGCATTGTATATCTGTGTTAACCGGCATAGTTCAAAGGTTACCAACAATATATACATGTATCTGAGCGCATTGACTGCCTGTACCCTCATTCGGGATCTGTAAGCTGAGAAGCTGCGCCACGCACAGGGAGTGGGCCCTGTATTTAAGCCCTACCAGACCTTACCGATTCATTACTAAAACCCATTGATCTGGCTAACTGTAGCCGCGACATAAGGCTCAACAACTCCACTGTGAAAATGGTCTTGGGCCTTCAAGCCTTGTCAGTAGGGCTTGAGGACACTGAATCCGGCTTTGAATCGCGAGGTTTAGGTAGATCGCGGGCGACTATGGGCGCTTAGGGTCATCGCAGGGACATCTTTTTTGCCTTCGTAGAATTGGCTCGGGGTTCTGGACGAATCTTTGCCTTTGGGACAACAATGATCCGATGCGCTTTATGACCAGCGCAAGCTGCAGGAACAACAGTGCTAGTGTTTCTAAGGAGATCAAGGAAATTTGGGTTCAGAGTTGGGAGAACAGGCATCCGTGCCAATTGGGCGTGGATCGAAACAGTTGCCTTGTGAGCACGCTGTCCCCATCTACGCAACACAACAAACAACCTAATCTTATTGTCCATATAAGAGTATATTCAGAAGCCCCTTGCCACCAGATTCAGAATCTCAGCTCTGCTCGCTTCATTACATTGTGTCCCCTGTCAGGTTGTATGGGAACTGCAACGCAAGGCAACGGTTGCTTGGAGAACATGATCCACGTCCAGAGGCACCAGGTTGTCTACGACTTTTTACTCTTGCAAGATTGTTGCTGGCATGTCATCTGCCATCACCTGTGAAGCGTTAATCCTACCTGCTCAATTGAGCACATCGGCTGCGAATGTTCAGGATCCTGTGCCCATTTCCCACATTGTCACCGTCTCTTTTCCTGTGCCAGGATGTACCAAACCATGCCAAGCGCCTCTCAGATGCCATCTGTTAAAAGGCTTGAATGCCGACAATATCCCCTGATCGAAGTTCGTACAGGAAATCTTCGAATCATGGTCGATTGCCGTGAGAAGTCAGAGTACCCACTCCCGAAAGCGGGCACGCAAGCGTGTTGTCGCAGACGTGATGCCGCTGGTGGTTGGTGATTTCGTCGGGCGATGAGAAAGCGCAAACTTCGATGATGCTCCTGGCCTTCCTTGATTTCCTCCTTCACTCGGCGGGGTAGGCAAGTACACCATCTGGGTGAACACCGACGCACGTGGAACTCCTTGCTGCCCCCTTCGCAATCCGTGTCGATGAAGAGTGGTGCCGTCGAAGCAGCTTGTCACTTCGTAGATCTTCGCAGAGCCTCTTAGCACAGTGCAGCTCTGTTCTGCATTGGTCCCGCACTAGCGCGCTCAATCGCGCAGCCTCGGCTGTGCAACATCATGGACTCCCTGATGTAACGATAACGCACACACACACACACACATCCACATCCACGATCCATGCAAGCGCCGTGAGCAGCTACACCGAGATGCATGCTGTCCTTGAAGATCTGCTTGAACGTCACAGCCAAGCTAGCCGTTTCTGCACAAATGTGAGCTCGACCCGGTGCCAAGGTTGCTTTGATTCGCTCAGCCTTCAAACTCTGCGACGACTGCCAGACATGACTTCGGCTAGGGCATGCCCTCTACCTAGGCCGGTTTGGTACTTTGTTCCATGAATGGCTGCCTGTGCGTGTCACGTACCTATTTTGGCTGAGTCGCAGCCACTGGTTTTCAGGATTACGATTGTTCGCCAAGTTATAGATGCTTATGTCACCCAGAACTAACAGTGCAATAACACAGCATCTAACATCCCTGCTCTTGTCATTGCCTCGTCGACGTTGTTGGAAATCAAGATGACGTAGGCCTTTACGCCTGGATCCTTGTGCAAGATTTGATTCCACTGCCTTGGCTATCACAGCTGCCGTGGCGCTCCAAGAAACCAAGCTGCTGGTTGCGTTGTGATGAAGCTTCTCACAGTCATCCACTTGGCAAGCTTCTGCTAGTCTGCTCACCCCCATCGCCTCTTCTCCCTAATCTTCTGCATCCACTTCTTATGGGCATGAGTTGTGACATGAAATACATGGTGTAATCCCGCTTGGCATGTCATTGCATGCCATAATGTGCTCATGAAGACTATTTGGTACCACATGCCGTGAGCATGACTGCGCACACATGTGTACACAGCCGCTAGCGTTTTCAACTGCCCCGAATTTGCTTCTTCAGAGAACACATTGTTAAGCGACCCGAGTATTCTGCCCTCTGCAGTCACTGGACCCTTGCCCTTTCGATCCTTCGCGCGTTGTTGGGTCTGCAATGGCGCCTTCTCCATGCTGCCGCCAGGACATTCCACGACAGGCCGTTTGAGGCTCGTTCTGCTGTCAGGTTGGCGCGGCAAGGGGCACGGGTCTGCGAGGCCCTGGGCGTACCGTGTTTGGGGCCTGCTCTTTGCCTGCGGAGCCTTCCAGACGCGCGGAGAGATACGTGGTCAACGGGAGACAGATGGAGAAAGGACAAGGAAAACCAGCGGGATATCCAGGGTAAGTTGTCAAAAGGATCCAGCATCTTCAGCCACAGAAACATGCGAGCTGCGAGCAGTGTGCTTGGGATGACACTATAACAGTAGTGAGTATACCGAAGGATACGAAGGGACAACACTCTGAGAAGCATCTGGGGGTGAACGGGGAGCCCGAGGAACGAGCCAGTGGACTTTTGGTCTGGCGAAGCAGAGCTTCGGCTTCTCAAAGAGCAACGCTTTAATTCGATTTTGATTTGCCTAATTTGCCTCCAAGCTTCCGTACATCGATATTGTACCTGCGAGATCGTCCAATCGGCTCACTGAGTTGCACTCTCAAACATTGCACCCTCGAACATTGCACACTCACATGTCAGAATAACCAGAAAAGTACGTTCAATGTGAAAGTATGTATAAAGATATAACTTGATATAACTGTGCACAACCAACTAGTGGAATTGGATTGTCAATTTTGGAGGAGGTAAAGAAAAAGCGCCCCTCAAGTGCCGCCCAAGAAATTGTTCTGAAAAGAGAGACTGCCTCTGCAGGTCGGCGTCGCTCACGACCAGCAGGAAGCCTCAACAAAATCTTCACTTATTTTAACTACTCTTCTTCTTCTTCGGGGAATGTAACTACTCTCTCTCTCTCTCTCTTGCTTGCTTGCTCTCTCTCTCTCTCTGCAAGACTCTACGAGCATTTCTATCTAAGAAAAAACGAAACTCTAACTGCAACTCTAACTAATAATTCATGACTTATAATTTTAATTGATTCTCTCCTTCCTTCCGCTCTCTCTCTCCCTCTCTCCAGGCCACCGGCTCTGGCCGAGGAGCGTTCGTCCGCGGTCTGCCGACCAAGCTCTGCGATTGCACGAGCTGTGGCCTGCGCATACGCACAGACTCATGTCATAGCAAATGGATTGAAACTTGAATGAAGCTTCTGTGCCTCCAGCGTGTGATCACCAGGATAGCAGAACTGAGCATGTGCCTAGGTGAGTAGGGTTCTGCCATGCACTCCATTAACACACATCAAAGTGTGGTCGGTTTGTGTGTAGGACAGAGAGCTTTCTGCAACAACTCAGAGAGCGCTACTTAGCTCATTCGCTCGCGCCTCCATGGTCTTGCAGATCTCCAACCTCTCCTTGTCCTTGCCAATGTGCAAATCATTGCAAATCCAATTGTGGACGAAATGCTGAAGCATCCAAAGCTGTACAAAGTACAACGAGCTGGAAGCCGCAACCGCTGAGATGGGCTGAGATTGGGTGAAACAAAGACAAAGGGCAACAAAAGGCTCCTTTGCACAGCCAAAGGTTCGGAGCGTGGAGGTCTGCCCCATTCAACAAATCTTTCGGCCTCCGGGCCTGTACCGCTGTGACCGACCATGCGGTAGTCGTCTCATTCCCTCATTCCCTCATTCCCTCATTCCCTCATTCCCTCATTCCCTCATTCCCTCATTCCCTCATTCCCTCATTCCCTCATTGCTCATTCTCCCCCACACCTCGCACCTCACCAAACCTTGCGAATCCTCACGAGGCCCTCGCAGCAGTTGTTTTGCAGACTCAGGGTCCTCGAAGCCAGCAAAGCTCTCGAAAATAAAGGCAGCCACTTCTTGCAGTCGTTGCAACCGTCGGTCAATCCGATTAAATGTGTACCTGATCATGAGCTAAAGGGTGCAATGGCCACACGACTGTTCGAAACTGCATGTGTGGTATCGGAAATCTATATATACGCGCCTGAGGCAGCAATATTTCCTAGCCCTGCAGGCGAGGCACATGCTTCCGCTGATATCCATTACAAAGGTGAGGCGTTTTGCATGCTGCTGGCTTCTGCCGAACAGCTGCCCTTCAGGGTCCCCGCGTCTCATGTAGACAGTCTTGCACCCAGTGATGCCATCCTTAGCGCTCTGTTGATGCTTTGTTTTCTGGCAGATGCTGGGCGTAATTAAGCATTGTACAAGTATTGTAGCGGGATGAAACAGAACATTCAACAGCAACGAAGACTGGAAGATGGAACGATGCTATTTGCTATACATGGCAAGCCTTTCAAACGAGGGGCCACCAAACGACTCTCATCCAGCTCACCCGCCGTCTGATTCTTCAACCATTGTCGCTCGTGTTGCCGCGCTGCTTGGCTTTCCAAGCAGACCTAGAATTGTCCAGTCACTTCATTCTAAGCTCCAACGACGGTAGACGAAAAGCGCTCCAAACTTGACGTGCCTTCATTTCTTGAATCTGCGTGGCGACCTGTTCCCGAAGGGATGCGTAGGCCTCTCCTTCTTTCAAGGACATCTTCATCTCGGCCAGCCTGGCAACTCGGAGAGGCAGGTTCCATTTCAGGTGCTCTAAGCCGCTAAGATCCGCTAAGCCAGGCTAAGCCCCATTTGTGCCCTTTGTTCCTTATGTTCCTTCCTGCCTCTTCCGGTAGGCTTCATCTGCCATTTGCTGGGCCTTGCGCTTTGTGGCCTCGTCCAAGCCCTGCTTCTTGTCCTCGGAAACCTGAACCAGCTTCTGACCCACATCTAGTCGATAAGGGCCCCATCGACCTCCAAGTCCTGCGGCAAACGTCACGTGACCCAAGGCATCGTTATGCCACTGAGATGTGCACGACTGCCTATGTGGCATGACAGCACATGCCAATCATAACACTACAGAATAATCGCTTAGATATGCTTAGATGAGATATGGCGACTGACAGCCGCCCGGATGCCCGGCGGATGCTCGGATGGTGGGCAAGCGTGACAGCGTGAGCTGGCTGCCTCGGTCCTGCGGTGCCGGTTCCACCACTGCCACCCGCAAACCGGTTGCCGCCAATATGCTCTTGCCCATCCCACTCACCGTGCTTGGGGCCCCCTTGAGCCATGTCCGGAGGGCTTTCCCCATGGGGATTGTCTCGGTTGGTGACATCCTTTGATTTGTCTCTATTCTCATCCAGTCGCAGGCTCATCTTACCCGGACGATGTCCTTCGAGAAGACGCACTCCCCGCTCTGTGGTCGCGATGCCATGTCTCTGAAGAACTTCCAGCAACGGTTTACGCTTCCTGGTATCAGCGATGTCGAAGGCAAAGACACCTGCAGCGACTTCTTCCAATGCGTCTCCTGGAAAGCGTTGCGCATGGCTCACCAGCTTCACAAGCTCCCGAGTTGAGTACGGATAGGCCAGCTGGCCTGAAGCTACGAGTTCCCGCAGCTCCGCGAAAAGAAGCGATAGCTGGAGGATGCGATCTTTCGAAACGCTCGGGCCCACACTCGTAAGTAGCTCCACCTCACTGGCAATGTCGGGATTATCCACCACATGGCAGCTGAAAACATCGCCGCAGACCTTGAAGAAGTCGTTGCCCATGAAAGGGAAGCCGGGGCGGTTTGCCAGCACAAAGAGCCGAAAGTTACTTGACATCTTTACCACTTCATCCTCTGACATCTGGGTCAATCGTGCATCGTCTGCTCTCACGACCGTGCGCCCATCTGGCAGGCTCAGTTCGGCATCCTCGGCCAAGGCTTTCAACACGCAGACGACTTCCAGGGGTGCCTTGTCGGCTTCATCGACGACTAGGCACCGACCAGCCTTGACCGCCCGAAGCAATGGCGAGTCTTCCCAAACCACTGCCCCAGACTTCAAGCTCGGTGCCAGCATCAGGCTCTGGACTGTCGTGTCCCGATGAAGCTGGATGTACTCCTCATTCTGAGGTTTAAGAGCGCTAGCACATACTTGTAAGATCTCGAAAGACGTGTGCACAAGACGTACGATCAAACAAGATGACGCAAGCGCAGTCAACGGGCTGGGAAAGAATCGGGGCTCCCCAAGAACTTAAGAGCCCGCAGGAGTCTTGTGACACTTTCCCGACTTTGCCGGTCTCTGTGACACTCTGTGCAGCTTTGGGTCTCTTTCGCATTGTAGAAGCCCCAAGAGTCGGTCTGTGAGTTTGTTCTTGCCAACGCCCTGGTTGCCGACAAGGAGGAGGTGATGACCTCACACTGACGCGCGATCACAACTACATGGGAACCTTCCCCAAGTTCTGGGGGAAATCATCTGCAGCATTGAATTCATTCATGGTCAGGCCTAGCCTAGCAACCATTGTCTTTAGCATATTGGACAGTAATGATGACAGTTCAGCGGAGAATGAGAAGTCGAGACTCTGCTTCCAGGTCCAGTGCAAACAACATCAAAATACATCAAACAACCATGGAGAATTCGCCACGCGAACTGGGGACCGGGGCGCAGTTGGACGGGGCTTGATACTGGAGGCCCCGGCCGAGAGTCCAATCCAGCAGCATCTTCTCAAGGATGTCGACATGCTGCGGGATATCGACGAAGACCACGTCTGGTACCAACTCAGGCCTGCACACATGGCTCCATGGATCGTCACACCGAGAATTGGCCGCGTTGAAGCCACGTTGAAGAAAAAATGCAACATGGGGCAACCTGGCTGGCGTCCGCACAGGACAGGTTACGTCTCCAATGTGCAGGATGCCCTTTGCCACTCTGGCAGCTTTGACTGGCTTCCTGCGCTTCGACAGCACTGCCAGGGAGCATGGTGCATACATGAGCAGCCGCAAAAAACTTTATGTAAATGGTTGTAAATGCTCATGAAATAATATATGGGGTGTCACTTTTTGGGGGCCCTATCGGTTTATGGGATTTTGGCTCAATGCTGCTACGGGACTTTCGCCTTACTGCTATGAGATTCCGGGAATGGTTTCGATGGTGGGACGGTGAGCATTGTGGCTGGGATTTCGAGAAAGAGGATCCTGCTAGGCTGTGAAGCAAGGCACTCTTCCTCAAGTCGCCCTTTAGCCCTCATCCTGGGGCAGGGCCTTTGCCCAGCACTTCGTGTGGTTTTCGCTTTGAGTATCGCTCCGGAATAAGACCCCCCGAAAAGTCACGTCTGCAAACAAAGCTTATGCTCCCAACACTGAAAATTCACAGGTGCCTGCAGCTTGCGTCCCCGACATTGTTGCAGAAAGTGTGCTGTACGTTCTAGATTCAAGATTGAGAGAGTCGATTTTGTTTTGGGGGGGGGGGCCTATTGCTTTGCGAGGTTTCAAGCATGAACGTGAGGCCATGAGGCTTCATCTCGGCCAAAAGAAACCTGCTTCAACATAAAAAGTGGTCGCTCACATGAAGTCGCGGGCTGGAAAACACCGTCCAAGTCCTTGAATGTCTTTCAACTCATGATGAAATTACTGTGCCCATTGCAGAACATTGACGGGCCAGGGTGGACCCTGTAAGTATCTGGTGCTAAGCCGTTCACTTGCCCAACCTATCCAATCAGACAACCTCTCCCTGAGATGCGCTTCTTCCACCAGTCTGCTCAAGCTACTTTGGACAGAGTACAGAATCTGCACCGTCCTCGCCAGCCCGGCTTCACCTTGCCTTCGCAAAGTTTCGAGTTTTGCTCGTCGGTGCTGCTCCCTGCAGTCGGTAGCAAGAAGAAACCAGACACAAGAACCGACACTGCGTGTCCATCTGCGGGTCCTGTCGGACTCTGCCTTTTCTCTTGCTTCATCCACTTCTTGACCACCGCCGCCAAACATTCTTGCCTTGAATTCAGACATGGGCGTCTTCTTGTCGCTGCTTGAAACGCCAAATGTATCTCCTGAATGGCAATGTTCTCGAGTTCTCGGAGCTCCTGGTTGCACATCGGTCAGCACTTGGGTCTAACATGAAGTGGCTTCCAGGTATTTTAGTTGCGGATCAGGAACTGGCTTCATGTGGATGATTCAAAGACAATTTCGACCAAATACTGGCCTGCCGGCGTCGCCGTGAATCACCATCTGCTGCCAGCATGGTGCTTGGCGCCCACTGCTTGACACCTGGTGAGAGGAAGGTGCATTGCCATCAGAGCACATCTGATGAGCAGCACATCAAAGCACTTGCACAACACAAGTGCAAGAGTGCAACATGCCACCGGCATTCACCAGCTATTCCGCGGTGCCTGCGGCCTGCATTGAGCTTTGCAGGAGGCGGTGCACAGCCTTGCCGTCACAGTTTCCAGACTATGCGAGGGTTGTCTAGGATTCCCAGAGCTCCACATGCACACCAAGCAAGAAAGCGTCGCCCTGCGAGTATCGATTCCATCTGATTCTATGTCGCACCAGATCAGCTGAGGCCGAGCCTCCTGAGAAGACATTGGAAGGAAGTTCAAACACGCCGAAAAGACACGGCTCCTGGGTTGTGCTGACCAGCTGACCGTGGGGACATCGTTAAACGGCTTAAGCTGATGCAAGCTTTTACTCGAGCATCTGGGATGCCTGCATGGCCCCCACCACATCGCCAGGTCGCTTGTCCAAGTGCGCCCCAATACGCAGGAGGATCCGCAAGGTCATCCTAGCAGGATGTTGCCATGCAAGAAAATTCTTATGTGTCATGACATGCTCAGCCTCATCTACCTGGGCACGCAGAGAGTTGCACCGGGGGTCTGCCTCAGCGGCTCCAGTCCAGGATCTTCAACTGCCGCGCTTCGCATCTTCTCGCCGAACGTCAGGAGTCCACGGAATACCTCTCATCGAGCGCTCACGGTCGGTCTTGAAACCTTGGGCCGCATCTTTTGGATGCTCCTTGCCTGCTCGCTCTTGCGCCTGAGTGTGTGTGTGTGTGTGTGTGTGTGTCTGTGTGTGCGTGTGTGCGTGTGTGTGTGTGTGTGTGTGTGTGTGTGTGTCTGTGTGTGTGTGTGCGTGTGTGTGTGTGTGTGTGTGTGTGTGTGTGTGTGTGTGTGTGTGTGTGTGTGTGTGTGTGTGTGTGTGTGTGTGTGTGTGTGTGTGTGTGTGTGTGTGTCTGTGTGTGTGGTGTGTGTGTGTGGTCTGTGTGGGTCTGTGTGTGTGTGTGTGTGTGTGGGTCTGTGTGTGTGTGTGTGTGTGTCTGTGTGTGTGTGTGTGTGTCTGTGTGTGTGTCTGTGTGTGTCTGTGTGTGTCTGTGTGGGTGTGTGTGTCTGTGTGTGTGTCTGTGTGTGTCTGTTGTGGTGTGTTGTGTGTCCTGGTGTGTGTGTGTGTCTGTGGTGGTGTGTGTGTGTCTGTGTGTGTGTGTGTGTGTGTTGTGTGTGTGTGTGTGTGTGGTCTGTGTGTGTTGTCTGGTGGTGTGTGTGTGTGTGTTGTGTGTGTGTGTGTGTGTGTGTGTCGGTGTGTGTGTGTGTGTGTGTGTGTATGTGTGTGTGTGTGTGTGTGTGTTGTGTGTGTGTGTGTGTGTGTGTGTGTGTCTGTGTGTGTGTGTGTGTGTCTGTGTGTGTGTGTGGTGTGTGTGTGTGGTGTCGCGTGCGTGGGGTGGTGGGTGGGTGGGGTGGGTGGGTGGTGGGTGGGTGGGTGGGCGGGCGGGCGTGCGTGCGTGCGTGTGTGTGTGTGTGTGTGTGTGTGTGTCTGTGTGTGTGTGTGTGTGTGTCTGTGTCTGTGTGTGTGTGTGTGTGTCTGTGTGTCTTTCTGTGTGTCTGCGTCTGCGTCTCCGCGTCTGCGTCTCCGCGTCTGCGCGTCTGCGTGTCTGCGCGTCTGCGCGTCTGCACGTCTGCGCCTCTGCGCGTCTGCGCCTGCATCTGCGCGTCTGCGTCTGCGCGTGTACGTCTGCGTCTGCGCGTGCGCGTGCGCGTCTGCGGCTGCGTCTGCGGGTGCGCGTGCACTTTCGCGTTCGCGTGCACATGCGCGTGCGCGTGCACGTGCAAGTGCGCGCGCGCATGCATGTGCGCGTGCGCGTGCGCGCGCGCGCGATCAACCCAGCGCACCTATCGTACCTGCAAAGCCGGGGCTCCAACACACCTCCGGATTTTGCAGATTTAGCTGCCAGGTCTAGCTGCTCCTGCCAGTGGATGGTTCGCGACTGTTATGGTGCGCACCCGAGCCGAGATGACAGAATCCACCACACCCCGAGCTCCTGAGAAGGCAATGGCGCCAGCGAGTGGAAATGGAAGAGCGTCGCCACCTCCCAAGCTGCACATTACAGAAATTTGCAGCAACTACATCAGAATGTTACAGCGCACCCCTTTGCACCGTTTGCCCAGTGCCTCGTCATCAAGCCAGACATTTCGCCGTCCTCCGAATCTGTTCTAGGCATGCCCTGCCACTATCGAACAGATATTTCAGCGGGGTCCTGCTCGCTGAGATGTTTGACTCTCTGCCGTGGCCACACAGCGGAAAGAAGGATGCACCTCGAGCAAATCTAGCGACGCAAACATGTCAGATGTTGACAGGTTCTGGCAATGCAACTCAGGCATCGGCAGCTCTAAAACGCACGTTCTCTTCTTCAAATTCCCGACCTGGCCAGATCATTCCGTCAGAACCAAGTCCATCATGTCGCCGGCATGTGTGTGAATAGACTTGATCACGTGACTAGGCGAAGGGCAATCCTGGCTCAGGCCCTTTGCGACGAGGAGGTGCGTCCATCTCTCAGGAGACACCTGCACTTTCGCTCACGAGAATGTCATGTGAACAGCCCAAGCAGACGACGCAACAAGCCAGACCAACATGAACCACTCGAACTCAAACTGTCCATCATTGTCGACCTGGTCCACCACCAACATCCATGAAAGCACTACGTCGCTACGTAACAATATGCACCCATACTCCGCTCAACAGCCCCCCCCCCCCCCTCCCCACCAAGCGAGAGCCGTCTGGTAGCACAGCTTCTCGGTCAGCCAGGAGTGGGCCTTAGTATGATCTCTTTAGCCATCAAGCCATCGTGTGCCGAATTCGCAACATGACAAAGGCTCAAAGGTCAGAGCCAAGGATGGCTGCATGGCCCGTTAGACGGTTCAAGCCGTCCAGAACCGCGATGTCCCCACAAATGGCTGCCTTCCATGCCACAAAAAGATGCCTAGCAAATGAAAAAGCGAAACATGAAGCAGCCAACACGAAGCCCGATTGGTAGAGGACTTTCCCATTTGACGGTGCGTCTCGCGCGTGCACGCACCCCGGCACAGCTTCGTCAGCCTGTTCCGTTGGCTTAGTCAGCCGCTCTATCGCTCCTGCTCCAACCAATCCTCACCTTTTTCTTCTGCGCACCCGTCAGGTCCATACAGCGCACGCGGAGTGCTGGAATCCTACATGGAAGGGCAGGTTCTTGTTGGTCCTCGCACTTCATCGTGCAGGAACAGAGGTCTTCTGGATCTTCTGGCCGTTTTCAAAGTACGTTCTGAATCATCACGGGCCAGTTCTTTCGGCTTGTCTCGAACTACGTTTCTTTGAGCAGGCTGCCCAGTGAATCAACGACAAGGCGAACCAACAACCATAAAGCATCATGCCGACCTGTTGGAGCGGGCAGGTGTAGTAGGAAGACAATGAACATGTGGCAGATTGTGGCAGCGCTGGATGACGGCATTTCTAACCAGACAAAGGCAGACAAAGGGTTAATATGGGTGAATGTTCCAGAGGGTTTTTGAAACACTGCACCATACTGTTTATGCGGGGACTCTCTTCATCGAACATGAAGAAATGTGCGGAAATGCTGTTGTGACTGTTGGCAAAATTTGGCGTTCCTGTCGTTGACTACCGTGTCTGTGCACAGCCATCTGCTTCTCCATGGGGGCTCGACAGGAGAATGCACGTATTCTAGCCCGACCTGATACTTGCATTCCGTTTTGGCTCCATGTCTCAATCAACTTCACTTCTGAATACGTAATTGACCAACATTGAACAGCACCGGACCTGCACCAGCGCAGAATCTTGCCATTCCGTTTGCCCGTCTTGGTCTGTGGTACGCCGCTGAAGCAAATCGCGGCAAAGCAGGTCCTGAGGACCATTGCGCCACTGTGCCAAACGAGTGAGTTCGCATACCATGCCGCCCTAGATGGACCTCGGCCCCACTGCCCAAGCATATCCGGCCTTGAAACAGAAGATGATCCTCTGCCGGTATCCAAGCCACTCTGAGAACGCTTTCACCAACGTGCTCTTGCCAACACCCTGTCAAGATCCCAAATGGGCTGCTGACATCTGAAACACGAACTAGCAGATACTAGCAGATACTAGCAATCTCTCGCACCTTCTCGCCAACGAGGCACATGTCTTTACCAGCTGCATGGTCTTGCATCATGGCGCCCACCTTGCGCTGCGGATGCAGGGAACAAGCAGGGAACAAGCAGGGAACAAGGATGAACAAGCTTCCGCCCCCATTGCTGAGAGCCCGACAAGCTTCTGCTGCGTGGGGGATAACTGCTGGTTGTGCTGTTCCGTGTTCAGTGGCCTTGGCCAGCAAGCAGCTTGAATTTTGCAAGCTGGCACCACGAATCTGAGTTCGTGGCCAGCTCCCCGCAGGAACCGTGACGTCCTCTGGTCAAGCTCTTCTACGGCTCGGATGTCCGAGCACACAGTTCATTCAGCTTGCAAGTGGAAGGAAACGTGCCGTCAGATCAGGGCGCGGCGGTGTTCTCGAACGCTTGTGCTGTTTTCTATAGCCATTCCGAGCTGTGGCATTCGATTGGAACTGCATCGACCAGGTTGCGATCATCATTTCGATCTTCTTAACCGGCGGGATGTTTAACATCTTTCTTTCACAGGGTGGCAAGATGACTGCAGCATTCTGAGCAAGATTCAATTACTGGTCTTGGCGCAAACACATCACCTTCATCAATTTGGGGCTCGCTGGCCAAGGCCAACATAAACCTGGCAAAAAGCTGTAATCCTCCACGAAAGTGTAACTCCACTGACTTCACTTCCGATACTGCTGCACATCATGCACACGACCTTTCAACACGGAAAGCTTGAAGACAAAAACAACTATACTGCGACTTGCAGACTTCGACGTTTCTAATGACCGTTGATTACTAACTGTTAACTCTCTCTACAGGCACTGTGTGCGAGCACCGCGAATGTCTATCTGAATGAACAGGTGCATCGGAGGGGTGCCATAAACTGTGGTCACAGATGCCCGCATCCCTACTCCTTGCTTGGAAGAGACAGCCACGCCGACATACCGACACCAACACATGACTTTCACATGACGCCTGCCGGTCTGCGGATTGGTCATGCCGGAGTGTCACAATGGCTTTGCCTCGACTCAAGCGCACCCAATCTGATGATTGCTCCGATCATGGCATGCTCTTGGCATGCTCCTCAGCTGCCTGCAAGGTTCAGAAGATCTTCTCACGCCTTCCACCACGCACCCCGGAGAGTCCTTCCGAACTGAACTGCGCAACATGTTGCAACGATTCGACCGTTGATCACAGCGTCCACAGCAAAGCCTAAAAGCATCCGGCGAGGCGACATCGGGTCGGGACCATCAGGCCCAAGGATAAGCAACACCCAGAAGCAGCTGAAGATGTAAGCTGGTAAAACAAATTGCAACTGCAACATCCGCATCAGAAGGCGTCAAGGGCCTGAGAAGCAATGTAGTTCGGGCAGAGATACACTACTTGGGATGTTGCAGTGTTGTTTGGATTGCACCACAAAAGTATCACACCCACGAGGTGGACCGAAGTGGACCATGAGCTAAAGGGTCCGCAGCCACAGGGGGTGTGGGGGCGGGAGGCCTTCCCCCAACCCCGCTGTTTCGCCTTCTTCGACAAAGATCCGACCTAGAGGGCGGCTGCCCCCTCTCCCCACCCTCCCACCCCGCGCCTCAAAGGTCCCAATAAAAATATACGAGTATAAAACCCGCCTGATGACAACCAGAGATTGTTAGAGTATTGCAAACAAGTGCGACAGCAAGCTGCCGAAGAGCTGGTTTTCGTGGTGGTTGCAACTGCCAACAACACACACACACACACACACACACACAAAAAAAAAACCTTCAACAAAACACCACATCCACACGGCCCTCATATGGGGACAGCCGAATCGGTCCTCCTTGAAGGTCTTGCCAGAAGACCTGGACGATGCCTGGAACTTAAGCGGCCCCTTGCCTCCCCATTAAAATAAGTTTAAGTTGTTGCGGATTTTGGTGTGTGTGTGTGTGGCGTGTAGCATGTGTTGTTGGCTGTTTATATCTTTGATGTGAATTGTGTGTTGCGTGTTGTTTGCGATGTGTTGCTTGTTATGCTGCTTGTCAGTGGGATCTTGTCCGATACATATGTGCTTGGCATCAGTTTGGTGAACTGGGACTCTGAGCTTGGCGCCGCGTGGCCTTGCACAAGGTCTGCAGGATAAGCGCGCCTCCAAGAACTCATCTCTAAAACCAACGCTTTTCGACTTTCAACCACAACTGTCCCTCGTCTTCTAGTTGTCTTCGTATTTCCTTCCCCGCTCTCCTGCGCGCAGACAATTACTTCGGTTGTCACGGTTGTTACGTTTATCGTACCCCGATTCTGTGGGTTGTAAGACGGTGTTCAGGCCTCTGTGCAACTGAGCGTTGTGCAGCTAGTATCTCCTGGAGCGTCTCGGCAACTTTTTCTGCAGGCATCGCCCTCTTGGGGACTCTTGCGTCTAAGAAAGCGCTTCGATTTGCCGTCGGGATTCCTCAACATTCCTCAGCTGATGCTATATGATGCCATCGGCTGCTGGGGCTTGGCTTCGGTGACATCCTGCGTGGACAGAGGTTTAACTGGGCCCCCCTTCTTTCTAGCCTCGCAGGTCGTAGGCGCTATGATGTCAACGTTGAGACGGGGTTGGCACCTTTACGCGTTTTTTGCTCTCTCCGGCGTCTGTTGGTCTTCTGGCCATAGCTGGTGACCCACAATTTCTGCCTGGTAGGGGGGTGCAATAACGGTGCGTCGCAATTTTCTCCACGCAGCCATCAAATCTTTCTGCAGGATGGATCTTGTTTTTCATTGAAGGCTTTATTCAGCCTGAAACAAGCCCAACCCGATGAGAAATGAGCTGTGATCTACATTCTTCCATCCTGAAAGAACCGTCTTCGTGAAAAAATAAGTACTGTAACTTTCGCAAAACTTTCGCCGACCCCTCGTTGTGCAGGTTTATGCTATTAGCCCAGATCAAGGTCTAGATCCCTAAGTTTGGACAAGCCAAATTTGAGCGTTAAGGGTTGGGGTTTAGGGTTTATAGGGTCCAGGGTTCCAGGCTTAGGGTTCAGTCCAGAACCATACAGGGCCTTGCAGTTCCTTCGGCAATGGATTGGTTTCACTATGTCAGAGATATGAATCCCAATCACAGCCAACACGCACCTCACATGAGAGCTGTCCTTGGAATGGCTACCTCGACTTACGCGGGTACGCGGAGCTTTCGCAAATATCCAGCCCTGAGAAGGATCCCCTTGGCTCTGCCAGAATTTCGGAGCCATCTGGGCACTCTAGCAGGAAACTGAAATCCTGGAAGCTGCTGGCAACATAGAATATGACCTGGGCTACGTAAGAACTTTCGCGAAAAAAATAACTTGCGCAATCCCAACGAGGATCTTTCGCGGAGGCATATCTTAATGCCGTGTGGGTCACCGCCTACTACTAAATGCCGCACAAGGACCTTTAGATCAACGCTCAAATATTGAGAGCTGGCACTGGCTCAATGGCTCTGTGTAATAAGAAAAGGGCACAAACAATGATGGTACTCAAGAGACTTGCTGGCGCACCGCGTGTGAAACCCTGTGAGTATCACCCCCCCTCCACCCAGCCCGTCTGAGTGGAAGTGGTGATGATGCACCGCGTGAAACGACGTCATAAACAAACCCGCCCCACCCAACATCCCCCAACTCAGTGCATATGGCTGTGATGGCATGTTGTGATGCACCGTGCGCGAAGCCATGTTATTGAACCATGTGAAACCACGGTCATTATGACTGAACACCCCACTCCCCTGCCCACGTTGTTGGGGTGGCAGGGGCTATGTGAGGGGGGGTGGGGCAGGGGGGTGGGGAGGGGGTGGGGGGGTGGGGGTCACAACCATGGGAGGGGGTGGGGGGAGTCGGGGGAGTGGGGGGTCATAATGACGTTGTCCACTCGCGCAGGATGGTTTCATGCGGTGCATCACAACATACCATCACAGCCATGTGCACTGCGTCAAGTGACCCGAGTGACCCGGATCACGTGGGCACAACTGCTGCCGCTGAGATAAGCAGCCCAATGCAATCCAATGAGGCAGGTTGAGGCTTCATCTCAATACATCTCAACAAGACGTAATCTCACAAGACATTGAACACGACAGAAGACCGGAAGACCACAAGGGGGCGGCAGAGGCCTCAATGTCGCCAAGGCCGATGCAGCGGGAAACAGAGTCATGACACCTTAGATTGAAGAAAGGCGCTATGTGGAGATATGTGAAGGCAACAGCCTGCTCCTTTGTGCTAGCCAAATTCAATCTGCCGAGCTTGTACTTCCATTTCAGGGTGTGCTTCTGGATCTTCCGGCTCCATTCAGTCAATATGATGCGGTCTTCGCATCATGATGACCCGGAGCCAATATCGTCACATTGTATGTACAGAGGCTGCGGGTAGTGGCTGTCGAGCCGGCATTGGCATTGGCTTTAAGCCAAGCAGACCACGACAACTTGAAAAACAAATGCATGACTGGCTATGTGAGCCAGGTTAGACATGGTCTGCACCGAGTTCTCCGTTTGTTCTCATGTTCGTCGTGTCCGTTATTTTGCCAGGATGGGCGTTGGAAGCCTTTCAGCATCGCAGGGTGACGGATCTCCTCCAATTTGCGAGGAAGTGCGTGACACTCAAAGTCTAATCGAAATGACCAATGGCAGAGAAGGCCGAAGGCAGTCCTTGAGGGCGTGCTCCAGGGATGGGAACGTCGGCTAGCTGTGCCACCTGCTCCCGAAAGTGAGGATCCTGGGCACTTGCGATCGCTCCGAACGGTCCGAGGTTCTCCAAGAATCTAAGCCGAGCCACTTCCTTGAGGCTGGTGGAGGCAAACCTTGCTCCAAGTGCATGATCCCCAACTTATTCCAGCTTGAACTCGCTCTACTTGCATGTGCTTCCGCTTGTCTGCATATCCGACAAGCTGCGACGATCTGCAAAGTCTCCCTAGCTTGCTTGAATTGCCGGGTCGCCATACTGACAGCGGGTGCCATGCGACCCCACGCAGCACAATGCTCCTGCGCCATACCGCAAAAAAAAAGGGCAACATGTTGTGAGATGCTGTGAATTTTGGGGCTCCTGCTGGTGGGGTGGCGCCGCACCATGGCGGCTGCGCTGCGAAGGCGCCGCGCCTCCGACAAAAAGCTCTCCAGAGGTTCTGCTTCCGGCAGCCCTCCTTTGCAGCGAGAAATTGTACATAATTGTACTGTAAAGGATTGGCTCTGAAGCCAGGAAGAACGGACTTGTGGGGCTGTTCACCACAACTTTTTTTTCTCACGAGACAATTACAACCCCTGTCCGATGCAATCGAGTGCAGCCTCATTGATCGCTGTGGCGTGCAGGATCAGGTCCCTGAACCAGGGCAAGACAAGTAACTATCAAATCGATGGCTTCAAGTAATCAGCAGCAGGCGGCATACATGATTTCCAGTGAGTCAATCAAACTCAATCGGACTTGTTTGGACGTAATGAACCATTCTTGAATGCACATCGTTTCTGAGTGCTCGATGCCCTCGTCAAAATGACGGCCTGCCTGCAGCCCAGCAACTCTGATGCCAAAAAGCGAAGAGCATGGACGTCCTGCAACTCGAAAGCTCATGCGATCATGTTCGAAATCCACCCCGGACATGTAAAGCAGGCAATGAACAAATGAAAAACATCCTCAGCGACAGCACTGAAGGCGAAGTCTATACTCGATTTCAGGCCTTATCGAGAGAAGCTGAAAGAATGCGCAGTGCCAGTGAATTTGCGCATTGCATGTCGCAGGTGCACTCAGTGCACGTTATTCACACTGAGCAGTTTGGAGCGTCCATTAGCTTTGGGTCATTTCGCGCTCGGCACCCCGCAGCTCGACTGAAAGTGCGGCAAGCGACCAGCATCTGCAAATTGTAGAACTTCGCATGACCGTTCAACACAGCGCAGCAAGAATTTCTCGTCGGCCCGGAAGAGTGGGGCATGTTGCAGAGCACGAGGGTCCTGCAGCTCGTTCAGCTAGACAAGAGTCTGAAGATTCTACAGTTCAGTGCTCAATCCGCAGCGCAAAAGTGCTGGGTCCTGAGAAATTGCGCACCAGACAACCTGCATTCATGTACATCGCCTATAACCCCGAGTGATGCATAGATGCAAATCGCGAGAACTGTCGCCTACAGTCGCCTACTCAACACGATGCCAACCTCGTCGTCTTCCTTGAGCTCATCTGAGGCAAACTGCAGTGCCAGGCCGCAATTGGCAATAGCGGCCTGGAGATAACACCCCGGCACTGCGAGAAGGAGAGCGAGTGGAAAGAGGATGGAAAGAGGGCTGCAAATCTACGGAGAGATTTGACGTTGATTGCACAGTCGAATAACCCTTAGCTTACTTGCCCAGGGTGGTCATCCTGAAAGGGCGAATTCGGTGCACGGGGTTTCTTTTTGCCGGCGCAGAGGCAACTACTGTGGCTCAGCTCTTTCTCTACACACTTCAAAGTACAACGAAGCTACTAACATCCATTCTGGAAGGCTACATGCGTTCTTTACACCGTACGATACATTCTAGACTTACGGGTACATATCCCTATAGAGGTTCCTTCGTAGCCGTCCCCTATAGACCAATATCTTGCAGAATACGCAGATTGGATATGCACAACCTCATGACTGATACTGGCAACCTCACAGGTCAGTCCCCGAATGAGGGGACGGTTAGATGTGGTCAGAAAGTGTGACGCTTGAATCCTGCCAAGTCGCAAGGACGATCTCCTTGTCTCGACGAAGCTCAGCCGACAAGTACTGGAGGCTCAGACCTTCAACAGACACACACACACACACACAGAGAGACACACACACACACACACACAAACACCCACCCACCCACCCACCCACCCACGCACCCACGCACGCACGCACGCACACATGCACCCACCCACGCACGAACGCCCGCACACCCACACAGCACGCCTGCCCGCCCGCACGCCCGAATGCCAGCCAGCCCGCCCGCTCGCACATCCATACGCGCGCGCAGGCACGCATGCAGGCACGCTGGCATGCACACACGCACGCATGCACAGTACAAAGGATGTGTCCACTATGTGCCATTACCATGCTTCGAACAGGCTCAGCGACTGAATGGTGCCGAATGATTCTTGAACCCATGCCTGCTGTCTGGACGGCTTGCAAGGCAAAATCTCGCTTGTCATGGATGCCATTTGCAAAGCGCATAGCTTCAGCGCAAGAAGTCAGCGCCAGCAGAACGACCTCCTGTTTCATGATATGATCGCAGTAGTAATCATTAGTAGCAATATCCGTCTGCGTCACCGTTACTGCGGGGTGTGAGGTCTTGGGCTGTCGGACTCTAAGTCAAGGTTTGCACTCTGAAGCTACAGTACCAGTTTTGCTCTGACCACACCTCGTCTGCGTGGAAACATGGCGCGTGCTCTAGCGCTCCACCATGAAGTTGCACTGCCTGCAAGACAAAAGCTCGATCTTCTACAAGACGTCCACCTCATGCGAACAAGGGTACTTCGGCCTAACACGACCAAAAACGGGGCAAAAAATCGAACACAAATCTGAACTTTAACTTGTCATTTCATGTAATGTCTGTCAGCCGCTGCCTGCAAATTCCATGGCTGCAGGGTTTTGATGCACGGACAACAGCACCAACTCGCCATCATCGCGCAGCTCCACAGATGCAAAGCGCAGTGCACGCCCATCACTTGCCAGCGCAATGGACACGAAGTCACGGTCTGCCTGACATGGTTAAAAAGACCGCAGGGGTGGAAGCATGATGCTGCCAATATTTGTAGGAAACTGCCTCCAGCAGCCCTGCGACTTAAGAGATCTTCACAGGACTGGCGTGTCTGAAGTTGGCTCATCTTTTTGCAACCACCCCATCGACCCCAACTGCTTGAAAGATCATTGCTTTCCCTCCAAACACCACGCCATGGACTAAGAATAGGCAGGACATCATGTCTGGTTCTCTCTGATGTCGGGCGACGCGCGACTCAGCCAAGTATGACACAGCAAACATGAAGACAAATCAGAAAACAAGGAAGGGCAAATCAGAAACCAGCAGGGCACGAATCAGCAAACCCGCCCCAACCTAATCACACAACCTAGGGGAACCTAACCTAACCTGCCCCAACCGAACCACCGTAACATGCCCCGACCTAACCTAAACTAACCTAAGGTAAGATGATAGGCCTTAAGGGTGTGCTTTAGAGAACAAAGTCACGAACAACGCAAGGCATCTTTTTCTGTGCATTCTGCTACTGCAGGTCCGAAAAAACCCGAAACCCTAAAACCCTAAAATCCCAAGCCCCAAACCCCAAAAAAAAACCTTAGCCCTAAAAACCCCTGAACCCTAAACCCTATATTAAAAAAAAAAACTGAACCCTAAACCCTAAAACAACCCTAAGCCTAAGCCCTAAAAAAAACCAAATCCCTAAAACAACCTAAACCCTATAAACCCAGCCCTAAACCCAAAAAAACACCAAAGCCCTCAAAACCCCTGAACCCTAAACCCTAAAAACCTGGCCCTTAAACCCTGAAACCCCTAAACCCTTAAATCCCTAAGCCCTACACCCTAAGAACCCCTGAGCCCTAAACCCAAAAAACCCTAAACCCCAAAAAATGAAACCTCAACTTCAAGCCCCGAAAACTCTAAACACTAAAAGCCCAATAATACCAAACCGTAAAAAACCCTAAACCCTAACAACCCCTAAACAAGGCATATTTTTTCAAACCCATCATGCGAGCATTGTGTTTTCAAATGGGGGGGGGGGGGGCCCCCCCCCCCCCCCCCCCCCCGCTTTATTCTTTTTCGAACCCATCACTCGCATTGCGTTTGCAAATCGGAAGCCCCAAAAACCCAAAAAAAACCTAAACCCTAAAAAACCCTAAGCCTTAAAAACCCCTATATAAACCCTAACGCCTAAACTCTAAACTCTAAACCCTAAATCCTAAAACCCCCTAAAGCCTAAAAAACCCTGAGGCCTAAACCAACAAAAACCTAAACCCTAAGAACCCAAAAAAACTCGAGACCCTAAACCCTAAAAATCCCAACAGTAACAAGCCCCTGAAGCCTCAAGCCCTCAACCCAAAACAAACCTGAGCCCTAAACAGAAAAAAACCGAAACCCTAAAACGCCTAAGCCCTCAACCCTAAAACGCCCCAAGACCTACACCCTAAAAAAGCCTAAACCCTGCACCCTGAAAACGGATGTCTGATTCGAGGTCTTGTTTTCTGATTTGGGCAGCATCTTGGACCACCATTCAGAACAAGTTGTTGATGGCCTTTTCCCCTAAGCCTCGAACTTCATTGCAAACTACATTTCAAGCTATGGGGCGATTCGGGATCTGAAATGGGGCAAGGGTCAAAATATCGACCTCTCAGCTAAATCAGAACCGAAAATGTTTGGTTTTGGAGTTGATCACAGAGGCCTGGCGATTCACCGAGCGCAAGCCTGTAAACAGAGCATCCGCCTTCAAGTGCACCGGAACAAACTCCAAGGCATCCGGATTCGCTCGGACAGCCTCAGGGATAATGGGAAAAGGCGTGTGCCAGTCTGGCTTGGTCGCCCTCTGCCTTCTGTTGCTGCCTTTGCCTTGATGTGTAAGGATCGCCACAAGCCCTAGATATGACATGGTCGTTCCCGGCTCCTAACCGCTCCTAGCCGCTCCTAGCCGCTCCTAGCCTTCAACACCCTTTCACAGGCCCAGGGCAGAGCCAACAGACCCGAGATCTCACCATCTAAAACGTTGCAGCACATCCGGTTGGGCCCTCACAATGGAAACCTTATAGCCAGAACCTCAACTCTGAGCCTCAAATCCCTTCAAGACATTGCAACTTCACCAGCCCCAAGCTGCAAAGTCCAGACTTTTCAGGTCTTGTGTCTAACAGCGTGAGAAGATGGGCTTCGCGAATCTTCGCGCAAGTACGCGCGAAAGATATCGACAGAAAATGCGCTTTCCACGAAGAATGGTTTGATCCCATGACGAAATACAAAACAATCCTCACAAGAAAAGCAATCTCGGCTTGGTATGGAGGTCCACAGCTGAGATGAATGACGTGTGCCATCTTGTGTGTCTAGTGGAATACCCAGACAGTCTGAGAGGGCAGTGAATTGGACAGCTTGCTGGGTGCCTCGACAGCAAACTCAGTGTCTTCACGCAGCGCTGGCGTTGCGAATGCCAGGCTGCGCCCGTCCCCACTTACAGCTGTCAACACGAGATCTCGGGCAGAACGGCAGTTCTCCTCGCAAGCCGCCCGAGCTAGGATCTCAAAAGCTGTCAGATCAGGGCGGATGTCAGCTTGTGACTAGTGGTCTACACAGAAAAATGCGGAAACCGAAGCGCCGTTACTCCGAGCTCCGGAAGCAGCCGCAGTGCCAATGGATTGGCTTGCAGGATCTGCAGCGCAAAGTTCTCGTCATGCAGGAGGGTCTGGTCAACCTGATGTTGGCAATCGTTGGTAATTACTTGGAGTCGGGGCTACGAAAGCTAGACAATGCTTCGTCGTGCGCAAGGGCAACGCCCGCGGTCCCAATCCCATACAGAACCTGAGTCGAGTATAACGTGGAGGATCACATTTCGAAACAATGGTAAATATCAACCAGATAAGGCCTAGGAGAATTGTAAACCACAACGACGCAAAGCTCCAAGAAGCTGGCTTTTGTGACAGGCATTGTGGTCATCTGGCGCAGTAGCTAAGAAGATAACAGAAGCGACAGCCAAGACACATATCTCATGGCCCAGCTGCTCGAGGCCACGGCAGCAAGGACCACTTCAGGATCCCTGCCAAAGCAGATAAGGCAGAGACAGCAGGCAGGTGAAACGGAATTCAGACTTCGAAGAGTTTTTCAGCGGAGGTGGTCTTCGGTAAGGTTGTTCGTTATGCTTCGGGAATACGTTGATGCATGGATGATAATGGATGGATGTCGTGATGGATGATGGATGCATGGATGGATGGCGTGATGGATTTCGTGGATGTCTTGGCAAAATATTCACGTGATACATGTGTTTGAAGGCGCGGGGCAGGGTTCGCGGGACTCGCTGCACCTACTCAAAAATCGCGCTGGCGCGCTGCGTTCGCATTTTTGTTCGCGAACGACAATCCTCTCGCTGTACGCGGGGTGTCGTTGCACGGGCGCGTGGGAGGCATTCGCATTTTTGGTCGCGAACCACGACCCTCTCTCTGCGAGCGGGTGTCGTTGCGCTGGTGGAGAAGCATTGTTGTCCGCGAACGACAACTCTCTCGGTGTTCGCGCGGCGCGGTGACGCTGGCGCGTGGGAGGCGTTCACATTGTTGTTCGCGAACGACAGCTTTCTTGCTGTGCTCGGGGTGTCAGTGCACTGACGCGTGGGAGTCGTTCAGCATTTGCTTACGACAGCCCTCTCGGTGTTTCCGGGGTGCTGTGACGCTAGCGCGTGGGAGGCGTTTGGCTCTAGGCGAGGTTGTCAGGAGCGTTCTCGGCGGCACGTCTGCTGACAACAATGACCGCGCGCAGGCCAGAAGTAAGAAAACACTCCACTTTGCTCGAGGGCGCCAAGTTTGCTGTGATGATCACGGCCGTGTCAATCAGGCCTTTCTTCACAACACAACCCTGCATTTTGTGCTTAGCTAACAAGAACCGCATACATCACAGCTGAGCATCCAACGAGATAAGTGCAAGAGGCTAGAAAACAGACCGCGGAAACCGAAGCTTAGTGCGGGTAGTTCTTCTTATCGCCCTCTGTTGCGGGGCGAGGGTTTTTCAGCGGAGGTGAAATCGTTGATGCATGGGTGGATGTCGTGACGGATGATGCATGGATGGATGGCGTGATGGACTTCGTGATTCCCAAACACTCCCAAACTATCACACGCTCACAGGACCAGTCAAGAGCAATTCTCGGGCCTGTGGTATTTGCCTTGCGCAAAGGCCAAAAGATCTCCGTACTGGCGAACCATCTCGAGCACCACCTTCAGTTACTTCAGTTACTTAGCTACTTTAGTTGAATTCACTGATTTGCGGTGCCGTTCATTGCCGTTCCCACACATCCGTCACTCTGACTGTGACTGCCGGCCTCCCGATGGAATGCCCCCCTCTGAATTCGCCTTTTGGCTTCTGCATGTGAGAGCTCTGCCATGGCCGCTGAGATACATGCTTTTTTTTCAACTCTCGGATGATCGGTCAAACTAAGATAAACTAAGTTCAATTCAAGGGGTTGAACCTACAGTGATGTTGGGATGGATTTACAAGTGCTGCTACTTGTAGGACTGCCTCAGAAACAAGAAGCTTCCAAGCCACACTGCTGCACCCTGTGCACTTTCTCATGCTCAAGACATTTCTGGACATCTCAAGAAATGCCCTTACATCTCCTTCTGGCATCGCAAAAGGTCCCGAAGATAGTGCGACTCAGGGCCGCGGACGCAACAGGCTCAAGGCTGCACTGTCAGGCATCGGCAAGTGGTGTGACCCCTGGGAGACAGGCAATTTTAAAGCTTGGTTGACATACTGGCAATCTCCACAACCTTCACTTTTGCTGCCTTGTCCGTGGGGATGCCTTCAGCCTCTCTCAACACCTCGGCAAAGTTTGAAGTCAAGCCTCCCGACGGCTGCACTTTACTCACCACTCCAGTGCAATCGATCGACATCTTTGACCTTTGTGAGCACAGCTTCTGAAGATGGCAAGTACTTGGACATGTGCTGCACAGCCTCCGAGGATGGCAAAAAGCGGATGTGCTACAGCAGTGCTACAGATGCTTGCTTGTCACTGCTTGTCAACACAAACTGCACACAGCACTGCCACGTACGGCCTCTGCTGCGTTCAGCGGGTGAACAATATGACTGGCGAATCGGGAACGCCTGTCAACGTGGTGGACAAAACTCCTGAGCCATAGTGCCGACAAGCCGTACTGCCAGGAAGCCCGGGCAATGGCACTGGAGGTTTTGAGAAGATTTTGAGAACAGCTCCATGCCCTTCATCCGACACGATGCATGTTTGAAGTAGTGGCAGGGCTCGGCAAGTGATGAGTGCTAAGCTGAAGCGGCCGCTGAGGGCTCAAAGTCTCACGTGTCTCGGTGAGCTGCACAGGGTGTGCGTGAAGGTTTTCTTATCCAGGAGGCAGCAACAATCTCAAAAGCCCAGCTACTCAAAAACTTGGAAAAACAGTCCAGTTTGGTCATGTGATGCAGCGTCGCACCCTACTGTAGACTGTACGTGCAGCTTGAGCCAGCCCTGCGACGAAGATGCTGACTTCTTTCCATTGAAAACAATGCAAGGCGAGATGTCAAGCTGTCTTGGACGCCGAACTTGGGTGAGCGTTTCGATGCGCGATGCCTCTACAGCGCACTCGACTAGTCCTTGCTAGTCCCAGTCCTTGTTAGTTTTCAGTCGGGCGAGCGTTCAAATTCGGTTAACCCCATTCGCATCACACGCGTGGCCGCTCGTTTGACTGCGCGGCATTCGACTTTATTGGGGCCAGGCCTGGCCAGGCGTATCCTGGATTATCGATGTTTGTGCATGGGGGGCATTGCCCCCACCTGGCAGATTAGCGCCTGCCCTTCCCCAATTTCGTCGAGTCGGTGCCCAAAAACCCCAACCCCCTCTACGGACATCAAGGGAATCTTAAGTATTATTTGGGATAAACATAGCACTTCTAAGGAGGGCGTTCTGCCAACATTCCTGCCTACACCATCACCCACATAACAGTGTCCCTGCACTGACCCCGTTTGGGGATCCAGTTGTCTGCAGCCTTGACTTGAGCATTTACCTTTCGGGTGAATTTCGACTGGTGGGAAAGGGGGTGCGACAATACTGGCATCAACTCAATTAAGCATGTGGAGTATACAGAGTTGTACATTTCGCAAAGGATGACTTGGTAATTACAGCCCGGAAGAAACCATGTCCACGACAGGTCCGGAACGAGCAAAAAGATTTGAGCTGCTAACCATGGGCTAAGGATGCGGCAACGGAGGGTCCAAAGGATTCCCGCGGCATGGCATACCTGGCAGAAACTCTCCCCGGTGTTTAAGCCGGTGAAGCAATGCGGCAGTATTTACCCGTCCTTTCACCCTTTCGTGCAGCCTTCCCCCAGGCCCCAGGCGTCACCACATCTTACTGTAATTACCGGTGTCGGTAAAGATCCTGCACTGTTGGAAGCCCGAATTCACCAATTTCCTTGCCCTTGACATGCGTCCCACCTTGGGATGTGACAGGACGTGACTTATCAATTTGCACAAGCAATCACTTGTCCTGTCACTTGCCCTGGTGCTCCCTTGTATCAAATGCGCAACTGGCAGAAACCTACGTTTCGAAGGCCTCGGACCCCGGTGACTGTTGCATCGCGTTTTGCGGGCCATCTAGGGCCTTTGGAGTCTCGCTGTGTGTCTTGTGTCGACGTCCTGTGCTGAGTTTCCGTCGGGTCTCATGTTTAGGTCGTGCCCTGTTGCGTGCATCGGCTCGTGATTCATGCTGCGCCACAATGGCTGTTGTGAAGACAGTGAATCCAAGAGACCCAAAACCCAACCCAAAGGCAACAATTAAATCAGGATTTAATTTTTTTAACTTCTGGATTCATTGGTTTTCCTGTTGTGCATGTCGTGCCTACTGTCCGAAGTGCATTAAAATGCTTGCGACTGGATGCCTGACGATGCCTCCCCCGCACACTGCAAACTAACCACGTTCAAAAAATCTCAAAATGGTTCACAGGTCCGGAACTCTTTGGCCAAGCTGGTAAAACATGAAGGACAGATGAAACAAGCGCATGTATGCCAGAGAGCAAGAAGCCCAAACGGCGTGAACCACGAAGTGCACTCATCAGTGTGTGTGTGTGTGTGTGTGTGTGTGTGTGTGTGTGTGTGTGTGTGTGTGTGTGTGTGTGTGTGTGTGTGTGTGTGTGTGTGTGTGTGTGTGTGTGTGTGTGTGTGTGTGTGTGTGTGTGTGTGTGTGTGTGTGTGTGTGTGTGTGTGTGTGTGTGTGTGTGTGTGTGTGTGTGTGTGTGTGTGTGTGTGTGTGTGTGTGTGTGTGTGTGTGTGTGTTGTGGTGTGTTGTGGTGTGTTGTGGTGTGTTGTGGTGTGCTGTGCTGTGCTGTGGTGTGCTGTGGTGTGCTGTGCTGTGCTGTGCTGTGCTGTGCTGTGCTGTGCTGTGCTGTGCTGTGCTGTGCGGTGCGGTGCTGTGCTGTGCTGTGCTGTGCTGTGCTCTGCTCTGCTGTGTTGTGTTGTGTTGTGTTGTGTTGTGTGTGTGTGTGTGTGCGTGTTGTGTGTGTGTCATGTGTATCCACGTACAGTTGGTTGTGCCAATTGTGACACATCGTACTTGTAGGTGCCTATGGCAATGACAAGGAAGTCTGGGCTGATCGGAATCATCTCAGAGTCCTGGTCTGGCCGGCAGGCCCATGTCGCTGCAGATGACCTCCTTATTCATGCCTGGGGTTGGGCTTGTATGGGTCACTGGCGCAACGCTGAAGTGGTTCAATATGATGCAGCTGTGCCAATACAGCAACCGATACGCTGGTTGACTAGCTGTTGAATGCCTGTGGCCCGTCCTGCGCTGAGCCACCCACTTTGGCTTGTCCTGCGCGAGATAACTGCGGCCGGGGAGTGACAATGCAACAACGCGTTGAAGTTGAATGGTTTGCGCATGCTTGCTTTGAGCTGCCCGACATGCTGCTCGATCTGGTGCGAACAAGCTTCATTCATTTGTGGCTCACGACCTGTCAGCCGTCGATTGTCGCTGGCTGCAGCTGCTGCTTCCTCTCGCTCTGGGTCCTTCTGCTGCCCGTCGTTAGCCTGCTAGCTGTTCTGGCAAGGCCTGCCATGCTGTTGGCGCCTTCCAGAAGTCCAGGAGTTGTGCTGCGCACATCCGGTCTTCGAATGCGACATGCAATGGCATTGTGTTTATGTATGCCCCCCAAACCTAAACCCTCACGCAAACCATTAACTTAAAGCCTATACCCTAGATTGCACTAAAAGGCTAGACCCTATAGACCCTATAAAGTAAAACGAAACCGCACACCCTTAGCAACCAGCTTTAAAAACCAACGCCCAAACCCCAAAACCTAAACCCCTCCCCCTCCGCATGGGAGATGTTGCGACACTGCACTATACATCCACGTTTCATTGATAGTCATTGCAGAAAGCACAGTACATCCTGCCACTGCCGACTGGCAGCTGTGCCTTGGCCTTTCTCAGATGCTACTATTCTTGATTGCTAGGCCCTAGCTAGGGATTAGCATGCGCGTCTAAACCGACGCCATAAAGCTTGAATGTGACCCGTGCCGCAGGTGCAGGATGCTCCCGTCCTGTCGCCATTCGAGAGAGAAACCGTCCATCCTGGACAGTACAGCAAGAAATCGAATGAACTGTATGAGGTCTTCAGGCTCGTGAAATGCAACATGCTTGGTGGCTGCACATACGTCTCACTGGAGCAGCGCTGTGGCGAGAAGGTTTCATTTCCGCTACGCAAGACACTGGAGAAGACGGTCCGAATCAGCGAGTTTACAGGAAAACTCGAAAGAGCAGTTAGAACAAGTAGGGCAATAATTCGAGCTCCGAGGGAAACTGTAACGGAAGTGCAGTGCCTCCAGCTGCATCTCTCGATTTTCCAGGAGGTTGTTCAACAGCGGCAGCACCTCGGCTGAAAGCAAGTAAACGTGCGGTGCTGCTGGCACACATGCGCATGTATATATATATATATATGCACATAGGCATAGGCTGCAGTGTGTGTGTATATATATACGCTGTTATGAGTGTGTGTGTGTGTGTGTGTGTGGTGAGGGCAAGTCGGCCCCCACGTCGGACAGGAGATTTGCATTTTTCAGCAAGAACAGGGCAAGTCTGGACTAGGGCAAAAAGCCTTCAGCTTTCGCAGGCTGCTTGAGCTTCCATGTAAGGCTATAGATGTCTAGCCTCTAGCCTTCCACGGAGTTCTAGGATGCTCTAAGGTTAAACACGGGCAGACAGGCCCTCTTCAGACTATCTGCACCTGGACTGACGGCGCTGTCGTTCCCAAAGGTCATGTGGGCATTCAATCATGTTGAAGACAAAATTGAGATTGGGCACTGAATGACTCGTGTCAATGTTCCTTGGATAGTGAGAAAAATCCAAATGGTGGAACGATCCATAGGCGTTCTTTCTTCCCGGCGAGCTTGGACACCAATCCTCATTGCCTGCATGTGGACATAAGTCACCCACGATGAGAATGATTTCCTCGGATGCAAATGGGGAGGTCAGGTTGGACGAGCTGCTTTCTGAAGCGCCTTCTTCCATCAGTGCCCACAAGGCACGGCCTCTGGTCCCATAAGCATTGTTAAGGAAGCGGCCTTTGGCACAGGTAAAGCAGCCCATTCCGACGGTTCCACCGCCCCCCCCGCTTTGGCCACACCAGCAGTTTCCTGTACCGCCACAGTCGCGCCACATAGCCTGTGCTGACGCCACGTTGTAATAGGGCGTTCCTCTCACAAGTTCAGCAGTGTTGATTCCGCCACAAGCTGCATGGGGCGCATCACCGTACATGGTTGTGGTAGCCCAGTGATGGTAGCCATACATGTTGAACTCCGCGGACTGGTTCTCTTTGGTCGAATCCTGAGTTTGCTCGGCTTCCAGCGCGGCTTTCTGCAACCTGAGCTGTGTGCGATTTTGTGCGGCATCAAAGCAGCAAAATCAACCAGAACATACCGGAGTTTCGCAACAAAATCAACACATGCCATGCCCATCATCCAAAGGGCTGGAGGGCATTGAGAGCGCAGCCTTCCTGCTCGCACTCTGCATCACTCAGCAAAGGATCACTGATTGCGCCGACTTCAGCCCATGTCAGCTCCACTGATGTTAGCGTGGCGAGCACAAACAGGTTTCCCAGAATTAGCGCCGCCATGGCAGAGGGATGCAGGGGTCACTCTCTGAGCCGCTCTGGAGTTCCTTTGAAAGCGGTATTGCTGCACAATCCCATTCCCAAAATGTCCAGACGTTTCCAAGGAGCCCCCGTCCAACAAGTTCCTAGCCAAGCTTCGGGCGTTCTAAACATAAACAAACACACAGTGAGCATTGCCGGTCTGATGGAACCTGGCGCCAGTCTAAGGCCAGAACATTGCGCTCAGCCTTCTCTATTCCCTCAAGCCTGCGGCTGTCACAGACCCAGTGACTACAAGAGACTGGTCTCAAAAACTTTTTTGCAGCTGAACCCGTGACACGAAAGCGCAGGAAAGCACCTCCAGCGGCAAAAAAAAATGCAAGGTTCTCTGAGCGAGCTGCAGAAGCACGCGGCCATGGAGAGCAGCCCGGACCGGCCTTTTTAAGCAGGCCAAGTAACGCAAGTGACAAGGAGATGCGAGGAGGGGGGGGAGGGCAACACGGAACGCCGTACACTCCGCTGGGTCGGCAAGGCTCCCACGGCTGATCCACATAGAGAGCGTGTCCTTACTCTTTCAGAAAGCTGTTCGTAAGGCAAGGTGGTTACTCATCAAACACTTCTTGCAAGAGCGTTCGGCTCGGCATTCGATAGCCTCGAAAGCCAATCCTGTCTTTTTACAAGCTATTCATTGAGGTGGCACGTTATTTGAGGCCGAAAACCAGCAGCGCCAGGTGAAACAGATGAGCCCAACAGCTCGGTAAGCCCTATATAGTGGAGCGACTGCTGTACTGTGTCAAGCTTCCGGTGTCCGCAGAACTTATATGCTGAAAAGCACACACACACACAAAGTTGTGTAATCCATCGGCCCACCTTCTTGAACATCACAACCAAACAGCAGGCACATGGCAGCTTCTCTGCATCTCACGGCCCCCTCGGCGGAGATCAGAGGCTCCACGAGGCAGGTCACTTCGGCGCAGCTATCTGGATCTGTACACACGAGGTGGATCATGGACTGATCATGTTTGTCGACCTGTTTTGCTGTGCTCAACTGGAGGAGCTTCCGGAGGAGTCGCTGTCCTGGTAAGCAAACGGTTGCAGCGGGTAAAGCCTTCGAAAAAGTGGAGAATGCAGGGGCGCATCTCCTCCTTTCTGCGGATGAGCGAGGCCGCCATGTAGCCGGGAATGGTCAACGCTGCAAAGCTGATGAGCAGATACACTTCTGCACCATCCTCTACAGAGAACAACGTGACAAAAACAAGCATGAGAGGGAAGTACTACCCCGCGTACGATGAAGGGAACCGGATGTGAATTACACATGCTGCTCTTTGCTCGCTCAGGCAGACTGTACAAGAGAGGTCCCAGCTTTGCATCTTGACCTTCCCAGTCTCCCTCCCTCCCTCCCTCCCTGTACAACGGCAGGGCATACATTCGTTGAGCCGGCACGAGCGGTACCTCGGCATCAAGCTGTGCCACTGCCTTCCATGCGTACTGGATCTGACTGCAGCCGATACGGTCCTGAGATTCTTTGCCTTGGCCTTTATGCATTTCGACTTCGAGTCGATTTGGTCTGTGAGCCGAAGTCAACTGAGTCACATGTCCCAGCAGGAGGAGGGCGAAACCCTTGACCAGCGTCGGACCCTCTCTTGACAGGGCATACAGGGCTGCATGGTGTACAGCACCCAGTCATGTTGACATCGCGAGGAGAGGGTGCAACAGGTGCACTGTGTTTGCCGATGCGTCGAGACATAGGCGGTCGAAGGTGAACTACGCCCTACGCTCTTGAAGCCTTTGCCAGTGACTGGGTCCATCCGATGCCATGGGCACTAGAAACCACATGCGCATCTGTGCACATGTGAGCTTCTCTGCTTGTGGATGCTTCTACGGCGCTCGAATGGAGCACTGTTGTTGCCCAGCACAAAGCTTGAGCCAGGTAGCGCAGTACAGTGCCGTGTCACGGACATGGGCATTGCATCGGCTGTCTAATCACGGCCTGCTGCGTAGCTCCAAGAATGAAGGCCGCAGTGGACGCACCAGTCCCGAAGACAAAGACGTTGGCAAAGGCACCAGCGCTCGCCTTGATAGGGCATGCAAACTAGCCCAAGTTGGGTGTTTTGTCGTGCTGAAGGCGGCTGAAGCAAATTGCAACTCAAGCCGAGCAAGGGCCAGCCTCGCCAGGAAAAAAGTCGGCGAAAATGGCCTTATTGGTACTTTCGTACACGGCCCTGCCAACACCCATGAGAATGTAGAAGACCTGAGGCAGACATCATGAAACGCCGCACTCCCCAGAGGCTTTTCGAATAGCCAAGAAACCAGCACGCCCCATCCCCAATCTGCAGGATGCCCCACGAACCTCAGATTTCAACCGAGCGAGCTGAGCAAGCGAGAGAGAGCGACAGAGCGGGAGAGAGCGGAGAGAGAGGGAGAGAGATGGAGAGAGAGGGAGAGAGAGGCAAAGAGAGGCAAAGAGAGGGAGAGAGAGGGAGAGGGAGGGAGAGGGAGGGAGAGGGAGGGAAAGAGAGGGAGAGAGAGGGAGAGAGAGGGAGAGAGAGGGAGAGAGGGAGAGAGACAGAACTGAGAAAACTGAATAAAGTTAGAAGTGAGAGACAGAGAGCGAGAAGAAGAGCGAGAAAGGAACAGTAAGGGAGGCAAAGAAGAGGAGAGACAGAGACAAAAAGTCCGACAGAAAATGGGCAGAGGGATGGAAGGAGAAGAGCGAGACAGCGAAACACAGGGATGGCCAAGGAGAGAGAGAGACAGAGAGAGACAGAGAGAGAGAGAGAGAGAGAAAAAAAACCAAAAAAAAACATACCTATGTATGTAGAGAGAGAGAGAAAGAGCAGGGCAGGAAGAGAGCGAGACGGCAAACCATTCGATGACGACGGAACCACAAACAGAAACAAGAAACGCAACACAAAAAACATGAGCAACTAAGAAAGGGAAAAGGGAGGAGGGGGAGGGCACATGTTCCTTTGTTCTGGCACCGAGCGAGCCCCTGGTCGCAGGCGTCACGGCTCCCCCCCGTTTCCCAATGCCTCGCAGGGCCCCTACCGCCCCCTTTCGTTCACTTTCATCATTCTTGGACCTCGCCGGCGTCCTGTTTTTTCTTGGATGTGCGGAGAGGGAAGCCTTCGATACTACGTCTTACAAATACACGACAAAGAAGTGAATCTCCTGCAAAACTCGGTCAAGTCGCAAAAACTGTTATTTTCACCATTTTTCACATTTCTTACTTTCGTCATACCTATGAAAGGTCCAAGAAGTTCAGTTCCAGCGCATGGTTCAGCAGGTCGGGCTTTTACAGGTTAAAGTCCACAGCACTCGAGGCCAGGGTTTGCAAGAGTGTAGGTTCACAAGCAGGTTCGTCGCAGAATATTCCCGAGCTCTTCTGAGAAGACCAGGGTTCGTAACGGCAAACAGCTCGGCTCCAAGCAGGTTTTGGGTTGGCTACTTGGTCGTGCTTTACCAGAAGTTCATTCCGAACTGCTTCCCCAAAGTCCAAACTTCACAAGTTAGCTGACAATGGTTTTTACGAGTCACCCTTGTTTCGATTAGCTTTCCCAAGACTCAGTCTTGCAACGCCTTTGAAAAGATGTGGAAGGGGCGGCGCTCAGATTGTCATAAGGTGAACTAGGTGACACAGGCGACTCCCCGGTGGTGTTCGAGAAATAGGCTTAAGGACGGCGTGTGTGCAGGAAGCTTTACTTTCTTGGCAAGCCATTTCAGGTTCATTTGCCCTCCGTGCATTGAGGGTCGGGTGAGGTAGATAAAGTAGGATCATGCACTGTAGGGCATTTGGGCATTTTAGGTTTCGGTTTCATGCTGCGCTATGTGGGTGTTTGGGTCAGGTGGCAGCAAACACCCCCATCCAATGTAGCATGAAGGTGTTATATAATGTTGCACCCTGTTTAGTGTGGGGGGCCCCCCCCCCCCCCTGGACAGTCGAGGCGTGGATGGGAGCCTGATTACACGGCCCCCGGGGCTCATATGATTTTAATAGGGAGGAGTTTAGATAGGTTCACGATGCCCGGTTATCTTTTTTAAAGGCGCGCCACGTGGAATTTTCTTACGGCGCCCGGACGATTTGTCTTTAAAGAGGGACTCCCAAACAGTCAGCATGTCCTGAATAATTCGGCCAGTTTGTCTTTAAACAGGGGGCCAATACTAAACAGGGTGCAACATTACAAACTATGATAGATAAGTTTTCAAGCATGGATAAGAAGCAAAGGGAGAGACGGGCAAAGAGACAAGTAGAGGCTGAAATAACAAGTTGACCTTGGACAGCCGTCCGCTGACCGGGCCTGCTAAGAACGCCCAGCAGAAGAAAGCTGGTGGCACCGAGTGCCACAACAGGCCCTTTGCCAGTCTTCCTGAGTTGCATACGTGCACATTTGTGTAACGCTTCTCCCGCGGGACTGTCCGAATGCATCTGAAAGCATGGTGTTCAACAGGTCGCCAAGGCACGCAGCAGTCACGCCGAAAACTTTGGACAAGACGCTCGCCAAAGCTGACAACATTGCACCTCAGAGGGCTTGTGGTTGCTGGGCTGAGAGGCAAGCAACCGCAACCACCACCAGAGCCGCAAACACAACCACAACAGGCACCGCCACAGCCACAGCCACCGCCACCGCCACCGCCACCACCACCTCCACCACCACCACCAACAACAACAACAACAACAACAAGAAGAACAACAACAACAACAACAACAACAACAACAACAACAACAACAACAACAACAACAACAACAACAACAACAACAACAACAACAACAACAACACAAACACAAACACCAAACACCAAACACCAAACACCAAACACCAAACACCAAACACCAAACACCAAACACCAAACAACACCAACCCCAACACCAACCCCAACACCAACACCGACACCAACACCGACACCAACACCAACACGTGCACGTGCATGTGCACGTACAGCACACCCACGCCAGCGTTGTTGTTGTTGTTGTTGTTGTTGTTGTTGTTGTTGTTGTTGTTGTTGTTGTTGTTGTTGTTGTTGTTGTTGTTATTGCTGTTGCTGTTGCTGTTGCTGTTGCTGTTGCTGTGGCTGTGGCTGTGGCTGTGGCTGTGGCTGTGGCTGTTGCTGTTGCTGTTGCTGTTGCTGTTGCTGTTGCTGGTGTTGCTGTTGCTAGTGTTGCTGTTGTTAGTGTTGCTGTTGTTAGTGTTGCTGTTGTTAGTGTTGCTGTTGTTAGTGTTGTTGTTGTTGTTGTTGTTGTTGTTGTTGTTGTTGTTGTTGTTGTTGTTGTTGTTGTTGTTGTTGTTGTTGTTGTTGTTGTTGTTGTTGTTGTTGTTGTTGTTGTTGTTGGTGTTGGTGTTGGTGTTGGTGTTGGTGCTGGTGTTGGCGTTGGTGTTGGTGTTGGTGTTGGTGTTGCTGCTGTTGTTGTTGCTGTTGTTGTTGCTCTTGTTGTTGCTGTCGTTGTTGTTGTTGTTGTTGTTGTTGTTGTTGTTGTTGTTGTTGTTGTTGTTGTTGTTGTTGTTGTTGTGGTGGTGGTGGTGGTGGTGGTGGTTGTTCTTGTGGTTGTTGTTGTTGTTGTTGGTGTTGTTGTTGTTGTTGTTGTTGTAAGATTCTGGCCCAAGATGAGGATTTTATTTCTCGTAGCCGTAGCGAGCTTTCTTGGGTGCCTGGGTCCCAAGTCCCAGGGTCCAGCCATGGATCAGAATCGAGGGTTTCGGGAAGTAGCGCCCCCCGATGAAGCTGAGCAGCATGCGCAGCGAAGTCAGCTAACCATGAACAAAACCGGCAAGCGAAGCTACCAAAGAGCTTGTAAAGTTGCCCTGGCGAAGGGAGCAGCACTTTACAAAGGCCGTCTTCTGACAGCTCAGGCTCTAGGAGCTCATGAAGGACAATTCGCGACTCCTGCGAAAGCGGAGAGGCGTTCTTTTCAACCGAACAGACAGATCCATCACAAATTTGACATGGAAGTCCTTACTTGGAACGCAGGCTCAATTACAAGTCGAGTTTGGAACGAGATTCTGGCCCTTTTGGCAACAACAGAGTACAAGAACATCAAAATCGTTTTCCTGCAGGAATCGCATTGGCAGCAGGACCAGGTCTACAGCTCAGGCCCGTGGTCAGTCCTAACCTGTGGCTCAACAAGCAGACACAAGGCTGGCCTGGTTGTCTTGGTGCATAGCTCGCTGGCTCCTCTTTCAGAAATTCGCAGCACTTCCATTGTTCCAGGGCATTTGCAGCATGTCATGATCCCGTGGCAGAGATCCAGAATACATCTCCTGAACCTGTACCAGCACGTCTGGGATTCAAAGCTCTCGAAGACGGAAAACAGAGGCAGGAGAAAGGACGTGATGACACAGCTCGAAAATCGAATACAGAGAGTCCCACAACGTGACTTCTTGATTGTGGCTGGGGATTTCAATGCGCATGCGGTGACTGAACGTCCTCATATCGGACCAAGTGTGCCTCATCGAGTACGGTTTGCAAATGCGGATGTGAAGACACTGCCCTCGCTCTGCAAATCCTGTGGACTAACTGCGCTGAACACATGGGCTTCTGGCCATCGCAGTACGTATGCTAACAGTGATGGCACATATTCCTCTCAGATCGATTTTTTGCTGGTCAGACTGCACGATGCTCGGAGGAGATCCAAGGAGGCCTACTCGGATAAGAACTTTCCTGTGGCTGCCTACAGAGATGGATCAAAACACTTTCCAGTGCGAGCCACTCTGTTCATTCCTCCTTACAGTCCTACACCCAGCAAGCCACGGCCGTTTGATGCCACAGCCCTGGATGCGAGCTTTCGGCGGAAAGATGACAACTGGCAGGCATACTCACATCGTCTGACGGAAGCAGTGGTGAGGACAATGCAAGTGAGACCGTCTTGGCAAGAACTGGATGAAGTGATGGTTAGTGTATCAGCTGAGCACTATCCTCCTCCACGCAAGTCTCAGCCAGTAGCAGGTCCTATTCATCAGGAATATTGGAAGAAAGTGCGGCAAATCCAGGCGCACAAGAGGGCTGGAACCGAGCATAATTCAGAATGCCAGAAGCTTGTGGAGGACATCAAGGAGGAGGCGCGGACTTTCAAAAAACAGCAAAAACAAAGAAAGCTAGAGAAGCAAGAGCAGTTGCTTCTACAAGCCCAGGAAGATAAAAGGCAACAATCCCACAAACTGGCTCATACTCTCAGGAAACTTGCTCCGTGGCGCCCAGTGCAGAGAGTCAACCTAAGGGATCAAGCAGGTGAGCCGCTTGATACGGAGGCCTCACTAAAAACTATGCGCGAATACTCGAGTCAAATCTTCTCCAAAAGTTCTCCTTTGCACTCAGTAGCTGCTGTGCCCAGAGCAGCGATCACCGCCTTGCAGGTATCCTCACAAATCAAGACAGTGCCAGTGGGGAAAGCAGTCCCCAGCACCTCAGCCCCAGTATCAGCTTGGAAGAGTCTAGGTCCTGAAGCCCACGAACACATAGCAGGTCTAATCAACTCTGAGGTGTCCCAATCTGAAATTTCCCCTTATCTAAAGGACCCTCGAATTGCATGGATCCCCAAGCCGGGCAAGCCAGCCACCGCCATGAAAAACCTGAGGCCCATAGGAGTCATCAGCGTGCCAGGCAAAGTGCTAGCAGGCGCAGTGAAGACTCGCATTGCACCAGCACTGCAGGAGAGCTCACAGCTTCAGCCGCAATTTGCATACATCAGGCAGAGGGGGGTGCGGGACGCCATCGCGAAAGCATGTCAGCACCTTGATTTCGTGCAGCAGCTCCGTCAAGTGCATCGCAGGGACCTGCACAAGTCCCAACGCGGAGCCAGGCAGGCTCAGCTGTCAGGGGCACTTACTATTTCGGTTGATCTGAGCAAAGCTTTTGATTCTGTTAATAGACATGAGCTGCTAGCTGCCTTGGATCGCCTGGGAACAGACCCTGTTACGAAAGAACTGGTAGTTCAACTACACAGTGAGACCTCCTACAACATGGGCACAAGTGGACTAGAGATTCAAGTTCCCACTTCTTCAGGAATCAAACAAGGTTGCAAGCTAGCCCCGGCATTGTGGTCTGCGCTGACACTTCTAGTCATGAGCAGAATGGAGCAGAAATGGGGCCCAGATAGCAAGCAAGCTAGGGACATCCTAACAGTCTTTGCAGACGATTTCCTGCTCCAGGAAACCTTCTCGAGCTTTCCTGAACTTCAGAAAGTCCTGCTCAGAATAGAGGCTCTCTTTCAGTCTCTTGAGGACGTGGGGCTGGAAGTCAATCCAACGAAGTCCAAAGCCTTGCTAATGGTTCAGGGCACTCAGCAGTCCATCTTTCGCAAAAAGCACACGATGCGCAAAGAGAAGCAGTTGCACATCGTCCTTCCCTCAGGACATAAGATTCCGATTCATCACAAACTAACATATCTAGGGGTGCAGTTCAGCTATGGATCCTACAAAGACCAGACTGTTGACTATAGGATCGCCCAAGCTCAAGGCAAGTTTGAGCTACTTCGACACATCCTGTGCTCCACTAAGGCCTTGGAGGCTTCAAAGAAGTTGGAGATCTGGAGGGTCTATGTGGAATCCTCACTCTTGCATGGGCTTGTGGCCACTGGCATCACCTCATCAGGTCTTCAGAAGCTTCAGAGTAAATACTCGAGGATGCTAAGATCCATCTTTAAGCAACATCAGCACTACAGCCATATTGACACGAAGACTCTGTTCGAGCAATATAAGGTTCAGACTCCTCAAGCAGTTTTGATCAGCCAGATGAAAAACTATCAAGACGCACTAGATGCCTGTCAGAAGTACAACCCGGATCAGAACATACAGTGGTATCTGGGACTTAGAGGTAGGATTGTTGCGCTGCAACAGGAGCTTCAGAGCATGCATTTGGACCTGACCGAGGCAGACCAGGAGGTACCGTGCTCTCTGTGCGATCGGAAATTTTCCAGCGCTAAGGGTCTTCAGCAACATACTCTGGTGAAGCATGGAGGACAGCGTGCGAATCAGCTAGGCCCAAAATTTCAGGTCACTGTGCATAGCTGCAAAGGACTTCCGCAATGTGCGGCATGCAACAGGCAGTTGCGCACAATGCATCAACTTCGCAGACATGTGGAGTCAGGCATTTGCCCTCAGCTGCACGAGCTGAAAGAACGAGCCAAATCCTGTACAAGCTCAGAAAGCATAGCTATGATCTATCAGTCTAGCGTGCAGGAACAACTTAAGAAGGATCCTGATCTTCTACTAAAAAAGAGACATGTCACTCAGCATCTATTAACGAACTGCAGTCTCTGTGGGCAATACATTGTTGGCCACAAAGGAGTGAAACAGCACATTCAGAAAGCTCATCCCGCTTTCTGGGCACAATCCTCGGCATCCATTCTTGCCAACATGCGAACACATAAGCGCCTCCTGCACAAAAAAGAAGAATGTAGGTATTGTCGCATTGTGGTAGATGCTCCAGTACGCCATGCAGAGCAATGTGTGGTTCTGCTTCAGACATACGCCATGAGTGCAGCTTGTGCCAAGCCTATGGAGCTGCCAGATCTCTTCAGTGCAGATC